TTGTTGATTTTTACTAAATATTTTCTGATTTTGCGTGATTTTGACTATTTTTTTACTGATTTCTGCTGATTTTTGATGAATTTTACTAATTTTAACTCAAATTAACTCGTTTTCACTGATTTTTTTACTTTTTTTTTGCTGATTTGTACTAAATATTTTCCAATATTTACTGATTTTGCGTGATTTTTACTAATTTTTTTACTGATTTCTGCTGAAGTCCAAGAATCACCCCCTTAAATATTAACATGTAATTATGGAACACCCTGTATATATAACTAACGGGGGTATATAGTTGTTTGATGAGAGCGATCGTTTTACCGGCGTGAGTCACTCAAAACGTTAATTTAAATGAAGACCTCGCAAGAGGGCGGGGGCGGCGGAGGGTTTTTAGTACGCGGGGGTGGTGATTCGCCCTTTTTTTTTCTTCTTCGCCCGTCATTAGACGTCAAACGAACTAAAAGGCGCACAATGGAAGCGGATGGGAAAAAATAAAAACGAAAGGAAATTACCTTTAATGCCGATTCCAGGACGTGTGATGTGATGGACCTCTCCGTTTCCCATTGTGTGTGGAACATCCGAGACACGGAAGGTTCGCGCGGAAACATGAAAAGCGATTTCGCTAAATTTAGAAAATTTACAAGCGATTTATCGATTGTAATCCGAGCAATTACAATACCTGCATTAAACTATCATTTATTGTTTAAATAGAATCGAAAGTCGAACAACACAAAAGAGACTTTATAAAAGCACTGTATACTCGATGGTTGTTGCTATGAAACTTATATGCTTAATTTAATGGATAAAATTATTCAATCAGATCGAAATGAGGGAAATTCCTGAGCTATTATTCGGTCACATATGGTTGGCTGTTTTAATTTAATCCAAACAGGTGTTGAGTGTAGACAAATTGGAAAATTTCGAATGATTTCCAATTAAAATTCCAGCGGATAATTGGGCATTAAATTGCCGATTAATTTCGGCGTGTTCGGTGCAATTGTCCGCGCCCGATGTTTCGTACTTAGTCCGGATGAGTTTCCAGAAACAGAGGGATTTCTACCTACCGCTCGTAAGGGCGTACCGAGGGTAATTCGATTTTAAAATCGTCATCTTTTTTTTTCGGAATTTTCGAAAAATAATCCCCATGTTCGATGCGAAGCCGATTTGCGGGTAAACTTTTACCGAGAAACGGATTATTTCCCAAACCGATTCGGATCCATTGAATATATTTAGATATCAATAAAGTCATTATAAATAGATATTCGTATATATTTCTTCTAAAAGAAAATAAAACTTGGAAATATTTATTATAGAATAATACAATTCCTTCAAGTCATCGAAAACTTCTTTATTATTACCCGCTATATACATTGATGACATCGATTCATTTTCAACGGCAATCAATCCTCGTGTTTTGTTGAATTATTAATTAATATACAGCTCTAAATATCGCAAACAAATACATCATATCATTAAGATAAATACCAGTTTGTACTTGTGAAACGACATGTACCTCAACCCGCTTCGATTATTCATAAGCCATTTTATTATTTTCTTATACCATTATGTGTCTAATGACTCTAAGTTGTTTTACGTTCTCGTTTTTCATGAATTATTTAATCCCCGGAGAATATAGAACTGAATCGGATGTGTCCGAGGTCGATCGGAGGAGGATTAATATATCTACATATTCCCCTTTTACATTTTTATTGAATAATTTCATTTATTTTTAAATTAATGTATAAGATACACGGTGATATGTAAAAGTTGATTTTAGTTCTAGTAGATACAATGTTCTAAATCATTCTAGACAGTTCTAAATGGTTCTCGATAATTCTGATTCGTCTTGAAGCAATCTAAATTGTTCTGGACAGTTCTAAATGGTTCTAGATAGTTCTAATTAGTTGTCGATAGTTCTAACTCATTCTAGACAGTTCTAAAGAAGTTTTAAACAGATCTATTTAGTTCTCTGATGTCTCTCTACAATCCTGATTCTTCCTGAGGAAATCAAAATGATTCTGGGCAGTCTTAAATAATTGTCCCAGACAGTTCTAATTCGTTCAGAAGCGTTTTAAATCGTTTCAGACAATTCTAGATCATTTTAGATAGTTCTTGACAATTCTGATTCGTTCTGAAGCAATCTGAATGATTCGGAGCGGTTCAAAACTGTTCTAGATTGCTCCAATTAGTTCTAGATAGAAATGGTTCTTGACAATTCTGATTCGTATTACCTATTGTATTTTATATGTTGTACAAACTGGTTGAAATCTTTCTAATATTCGAGTAAAAGTTTGAGTAATGAATCTAGTACAAATTTATTTTAATTTTTTTAGAGAAAATTTAATATATGGGGTAGACAAAATAACCGAATAATTCACGATACTTTTAGCAATTCCTTTATTAATTTTAATAAAAATCTCTAACAATTATTTTCACAAAAATCAACAAGTTATTCACTATAAATCGCAGCAAACTAAACGTAATAAAGGGCGTTTGGGGGTGCAGAAAACCCTCGCCCTCGTAAATATCGGAAACCCCATTACAGCGGTGCCTTCTGGGAAATAATAGGGCGACGTAAGGTGTCTGGGCAAGTACTACTCGTGCGTGTATCAGTACCACAGTACCTTTTTTCCCTCGTCCGATGTCGAGCTACACTCGAATTCGAATTCGGGTTATTCGTATTTGGCGATTTTAGTCTTAGTTTCGAGCCTTGACCTACGCTGTGGTGTGTGTATTTGTGTTGTGATATTGTTCCGTGCACGTGCCGAAAAATCGGTGGAAAAATTTTGTTATTAATCGCGATTTTTTTGGATATTTGTGTTGCATAAAATAGAGGGTAAGTTTGTACGAATCGCGCCCGGTATATTTTTTTGTTAAACGCTAACTAGTTAGTAGAGAATTTTTCGTAATCACCTCGTATACATATCGTGATAAAAAAATCTGTATGTATACGATTCGAATGGGCGACCCAGACCGATTCCGAAAACAATTTCGCATTTACATTCGTAAATATTCAATGTCTACATAACAATAATTTTATTGTCAACATGTTAATGACAATTTAAATGATTTTCTGGAAGATTATTGAAATCGATGGAATAGAAATTTTATCTGCAGGCCGACTTCTATTTACTCTACCTAACTATTGCTAAACAAATTAATAAGTAATGTATGCGTACACACTGAGATAAATCGTTTGGTTTTGTGCGTTCGTTGATTACACGCAGAAAAATTGTTTGTTTACTGTTGTTTAGATAACATTCGGACAAACATGGTGAATTATTACTGAGAAAGAAAGTGGGATTAGGGAATTTTATTTAATGTTGCATCATAATGATTAAATTGATCAAATAAAAATAAGAAACATAAATATCTAATTAAAGTTTTTACAAATTAACAATTATTTTTCTGAAAATTTAGTGATACAAAAATATTAACAACTCATACATTTATTACAATTTTACAAAATCTACATTTTTTTTCAAATGTCCAAAGAAAAATAAATAAATACAGAAAAAAATCCTGTAAAATACCTCTTAAAAATATTTTTAAGGGTTATTTATCAATAAATAATAAATTGAACCGCCCGATGCAAACTTTATTAATCAAACGAAAACAATAAAACATCGATTACACCGAAAAAAATGCTCGATTCCTTCGCTACAAGCAGAAAAATTGTTTGTTTACTGTTGTTTAGATAACATGATGAATTATTGCTGAGAAAAAAGTGGGATTAGGGAATTTTAATTATTGCTTTATATAGTCGAAACAAAAAAAAATCAAACCTACAAATGTCCCAAGAAAAATAAATATCTAAATGCATAAAAAAATCCTGCAAAATACCTTTAAAATATTTTTAACGGTTATTCATCAATAAATAATAAATTGAACCGCCCGGTGCAAACTTTATTAATCAAACGAAAACAATAAAAACGGCGATTACACCGAGAAAAATGCTCGATTCCTTCGCTACACGCAGAAAAGCGATCACTCTTTACTTCCTCGTTCGACCGAAATTTGCATTTCGACTTCGAATCGCCCCCCGATTCCGAACGATTTGCGCGCGCCACCTTCCGGCCGACTCGCCAAACCCGACCGACCCCCGCTCGTCAGTCAGTCAGGCTCCGGTCCGTGCCGAAAATCACCTGGAAAAATCCGTCCGTCCAAAACGAATCCTCCAAACGACCCCGCGAAAGAAGAAAAACAAAATAAAAAAATAAATAAAAAACGAAGGGATCGACGAAGACCCTTCCGCGATCGCGAAAGGGGTTGAGAAAGCGCGCCGATGAGAGTCGGGGGGAGTTTGAAATTAAAAAACAACTAAAATATACGAGGGAAGAAGAAAGAAGTAGCAGTACAAGAAGATGAAGAAGAAGGAGAAAGATCGTGATAGAGCGAGCGTGTGTGTGTGTACGCGAAGGGTGAAAAATAAGAAGAAAAGGGCGTCGTTAAAAAGAAACGGTACGATTTTCTTAGTGCATTTATGCAAACGCGAGCGCGACGGGACGACCGTCTACCCGTCCTCGTCACTCCGGTAATTAGTGGTCGGCTCCCCGAACGATGAGAGAGAGAGGGTATAAGCAGGACCGTGTGTGTGATTCTAAGTACACGCCGCCCCTTAATTTACGTCTAAGGGTAAAACAGTAAGAGCAAAGAAAACCTGGGTGGGGGGTAGGGAGGGCGAATCTTACGCGCGAGGGGAGGTCGGGGCGCAAGCGTTCTTGCCTCTTAGTAGGCTTTGTCTAATCGGATTCATTAACAGCGATCCGGGAATTATGCGTCCATTGCTAGTCGGCATATTTTTGAAAGCAGTCGGAACAGGGACCCCTTCGAAGACAGCGTCCTCCTGCTGGATCACATGACAGGTGCGCGATTTATTATTTACAATCAACACAAAATAAAATTTAAATAAAATAAAACGTGTGTTTGTGTGTGCTATCTACTATCAACTATCTAACTACTTCTGTTAGTAATACACCGATATGGGAGTTTTTTTTTGGGTTACCATCATACGTGTTGGAGAATATGCGCTCTATGTTGGCGTGCATATCCTGGCGGATCCTGCGAGAGTTTCGTTCAGTGTGTGTCCGACGCGCTCTCCCGCTCCTGCTGCGTGTTTGTGTGTGTGTGTGTGTGCTCGCGTGGTGTTCGGTGTTGTTGAAATTTCGAAATTTTCGGAATATGTCGGTGCTACTTTGCAATAACAAATCGGATGGCGCGCGCTCGATTGGCCGAAAGTTTCGGCTCGGCACGTGTTCGGCGGGAATTTGGGTCGGCGTGTGCGGGATAGATGGTAAAGTTTTGTTGAGGCGTCGCGGCGGCCCGTAAGTAGATATAGGCGGGAGCGGTGCAGGAATGGTAGGGTTTTTTTTTTTTGTGATGAAGGGGTTTCGGTGGGTGGTTTTGGAGGTGTGAAGGTGGGAGGGTTGGTCGGGATGGTGGTGGGTTTTGCAGGATTTTTATTTGTGTGGTAATTTGTTGGTTGTGTGTTCAGGAAGTATGGGAGAATAGTTGTAAAAAATTATGTAAATGTAGGTAGATGTATGCGAAGTTTTCGTTGATTTGTAAAAGATTTAATTAATTATGTTTTTTTGCCTTTCGTTGATTAATAAGTTACAAAAATTATTAACAAATCTTATTGTTTGTGAATATAAGAAAAATACAAAAATTTCTTTATTTGTATTTTTCTTGCAACAATTAGGAGGCATTTATTGGGTTAAGAATATTAATATCTTAATATTTATTAAAAAAACGTGTAAAATGTTCATCAGAAAAAAATTAATACATTTGCAAAAATTTGTCTTTTTTATTTATATTTTTCTTTAGATTGTTGGGATAAAAATATTAAATAATAATTATCAAAAAACGTGTTAAATTTTTATCAGAAAAACATACATATTCAAAAATTTCGCTACAATAAAACTATGTTAATTTTTTATCAACTATTTAAGTAGCCGTTTCCAAAATTTTCTTATTATTTCTCTATAAAATTAAAATAAATCAACTAAAATATTCACAAATTCAAACGAATATTTTTCCTGCGAAATCCATCCAACAGGATATTAACCCTTTTACCGCATTATCACATCATTCGTCGCGTTAATAAATTAATTATGCTCGCTTTACGTTATCTACTAATCTAATTCCTGTCGCGCTCGATCTCGACCCGAAATCGCCGCATTTTCCTGCTAATCAACCGTTTACTGCAGAGTAGCACCTTCGATTTTCGCGTTTTCTAAAAAATAAACCCCAAAATGCACCACACGGGTAAGTCGCTCGCATGAATTATACAGTGGGTTAATTAATAAGTGCCAGAAACTTCGAGGGGTGATTTTTGCATGAAAAAATAATCAAATTTTGCTATATAAAGATATGTACAGAAATGCTTCTATTTCGAGATATGGTGTGTTAAAGTTTCTTCTTATAAAAAGCGAAGATTTATTTATTTCTCTGGAACCAGACGAGGTATTTAAATGAAATTTGGGGGGTTTTAAGTGGTAATTATTGCGCATTTTTTGACATAAAATTCAGTATTTGTATAAATCTGTATAAATTAAAAATTTTATGTTCATCATTGACGTTCATCCCTGAAGTTTATCGCACTAATTAATTAACATCCTGTATATTACACAAGGAGGAAAAAAATAAATTTAAACTAGAGCGTCGCATAGAGGCGTGTTATTTATAATTTTTAATAGTTCACCGTTTTTTTTTGTGGATCTGTTCTAACAGTGAATGATATCAAAAAATCAGGTTGATACGAATTTAATGGTTTAACGAGTGGCTTCGTGAGAACCACGAATTCCATCTAGAAATGATATTTTTGTGCGAGTGTGAAACGGGAAAAAATCATGTTTAGAGCGAACGTTACGCTTTTGTGATTTGTAATGTGTATTCTACGGGCATGAAAATTCCGGTTAAACTGTTGCTTTGCTATTCAATGTTTGACAAAATCGCTTTGGGAATGAAACGCGAAACGGGACGAAAAAATGCTTGAAAAATTTTGTTTTATTTCTTCTTTATTTTTGTCATAACGAAACTCATTTGCTTCGTACGGGATTCCATATAGGAAGTAAATTAATAATCGATTAAATCGATTAAATTGATTATAAGTAATATCTTGAGAATATTTTATTTGTTACAGAGGTCATTGATTGACTCGCTAATTTCTTTACGCTTATAAATTACGGGGTAATGTTGTAGCATATTTAAAAATTCTACTTCATGAAAATCGAAAATTTCTATTTCTGAAAAACGATTTTTTCGACATTTTTTTGCGAATTATCTTCATTAAACTACGCTAAAATGTTTCTGGTAGATTGGAAACGATTATGATAGAAAAGTTCATTTTTTTATCTAAAATTTTAACACCCTGTAGTTCGATAACTAAGAGGTTTAGGACATACATTGATATAAACTTTTCTTCTTAAATTTATCCAAATATTCACATCCTAAATTATCGGCATTCAATTAATTAACACCCTATACATTAAAACTTAAAACATCCTCGAAAATCTCATCAATTTCGCCCTATAAATGCAAAAATAAACCAACTAAAAAAAATAAAATAAAATCGAAAAACCGCATTCCGCTCATGAATATTTAGCGCGCGACGTCTGGCTTTCTTAAACATTTTCCCAAAACGCTAAATCACGGACAATTAAACGGGTTTTTCGGGGGAAAACGAACAACCCTCCCCCGGAACTCACGGAACTCATATATGGACGAAGTCACGGAACGCGAAGCATGCGAGAGAACAGAAGGGACCGAATTTTATACAGGGTGTTCCATATAATGACATGCTAATATTTAAGAGGGCGATTCTTGGACCCATTTTGAGAAAAAAACTTCATATTAACATATGTCTTTAATCTTAAATTTGTTATTTTTTAAGTTTAGCACAGCGCAATTATTTATTTTTTTAATGCGAAACGATGAGTCGTACGGAAAAAAGTCAAGAAATCAAATTTGTTCTAAATTGAACGAGGATTCCGAAAATAATTTTTATTTCAATACTAGGCAGAGGCGTACTATTTTTTCTCTAAAAATATTCAATGCAAAACCCGTACGGACGCCACTGTTGAAAATAATAAAATTATTTGTACATCAGATAATGCATGTTGATTCATAAAAGACGTGTGCCAAATTTCATAAAAAAATCTACAATAGTATCATAGTTATTACAAAAAATTGATTATTTTCTTAAAACTTTAACACCCTCCATCTCAAAAATTAAGACGTTTACGACATAGGTTCATATGAAATTTTATCCTTGGAATAGGCCCAGGAATCACCCCCTCAAATATCATTATATTATTATTAAATATCATTTTAGCATGTCATTTTAGAACACCCTGTATGTGGAGTCGCGTGCGTATGTGGCGTTTCCTCGGCACGTACGAAAACATTTATGCTTTCGAAGAACGAAACCCGCCGCCCCCCGACGGGGGGATTCTCTTCGCCTCCCCGCCGCCGCCGCCGCCGGCGCTTCCCCCGGGGGAAGGTCGGCGGGCTAATGAGGGCGAAAACCGGTGAATTGCATTCGAGGAGAATTGAAATTAGTGCATCTATAGAGGTCGATCTAAAGCGGCCGATTCTTCGTGTTTTGTCGGGTAAATGGTAAATGCTGAGTGTGTATAGGGTGTCCCAAATTACGTGGACTGGAATCGGCAGGATTCGAATGGAGAGCGCCAGGAAAAATTGAAATTTATTATAAAACACTTTTTTTGAGTAATTATATAACTCAATAGGTTTGTTCAATTAGAAAATATCATCTAAAAGTTTGTCGGGTATACAAAAAAGGTATATAAAATAATGCCTAAGATGCCCAGCATTTGGGCTATATTTGGATATTAAATGCATCCTTTTTGATCATATTAAATAGCACCCATGTTAGTTTAGAGGTATCTTAACATCATTAAATAATGCCCAAGTTACTTGAGACTTGCCAGTCATTAAATAACTTTTCCTATATAATCGGACGTTAAAAACTCCTTTTTTGATCATTAAATAGTCCCCAGAGTTATCCTAAAACCAATAAACAAAGCCCAAAGATACCTAACATTAAATCAGGCGTTAAATACCATTGGGTATTTGGGCTACATTGTGACTTTAAAAACTCCCTTTGATAATGAAGGCGAGGAGACAAAAAACAAGTCAATAATTTTTTCGTTTCGATCTTTTTCGCAGGAATTCGAAATTCAAAAAGCGCAAAAGAATGACGGCGATCGCCTAACAACAACAACATCATCATCATCATCAACCATATCATCGCGATATAGGAAAGGGGGGCGATATACATATAATGTCGCAATCCCACTATTCGCTCAGATGGAACAACCATCAGAGCCACATCCTGCAGGCGTTCGACGCCCTCCTGCAGGCCGAGACGCTCGTCGACGTGACGCTGGTGTGCGCCGAGACGTCCGTCAGGGCGCACAAGGTCGTCCTCAGCGCCTGTTCGCCCTTCTTCCAACGGATATTCGCCGAGAATCCCTGCAAGCATCCGGTCATCGTGCTGAAGGACTTCGACGGCTGGGAGGTGCAGGCCATCGTCGATTTCATGTACAAGGGCGAGATATCGGTGGTGCAGGAGCAATTGCAGAGTTTGATCAAGGCGGCCGAGAGCCTGCAGGTCAGAGGTCTGGCGACGCAGGATCCGTTCGGCGTCGATAAGGAATCGACGTCGATCGTCAATCAGACGCCCACGCCGTCGGCGTCGCCCAATGATTTCGATAGGAATTACTACAGTAATACCAGGTAATTTATTACATTTCGATATATTTCTATGTGACTTGGAAAATTTGTTCTGAATTGTTCCGAACTGTTCTAAACTACTCCGAACCGTTTTTAAACTGTTCTAAGTTACTCCGAGCTGTTCTGAATTACTTCAAACTGTTCTGAATTACTTCAAACTGTTTTGAACTCTTCTACACTTATAGGAACCGATTTTAAATAGATCTAAATTACTCCGAACTGTTCTAAACTACTTCAAAGTGTTTTGAACTCTTCTGCACTTATAGGAACCGATTTTAAACAGATCTAAATTACTCCGAAATGTTCTAAACTACTTCAAACTGTTTTGAACTCTTCTACACTCATAGGAACTGATTTTAAACAGATCTAAATTACTTATAACTGTTCTAAACTACTTTTAAAACTAATTCGAACCGTTTTGAACTGTTTTAAACTAATCGGATCGTACTCCAAACTCTAGCAATTCACTCCGAACTCTTCTCTGAACTATTCTAAACTACTCCGAACCATTTTGAACTGTTTTAAACTAATCAGATTCGTTTAAAACAGTTCTAAATTACTCCGAACTTGCTTTGAAATATTCCTATCAGTTCCGAACCGTTTCAAAGCGATTCAAACGACGCCGATTGTCGATCGAAAATGGGAAAAATCATTTAGTCCTATCTCCTAAAATCCCCTAAAATATTTACCGAATTTGAAGCGTATTTTCGACTCGATTCCGTCGCGAAATCAAACAAAGACGTCAAACTAAATTCGACGCGTAATAAGGGTAGAGTCTATAAGAAGGGCGTGAAACGCAAAAATATAGCGAAACGATATCAAAGTGCGAGACACTTTCGTCGACCGCAAATTTCCCCGTTCGACACGTCGACTAGACACTCCCGCCCGGGTATTTCATAAATAATGGTTCGTACGGGGAATTCCTGAATAAGCATAACAAATAAGCAACGTAAATTCTTTATTAGCGGATTTTATATTATCGTGTAAACGTAGACGAATTTAAACGTTTACACAGTAGGTACACTTGCGTTTTGATATGCAGAGTGTTAATTAATAAGTGCGACAAATTCGCGATTCTGTATGAAAAAAATAACTATATTTTGTTAAATAAAGATATGGGGTGTTAAAGTTTCTTCACTATTAGATAACGTGTATTAAGGAAATGAAAAGTACAAAGTTTTTTTACTTGAAAATAGCGGCTCGTGCGAAAAAAACACAAGAGAGTTTTTTTGTCACAAATTGAACGAGGAATTTATTCATAATTGAATTTTTAATAAAAATTCCCCAGTGGCGTACCAATATTATTTTTTCTTTAAAAAAATGTTATTATTACCCGTATGCGCGTCAATAATGAACATAAAATTTTCAATTTTATGGCAAAAAATGCGTAATAGTTACCTCTCAAAACGCACCAAATTTCATTTGAATATCTCGTCTAGTTTCAGAGAAATAAATAAATCTTTGGTATTTAAGAAGAAACTTTAACACCCCGTATCTCGAAAACAAATCATTTCCAGACATATCTTTATACGTATAGCAAAATATCGTTATTTTTTCATGCAAAATCACCCCATGAAATTAACACCCTGTACTGTGTAAACGTACTCGTACACCAACGTTTACACAATACATTCGAATCGAATTAATCCCAAAACGCCTTCTTTTCCTTTCTATAAAAAGGTTCCCCAACACGGGCGTCGCCGCCAAAACGCCCGCCGCCGTCGACCACCACCACCACCACCAACACCACCACCAGCGACAGACCTCCCCGTTTTCGCCGGCGCCCAGCCACGGCAGCTTCGAATCGCCGGTGAAGCTGCCCCACATGCCGCGCCTCTCGTTCCCCGACGCCCTGCTGCCGCCGCGGCCCGACTGCCCCCAGTCGCCGGTGGCCAGGCGCAAGCAGGCGCGGCCCCGCCGGCGGTCGGGCGAGCTCGCCGGTCCGCAGGACCTTTCGCTGGGCGTCGCGCCCAAGCCCGAATCGCCCGTCGAGGAGACGGCCGAGAATCTCTGCATCAACAAGCGAACGCACGTCAAGGAGAACAAGAAGGACATCAAACAGGTGAGTTCGTTGACGTATGACATATGTCACATTTCGTTGATTGGAAAGCCTACTACTACTACAATAGCAACTTCCTGCAATACCGCTTCGAAGCCAACTAAGTATGTGTGTGTAAATTTTTTGGGGGTTTCAGGAAAAAAGCAGGACGCCGGAGACGAGCATCGGCAGCCCGGAGATGGACCTGAGCCTGGCCGGTGTCCAGAAGGATTTTCGGAGCTCGCCTGTAAATATGCACCCGATATTGAACATGAAGCAAGAGATCGACAGCCATTCGCCCTTGCCGTTTCCGCCCATGCCCTCCGTGTCAGCGCTCACTATGACGCCGCCCCATAGCAAATGTGAGTGTTTAAGTTGCGTACGATGGTACCGGCGGTGACGTCGCGGCTCGGATCGTTTGAACGGTGTATATGCATACGTATTTAGAATGATCGACGGGTCGTTTTTAATTGTTTCTTTTTTTTTTTTTTTTGATCGAATATCGACCGCAAATTTACGTTTGTTGTTTGGAAATCTGGGAATCGTCGGTGCATTAAATGCGAACGAGGCAGGTGCGGGGGAAAAAATTAAACGAGCGAATCGTCGTAGACGAAAATGGGTCGCGGTTAATTTAGAATTCCAATTTAGGATTTCTACTACCGCCGGTGGATTTCCTTTATAATTACTCGACGCTTTTTTAAAAAGACGCTAAATTTATATACTGTGTAATTATTGATTTAAGTACTCGAGACTATCGCGCCGGAATAGAATCGATTTAATATTTAATTGGACCGTTTCACTTGAATTTTTTATACGTACACATTTTACTCTTTACCAGCGATTTACGAAACAATTAAAAGAATATTCAACTATCGTTTTTTTATTTCAGTTTTCGGTCTAGACTCGTCCTTAGGACTGTTTCCTCCGGGACTGGAAGGATGCAGGAATCCCCTATTCGACATGCCCGATCCCCGAACGACGCCCGATTCACAAATGTTCGTCAAAAAGAAAAGTAAGACACTCCTACAATACGGTAATCTCTATTAATTTCAACCAATTCGTTGTTATATTATCGTGTAAACGTTGTCTTTATAGAAATACAACCTACGTTTACAACGCAATATTATTATTGAATTGTGACTGAATTCCATTAAAGTTCGCACTAGTTCGTTTGCTGATAATTCTATATGTAATTGTTGCTGTGTAAACGTTGTTTCGCTATAAAAATTGAACTTACGTTTACACAATAATGTTAAATCGTAAATAACAATCAAATCTCTATTGAAGTTTGCTGTTATCACTCATTTCGATATGAAATATTGCTGTGTAAACGTTGTTTTATTATAAAAAAATCAACCTACGTTTACACAATACTATAAAATCGTGAATAATAACCAAATCCTTTATTTGAAATGAAATCGTATACCGTATCACTCATTTCGATATGAAACATTACTGTGTAAACGTAGTTCCACTGTAGAAATTTAAGCTACGTTTACACAACGTCATATAACCATTTGTTTATTGAAATATATCGCGTTTCATTCGATTCCATTAGAAATATTGCTGTGTAAACGTTGCTTTACCATAGAAAATTCAACCTACGTTTACACAGTAATACTAAATCGCTAGTAACATCGAAAAAAAACAAAAAACCTAACATTTCTCCGTTTTTTTTTATCGCAGTGGGCAGACCGAAGGGGCAGCATTCGGCGCCGCGCGGCGGCCCGCCCCGCTCCTGGACCAACGCCGAGCTCACCGAGGCCCTCCAGCACGTCTGGAACAAGAAGATGACCACCAGCCAGGCGTCGCGGATATTCGGCATACCGTACAACTCCCTTTTGATGTACGTCCGCGGCAAGTACGGCAAGAGCCTGAAGCTCGAACAGCTGCGCAAGGACTGCATCGGCGGCCCCAACCCAACCCCCATCGACCTCATCAACATGACCGCCGGCGGCGGCAACCAAGCCGGCGGCGGCGGCGGCAACAACAACAACAACACGCCGTGCAAGCCGGAGAACAACAACCGCGAGCCGGAGCCGATGCAGACGAACCTGGAGGACCAGCACGCGGCGACGGCGACGTCGCTGTTCAATCCGTTCACGCACAGCTTCTATCCGGACTTCGGGACGGGGTTCCCGATACCGGTGAGCATGATCCATCTGTTGCCGCAGAGCGAGAAGAGCCGCGAACCGTTCGGCCAGCATCATCAGGCGATGCTCGACGACGACGGGAAGCCGGAGCGCAAGGACGAACAGGAGGCGGCGTTCAGGCCGCCGGCGTTGTCGGTCGAAGATCGACGGGAGTTGGTGCACGAGAACGGCCGGGATTAGAGACGGGCGCCGGCGATGCGACGGAATTGCCTTCGTTGAACAATTTTCGTTACATATCCTATTTCATGGTACTGTGTAAACGTAGCGTTATGCTGGGTTTATGCGGGGTTTTTGGTTAGGTGTTTAGTTGGACGCTCGATGCAATTTTTGTTTCGAAATTTACACTTTTTTTTTCATTAAATATACTGTGTAAACGTAGTATTATCCCAAGTTTGCACAGTGGTTTTAAGTAGAGTTTTAATTGGGTACTTGACACATTTTTTTTTCGAAATTTACACTTTTTCTCTTTAAATATACTGTGTAAACGTAGTACTATCCTAAATTTACACAGTGATTTTAAGTAGTGTTTAGTTCGATGTTCGATACATTTTTTTTCCAAGTTCCAACTACATATTTAGAGTAACTCTCTGTGTAAACGTAGATTAAAATTACATCGAAGCTACGTTTACACGACAACGCTAAAACGCCGTATGACAATAAATAATAAATTTTTGTTGGCAATTTTGAGGGCAATTCCGTTCCAATGGCGAGCTCGTCGACGAAGGGACTAAAATTAAGTGAAAAGCAAAAACAAATAGGGGCAATATTAGTAAAATATAACGTGAGTAGAAGAGAAAGCGGGTCTCGTTCGGGGCCGATTTGTTAAATTTTTTTATTCCGATAATTGAGAAAATGGAAAAAGGATAAACTTTTACTCCGCGACGGGGCGACAAAATGAAAAACTGTCGGGAGATGAAACTGTTGGTCGACATTTTTTAATTATTTATTTTTAATTTTAATCGACTACAAAATAAGCCTGTCGTGCTTCCTGGTTTTCCTCAGTTTCCGCCTATGGGAGTTGTTTCGTTTGTTCGACAAATTCCGAGTTGAAGCGAATCGAGAAAAATCGGGCATTAACCGAGCAATGGCGGACGTTAATTCTGCTCGGGCATTATAATAATTACCTTATTATATGAGTTATTATAGACAATAAATCGTCCGGTATTCGTTAAACAATTCGCGATATAACGTCCGGAATCGTTTGGGTTAGTTGCGAACCGTCCAAAAAAAAAAAAAATAAACTAAATGAAATAAAAATTCACTCGGAATTTGTATATTTATAAGACTGATATATCATATTGCCAACGTTCCAACAGAGATATTTATGAACTACAATACAACAATTTCGTTTTCGTTTTTTACTGATACCACTTTTATACAGTTCCTCAAGATATATACAGATTTTTTACCAAATATTTACTCCATATTTCTATATACAAAGGTTTTTTGTTCACTCCGAGCCGGTCGGGGATGCGACCGGAAAATTAGTGAAAATAAAAAAAAAATCCGCTTTTCCGGTGGCATTTCCGCGCCGATGAAAACACTTAATTACTTTCAACTGCGATACTTGTGATTTTTTATGAAACAGTTTGTACAGTATACAGATTTATAATAATATAGCTACAGTATTTTGTTCGACAGATTTATATTTTTGATCTCGATAAGATCCCCGGTTTTTCAGTATTTTTATAGTGAATAATTACAGTACGATTACATGACGGTTGCAGATATTTGTGAAACTTTTTATAATATTACATTTTACAGATTTAAATATATGCGAAAACTAAGTAAGTTGGAACAGACTGAGAATTTTGTTGAATTTATTCACGGATTATAGGAAAATGGATATAATTTTTCGTTTTGTTAATAGTCTAATTGATTCGTTTTTTTCCGATCGTTCTGGCAAAATGATTAGCGGATATTTAAGCGTAAATTTTACCTGATCATCAGTCTTTTTTGTGCGAAATTTAAGGTAGATTTATCGACTTACCCTCGTAATTACGCAGGGCCGGATCGAAAATAAAATCTACTTTTCCTTTCCGAATAAAAAAAACGTTTGTACAAAAATTATGTGTTGACTTAGTGTATGTATGAATAAAAAACAATATCTTTCCGACTTTTCGCTATTAACAAATTAAAATTTATGTGTGTTTAAGTTTCGGTGTTTCGAGCAAAATAAAACTAATGGGATTCGTTAGGAAATTGTATAAAAAAATACTAACTTTAGGCAAAAAAAAACATAGGTATACGGTCAACAATGTACAAATTATTCTTCATACGATTTATTTTGGCCGCAAGTTGGAGAACTCGCGCATTTGGTTTAATTTCTTTCAGCACACAATAAGATTTTGTGATAATGTTAACAATAACATTGTACTTTGTTTAGTAACTAGGGAGATGAGAAATGGATGAAAAGCAGGATTTAATAATACCGTGTAAACGTTGTGGCAGTAGAAATTGCGGTAAACGTTTACACAGTAGGTTAAAAATCTCTTTAGTTTCTTAAATGAAGTATAAAGCACGAAGACAAATCAGCAAATTGGTAATTTTTTCGCGATTTTAGGCAGGGTAAAAACGAGTTCGAACTTGCGGTTACCAAAATTATACACTCAATATTTAAAAAAAAAACAAAGTTAAGGACACATCACTAGTTATAAATATAATGATCGTTTGTTTGTTTTGTACTTTAAGCGGACATATCCACTGTTTCTAGCACTGGTTTTTTTCTGCTACCAACAGTGTGTATATTTTTATTAATTTTGAAATCAGTATTTTAAAAGAAACTTATTAATATATTAACGGTTTATTCAGAATTTTTAAAATGTGATATAGCTACTCAGACCCGACGCAAACGTTTGAGTAGACTTTGTTAGATATTAGAAAGTAGAAGAGGAATCGCCGATTGGCGATCAATTTGTCTATAAAGTATGAAAAAAAAAATGCGGAAAAAAACGCATCGCGAATCGGCCATTCTCGTTTAGGAAGTGAGATAAACATGTTACCACTATTACGTTTTTTTATATTCCTTTTTTTTTATTATTTTATTTAATTTAAATAACCTCTATATTTATTGAACTGATTTCCTTTTTTTTTGTATCGTTAAATTTATTTTGTGATTTTATTTTCCTCTGTGTAAAATAGTTTTTCTCGACTCGACGGAAGGTTGTGCACAAAGTATTATTTTTTATAAGCTGCTGCTCTTTGTTTGAAAGCGCTTCAAGTGTTCCTTCTATTAGTTAATTACGCAAAAAAAACCGTCGAGTACCGATTTATAGGCAACCCATTTAACGTGTTACTAAACGTGTATTTGTAGTTGCCTATTAATCGATAATCGGCGTACATAGAATTAAAAAAAATGGTGCTGGTATTAATAAAAGTTAAGTTGTACATATCCGAAACGAACACAGACATTCCTAAAGAAAGTATTATTAGTTTATAATTTGCAAAACTTAGCGTAGACGTTTTCAGTTCCTCTATACTTATATATTTTTAATGGTTTTTTATTTTAAAGCACTCTTAGCGTATGTAATATTGGCACCTGTTTTGATATTATTTTTCCGACACTTTTATCGGATAAGTCCCTATAGGTGGTTTAAGTCGTAATTCTTGTGGTACTTAAATGATCTAAAGGCTTGCTGATTTAATTGACAGAGCACAATTGTAGGGGGTGTAATACCTGCAACTCCTGCGAACGGGGTTGCAGGAATTAAACTGCAGACTGTAATATATATTTTGTATTTAATTATTTTTTTAACAGTACCGAATAATACTCGTTTTAATTGTTTGCGTTCTTGTTTGTTTTATTTTTTCGGAGTCGTAAATTTAGTGCAATAATTCGTTACATTTGAGAAATTTGTAAATTTGATATTTTCGGCGAGTTTTTCGGAATTCCCGAGAAGAAATTTAAAAGAAAGGAACGTAACCCCTGGCATTATTGTGTATAAAAAAAATTGAAAATTTAATGTTGCAATTTCGTATAATGGTGCAATCATTGTAAAAAAATCGATAGGAAATAAAAATTATACAAAAAAAATATGTTTAAAGAGTACCACGTTTCGGCACCTCGTACGTTTTATAATTTTTTTTTTTGTATTATTTGCGTTTTTGTGTATTTTTTTCTCGACGAAATTTGATATTTCTGGACGGAAAGAGAAGATTTTTCTAACTAAAAACAATCCCCGATAAATTCACTCTATTGTGCAAAAATACAGGGTGTTTTTGATCGTTGATTTCCGCCCCTTTCGGTCCAGGAGTACTCAAAAATTTAATACAGGGTAAATATTAACAATATCTGAAGAATAGATTAATTTATAAAAAGAGAAACAATATATAAAGTGTATACCAAAAGATAAAAAAAATGCAGTATACAGTGATATAGAAAAACCATAACGATTAGCAAAATTATTTATTGAATTACCTAATAAAGATATTTGCAATTAATAAATAATTTTGCCGTGTACGAGGTGTTCACAAAGTGCAAACGCGCACTTAATAATAAAAATATTGTATTATAATTTGTAGGTACATACGGTATGAAAAAAATAGATATTTGATATTAGGTAGGCTTAGTTTTTGATGATGTTGAAAAAATTAATAAAGCTTCGTCAAAGAAAATACGTATTTTTATTTCTATTGTAATATTCTAGTAGACACAAGTTATTTAATATATACATTGGTTTTTAGAATTGGAATGATTTTTATTTTTCAATAAAATATAAATTTACATACACCTCCTCGTGAAATGAGTTTCAAATAAAATCGAAAAAAAAACGAAAATACAATTAGATTCTAGGACTAGTCATGTCTTATATAACGCCTGATAATTGGCCTCTTCTTTTAGTTCTTATAACCGAGGGAAATTTGTCAATGGGGATCGACAACAAAACTTGCGCGCAAATCTCGAGTTAAAACGAGACAATTTAAAATTTCGTATTAGGAGAGCAGAATGTATGAAGAGGTTTACTCCTGATACTTATTACTCACGCGTTCCTAATACAATAGATAGGCAACCGATAAATCGAATTTTGGTAATTCTGGTTGCCTATCTATTGTATTAGGAACGCGCGAGTAATAAGTATCAGGAGTAAACCTCCTCACACATTCTGCTCTCCTAATACGAAATTTCAAATTCGCAAATTTTTAACGAGAAATTTTCGAACGATGTACAAAACTATTCTTCCGATTTTTACAAATTGCGTTAAAAAAGTTTTGCGTTTTTTTTGCAATAAACTCGAGAAAAGTTTTGCGTTTTTTTTGCAATAAACTCGAGAAAAGTTTTGCGTTTTTTTTTCAATAAATTCGACAAAAGTTTTGCGTTTTTTTTTCAATAAACTCGAGAAAAGTTTTGCATTTTTTTTCAATAATTTCGACAAAAGTTTTGCGTTTTTTTTTCAATAATTTCGACAAAAGTTTTGCGTTTTTTTTCAATAAATTCGAGAAAAGTTTTGCGTTTTTTTTCAATAAATTCGACAAAAGTTTTGCGTTTTTTTTTCAATAAATTCGAGAAAAGTTTTGCGTTTTTTTTCAATAATTTCGACAAAAGTTTTGCATTTTTTTTTCAATAAACTTGAGAAAAGTTTTGCGTTTTTTTTTCAATAAATTCGACAAAAGTTTTGCGTTTTTTTTTTCAATAAATTCGACAAAACTTTTAGCATAAATTTCATAAATAAATTTTAGTTATTAGGGAGGGAGAATGTGGGAGAAGGCCAAGGATCAAGCGATATACGAGAAGAGACTACTCCCTGTATAAAAAAAAAGATTTAAAAAAAGGAATTTATAATAATGCCCTAAATGTTTTAATACACATCTTTATTATTAATTTTGAATTAAATAAAACACCATACAAAAAAACAACCAATAAACTACTCATTTGTAAAATTCGTGTTCGCTTTCATCCTTCTTGATGTTATTCTTGTAGCCCTTTTCGAAATCCTTCGGCAACACGATGTAACGATTCTCTCTCACAGCGTGCATCCCGGCTTCCTGGCAAATGGCGTTAATATCCGCCCCCGATATTCTATCAGGCCTGGCAACGTAATCCTCCAAATCAACCTATAAAAAAACCCCAATAGAAAACCATCAACAGGGACCATACACCTTGCTCTATTTCCGATTGCAACATGGTCATTTCTACGAGTGGAACAAAGAAAGATTATTAAAATGACAGCTGTCAGAGTGAAAAGTTGCAATGATTCCCTTTATAAGTGTCTAAAGGAAGTTGTCTTTATCGCACTCATGGCTTTACCTATGTTGCGATCAAAAATGGAGGAAACTGTATAAACAATGTATTTAAGAGACATTTTGAAACTATATTTGATACTGTACCTCTTCAGACAGATTCATTTTCGATGTAATAGTACTGAATATCAACCGCTTCTGCCTCCTATCGGGCAACGGAAATTCGATCTTCCTATCCAAACGACCGGGTCGCAGCAAAGCCGGATCCAACGTATCCGCCCGATTCGTCGCCATGATCACCTTCACGTTGGTGGTCTGATCGAACCCGTCCATCTGGTTCAACAGCTCCAACAGGATCCTCTGCACCTCGCGATCGGCGCCCGTTTGGGCGTCGAAACGCTTCGTCGCGATGGCGTCGATCTCGTCGATGAAGATGATGGCGGGGGAATTCTCCTTGGCCAGGCGGAACACGTCTCGCACCATCCGGGGCCCCTCGCCCAGGTACTTTTGCACGAACTCCGAACCGACCACTCGAATGAAAGCCGCTGTAAACAAGAGTAGTAAGAGGCCGTATATTCAGCGATAAATGTGTAAATGAACATACCTGTGGTGTGATGAGCTACGGCTTTTGCGAGCATGGTTTTACCGCAACCGGGCGGGCCGTACATCAGCACACCTCTCGGAGGGTCTATACCGATTTGTTTGTACAGCTCAAAGTGGGTCAACGGAAGTTCTACGGCCTCTCGAATCTCCTGCTTTTGCATATCCATACCTGTTATAAAGTAAATACTATTAGTTTACGATTGGATACTATTAGGATGGCTGTATACCTCCGATATCGCTGTATTGTACGTCCGGTTTCTCATCGGCTTGTAGCATGCTAATGGAGGAGTCCGCTTCGGGCGGTAGGACGTCCACCAAAGCATTGCTGTGCTTGTGTAGGGCTACGCTAGCGGACGGTTTCAATAACTCCCTATCGATGGTAGAGAGAATTCGAACGTAGTAATTAGAACCTATAAAGTAACCGTTAGAAATCCTTCGGAGACTACAAATCGATTAAATCTACCGGTAGTTGAACCGACAATGCCGGTATTCTGATCGACGGCTTCTAAGAATTGACCGATAACCAACGGTACTGATTGGATGCGTTTGACTTCTTCTTGGGCGTGCAGGTACTCCTTTTTCAAGTTCCTCTGCTCGTCTTTGATGTACTCTTCTTGGACTTCTAAGAATTCCAATGTCTGCTGTAATTTCTTGTATTTCGTGTACAAATCCTCCATGTCTAAATCTTGCAAGACCTGTTTCGCTTCGGAAGGACTGCCTTCCTCCTGAAAACAATGGAGACTTTACTATGATAGGAACGTTCTAACACGCTAACAGATTAACCATTTTGGGAGGGGACATTTTTATCGGTAAAAAACTGTGACAAGTCAATTCACAATGAATTTTTTTTTGTTATTTACTTACTTTCTCTGGTATTACAATATCCATAGCCTCCATTGTTGATGACTTTTATAAAATTTTCGACAATTTTGACGTTTACGTCAATGTCAATTACTTCTTCTTTAAATTTTGTGACAATTACATATGAAGTTTTCGAACACGTGTAAAAATGCCTAAAACATAAAATTAGGTTGGTAGTAATGTCAAACTATCTCTCATCTGTCATTATTATCATATCTGTTTTTGTGTCAAATAAAAAACGAAACAAGTGTAAAAAAAATACGAATAAGTTTTGGTATGTAAATTATTCCGATTACTAACGCAAATAACACAAAAAACGCACAAATACGTAATACGGCAATTGTAATACAGTAAGAGCGTGGTCCAAAACGAAAAAAATAAAAACCAATACGTTTTGTACATTTCAATGAATGTCATTTGTCAGTTTAAGTTATGATTCAACTTTGCCCAAATTGCGATTGACTAAACTAAAACATTAAAAACACATTTCGACCTTTCTAGTAGCTGCTCGCCCTGAAGAGATTATGAGAATTTCCACTACGTAGTTTCCAAGAACGTTCAAACGAAAATGAGCGCCCAAAGCAACCAGGCATTCGGCGATAAAGACGAAGAAATTTTGTATTGGAAGAATTTGGCCGCGGAGTATTTACAAGAGTAAGTTGTTTTCACGAAAGGCTTCACGCGTATAATCAATTGCCGTTGTAGTGCCGAAAGGATCCAAAAGGAATCGGACGAATTCATCCAGGAATCCCAACAGTTAGATAAAGAATACGAGGCCACCATCGATCAGAACGAGAAGAAAATCAAAGAACTCACATTGGCCAACAACAAAGCTCAAAATGAAATCGATTCGTTAAGAGTAAGTGTTTTCTTTCTTTCTCAAATACTGTATTAATTCGATTTATTCTCGCAGAACAAATTAGACCAAAGCAATAAGGAAAACGTTAGCCTACAAAACGAAATGCAGTATTTGAAAACGGAAAAGAAACAAATGGCCGACTACATTAGGGATTTAGAACAAAAAAACGACGATTTGGAAAGGGCCAGGAGGATAGTCGAGGAAAGCATAGCGGGCGTCGAGGCGGCCTTCCATTCGGCCATCGAACGAAACGCCATGTTGGAATCCGAAGTAGACGACAAAGAAAATTTAAAGGAAAAACTACAAAGGTTGGCCGATGAAACTCGAGGTAAATCCATAACCCTTGCCGGTGACGTCACTATTCAACAAGTAAAACGATGGCAACGTCGTTCATTTGAATCCTAAACATGATGAAAGTGGGATTAGTTTTTTGTCATTTTTCCGCTATTTAGAACTCTCAAGAAGCATTTATAACTCTCCAGAATCATTTCGAACTGTCTAGAACAATTTTAGAATGCTCCGTTATCCTTTAGAACTCTCCAGACTCATTTAGAATGCTCTAGAATTAATCATAACTGTTTAGAACGCTCCTGAATCATTTCGAAAATAAGGAAACGTATAACCGTTGGTTACGTAACCATTTGATTATAAAAAAAACTTCTGAATACAATGGATTATCGAGCGATTTTGCGTGTTTTTTGTAGATTTGAAGCAAGAGTTGTTGGTTAAGGACAAAGAGCGAGGGCCGGACAACGAACGAATATTGAACGGTTTTCAGAAAACCATCATGGATTCCAATCGACTGAAGGAAAACGAGACGCAAACGACGCCCGTAAAACGTAAGAAGAAACCGAATCTAACAAATCTATTCTCAAAGCTTTCAGATCTCTTCAAGCTCAAATCGAACGCTTGACTAAAAAACATGCTTACTTACATTATTGTTCATTATCTATTAGTTGGTACGCTTGCAGTATTTGATAACGCTTGATACTTGTATTAATAGTTCGTTTAAGTAGTAAACTCGTTGACTTTCCTCTAATAATGTAATATTTCTTTTCTTTGTAATAAGTAATAAACTTGACTATCGTTGATAAATTGTAACATTGTTGGTTATTTTGTGATTCGTTTAGTGCATGTTTTTTTTTGTTTTGTTAACGATTTTTCATTTGGATGTTTTTTGGCTAAGGTTTAGAGAAGGATTTTTGGAATTTTCTGAAATGCGTGACTGATGTATTTTCAGATGATTATCAAGCACCGATATCGCCAGCGTCGAGGGTAATGGCCCTGAATATAGTTAGCGATCTTATTAGGAAAATTGGAGTAAGTAAAATTTTGCATAAAAACGTCGTTTATTTTAACGATCGCTATTTGTATTTCGATGGATTATTTTTCAGTTTTTTTTTTTTTTGTATTTTGGTGTTAAAGAAGAAATCGAGGGTCTCGAATATAGTGAAAACCTCAGTTGAATTATAGCGAGAAACTTTTGAGTCGTGACTTACCTAGTTCGAGGCCATCGATTTTGCTTGTTACACGATTACTCAGCGCACCGGCGTAGAGGGAATTTTTCACTACCATTTTTCCTTTTTTTATGTAGTTTTAGATTAAATTAGCATACGAGGATAGGGTGAAAAGTTCTCGGTCCAATAAAATTCTTGTCTCCTCCTTTGGGATATTTATAATTCGTTCTAGAACTGTCTAGAACCATTTTGAATCATTCATAACTATTTAGAGCGCTCCAGAATCATTTAGAACTATCGAGAACCATTTAGAACTGCCTAGAACCATTTAAAACGTTCCAGAATCATTTAGAACTCTCTAGAACTAAAGATTTCTGCCTAATAAGAAGATTAATCTAATATTTTCAACTGTGCAATACTCTTTCAGTCAGGCCTAAAACTTTTCACCTTATTCTCGTACCTGGAATTATTTCTTCCAGCAAATATCTCTGTACTTTCCTAGTTACTACTGTTAGATTAATCCGATTTAGTTTTTGGCATGCTTTTATTTTGTGCATGTGTTTATTATGCTTTTAGTTGACAAAATGGCTGTGTTCGGAGTGTGGTCAGATTAAATGTACCTCGTGTGCATCGGAGAAACGAAAAAGCCTTGTGGAATGTCCAAGGTGTGTTGAAAAAAAAAGCAATAAAAGAAATCGCTAACAAATCTAACATAAATCCGAACTAAAACCGATATATCGATCTTATCATTTTATCATCAGCACAGCTTTCTTTAATTTATTAATTAGTACCTACTGATATACAGGTTGTTACAATCAATTAATTATTTGCCAACGGACATTTTTTTATGTTCTCCACAAATTTTAACTTCAACGCCCTGTATCTTAGTAGTGTATAACATTTGACCCACAGTTATTTAGTAAAATATAAATATTTGTAGGTCCTGAACTTATGATAAAAATATTGACCATTCCATATGAAACGCCCTGTATACATGTATTTATTTATTCGTTATTTTACAGGGCTTAGAACGGAAATTGGAAAAATGTAAAAACGACGTGCGAGATATATCCGCGAATGATATACGGTGAGTTGAACAAATTTTAGCAAAATACATCTCTCTAATTCTCTACTCGATTTTGAATGATTGCTATTAGAAGAAGCAGAAGCTCGCCGAAGAACAGCCTCTCTCCCAATCTACAAAGTTTTACTAAATGATTGCGTTTTACTTTTAGTTCGTTCGAGATTCAAAATTAATTTATCGACAAATTTAATGTAAGTTGTATCAATATGCCGTAATGAAATTATAGTTTTTACTCTACGTAGCTAATTTATGAAACTTCCAATATACATAAAACGTCAGGTGCATCTTTGATTACCTTTTAAGCTGTATTATATAAGCGAATAGTTTTTAAATCCGCTTCGTGTATCGTACCTTGAGTATTTTAAATGTACGGGGCGTCCCAATGAAAAGTAGCCCATTTAATCAATGTGAATTAAACGGAAGGGGTTTTGATAAAACACCCTGTATAGGTGAAACATAATTTCTGTCTGACTGTATCGAAAGTTGCAACAAAATAAAACATTATGAGCTAAATAAATGGACTACTTTTTTATTGGGACACCCTGTATATAAGAATCCAAGAGAGAGAAAAATATTGCGCTTGTAGGATATAAATAAGTACTTTAAACATTTCATTTTTGTTTTTTTATATAAAAATATAAATTCGTTACGGCCTAAAATTCACTATGTGTATGTAATTATAATTGATATTAGATTTATATTATTATTATTATTATTACAATAAAACGATTCCTTTAGTATGTAAATATCCGTTGTGAATTTTTTTTAATCATATATCGTAAGTTTATTTTTTTATGTCAATACGTGAATTTGTGACGTGAATCAAATAATTTATTTGTAAAAAGAAATAAGTATTGTTTCCGTATGCACCTGCATACGTGGAATCCAATTACAAATTAATGATTTTATGACACTAATTAATTAATGTGTATCGTATGTGATCTATATAATGTGAATATAGAATGTTAGAAGTAATTTTTTTCCGAAATAAAAAATATATAAACCCTAAATTATTCTCTTTTGTTTCGAATAAAGAATAAAAAAAACCCCAGCATAAAAATAAATTGTATTTTACCATGTAATATTATATTGACTAGATTTGAGTGCAACTTCAAACAAATCCTACCCTACTATAAGAAACACTCGATAATAATTATGTTACATCTACCAACAGTGCACCAAACTCCAGAAAAATGTATAATTATTTACAACAAAATTTATTTACAAGAACAAATTGCATGTGCACCCGTTAGGGGTTAAAATTTAAAATTATCCACCCCCCGTTCTGTTTACAAGTTGTTCGAATCCGCCGATACGTTATTATTACTAGAAGAAACGAAAGTATTATCGCATTTCGGATTGGTTTGAGGCGAATACGAGCTGTGGATTAGCGGCGCGACGTGATAACACGGAGCGTCCGAGCAAATGGGGCACAATCCGCCCGGAAAAGCCCCCAACAATTTCCTGTAACGTAAAATAAAGCGTTTATTAACGAAAATACCGGCGAATAATTGTGTTAAATTCATTGGTTTAATTCACGGTCTGGAAACATGGGTCGAAAAAGTGTCCCGTTATTTGAGAATAAAACAGGGTTCCTAAAACGACCGCTATGAGGCGATGTTGTAATTGACCACGGTCTTTTGCGTACGAATTATGTAGAATTGGCATTAAGATAGGTTTTATTCAAACTAAAAATAGATACAAAATATAAAAATACACTTAAATCAGCGATGAATTTGTTGTAAACATCATGCCTCACGTATCTTCGGTTAATGTATTTCTCCATTTTCTCCTCAAAATGTCAAAAAATAATTTTTTGAAGTTTTGACAGCTTGAACTGTCATTTCACACAACCGCGATTTATATGTATCGCCACGCTGATTGGCTGAGATAAATTGGTCCTCAGATCGTTCGCCACGGTGCGGCGCAAAAGTGAAGCTCAAAAAGTCCTCAAATAACGGGACATATTCTCCAAAGGGAGTTTCCAGACCTTAGAAATATAGGACCGTGGTTTAATTACAGGTGGTCAAATCATAGAGAATATAGAGTGGAAAAAGCGTGTATTCGTAGATGGCACAAATTGAATTTTGCGCATACTGTCACTTGTCATTTAAGGTAGATACCAGTGTTGCCAGATGTAGCGGAATTTAAACACAGCGTTGCCAGAAGTAACCGAAATCCACTACTTTTAGGCGATCTTGTGTAGGCCTTATATAGTTAAAACCTTATATACTAATAGTTTATATGATCTAAGGTTAAAATAAACGACTAAATAAATAAACGATACGAAATAAAATAAATGTTAACAAAATGAAGGAAATTTCTATTACTACAAGTATCAAAAATTTTAAATCATAATAAAAATATACCATATGACCGAATTATTCCGCTGCAAGCATTAGAATTAGAACTCAATCAATTCTATAAGATAGTAAGGAACAGGAACTTCTTTATCGGTTATTCGCTTCGCTTCGTGCGAATACCGGGCATTTGCTCTCTTTATTCCTTACATAACAAAAGTTCAATTAGCTATCTCATTATTTTCATTGTCTTTTCTACCTTAAATGACATGACAATGTCAAAATTGTCAAATCTGTCAAATTCAATTTGTGCCATTATTTTCACGCGCATCCGTATGCTTTTGCCACTCTATATTTCTCTATGGGTCAAATACTTAACTGTATAACGCACACACACACACCTGTTCAAATTCCAATTTAAATTAGAAAAAGAAACTACATAGTGTATACTTGTAAGTGTTCCCTTATTCGAGATAACGCTAGAGATACGGATCAATTGTCTTCCACACGACAAGTTTCCACCCTAAATATCCGTATACAACTCGTTAAGCTAATCCTAGCATTAAGTCTATCGAATTTATTCGTGGTTTTTTTTAAGCACGTCGTTATATTAGTGTGTACATTATACCTAGATAACAAGGGGTAGGGTAGGTTTCATTGAAGTGTATTTTATGGTTATTCGACGTTCGCATGATAATTACCATATATATACATACAAAAATCACCTGTAATGATGGTCGATGTGCGCCTTCTCGATCCTCTTGTCCTTGGCCCTTCGGTTTTGGAACCAAATTTTAATTTGCGTCTCGGACAATCGCAGGGTCTCGGCCAATTCGCACCGCCTCCCTCTGCTGATGTACTCCGATCGTTGGAATTCGATCTCCAGCCGGAGGGTCTGCTCGCTGCTGAAGGTGGTCCTCTGCCGCCTCGGCCTGCCCTCCTTCCGCCTCCTTCTGGCCACTAAAACGATTTATACATTAATTAACAAGCCAATATTAACACCCTGTATATATCTCGTGTCGTTACAGCGATTTCGAGAGTCGAGAATTCGATGTGGGGTTTGTTATTTAATTGTCTCTCCCCCGCGCCGCCATTCGGAGCTTCTCGGCTGTGCCGTAAACTAATCTCATCATAATAATATTTTCCATTTGATATTGTTGTGGACTTATTTTCTCGCTGAATTCCGAACCGGCGGCGGCTGTGAGAGAACGGACACCTTGCGGCTCGACGATTGCGGCTTTAAACGTTTCGAACGTTTACTCGAACGTGAAATCTGGATTTCACTTAAAAAGTTCCGTCGCGCGGGCATTATTATTTTATTTTTCCCTCCTGCCCGAACGGTTTTTCATTCATTGTGCAATGCGAATACGTGGGTTTTTATATTAGCTTGTAAACGTTGTTTTGTGGATGGGTTTGAATTGACGTGTAAACGTTGTCGATTTTTAAGGGAAAAAATTTGAAAATTTTTAAGTAAAGGCATAAACCTTAAAGACATATTTTTAAGTAATTGGCTCGATATTTTAGTTTGTGCATTAAAATTAATCAAGATTATAATAATATTCCCAAAATAATCCCAAATGCAAACCAGCATCCATAAACCTAGCTGCTTCAGTAGGTATTTCTTTTTAGGTAGGAAATTTACTTCATATAATTGAATAATATATAAATATAGCACTTTTTACCTTTTAAATGCTGTTTCTTCCTATTTTGTTGTAAAATATTCACATTTCAATAAAAAAAAATCAACTGGATTTAAATAATTAATTTGACATATTGAATGACAGAAAAGACGCGGCCTACTTATAAAATTTTATATTATAAAAAAATATAATACGAAGACAATTTTAATGAAATGTATATAAAATAAAATAACGAAAACCTTGAAATGAGACTAAATTAAGATTATTAATTCAAAATTACACTAAAAACCTCTGGTTAAAATACAATTTCGATCAGTTTTTTTTGTAACTCAAAGTTGTCAGTACTTATTCCTTCACTATATGTCAAATTTGACAGGATCCGGACAATCGAATATGTCGAATTACGGTCAAATTCGTTGAAAAGAAACTTGTAACGCTCATGACATCCTGTATACGGGGCAAGTTGGTCGGTTTCGCACGGTGCTAATTACGTATCAATACAAGGGGTACATGATGATAATGCCCGGGTTACCTACGTGAGCTCTTTAAGCACCAAATCAACCGTGCATCCTATTCTCAACAGTGATATATCGTTCGATGTTATTCTTCGCATTAAAGGAGCTCTTTGTGTTTAAATACTTAGGTAAGTAAGTAATCGTAATTGATAATTTAAAATTAAAATTGAAAAAAAAAGTAATGTGTCAAATTGCAATTGACAGGTACTGAAGTGGCTGTAGTAATGAATAGTAAAAGATCATTTTTGTGAATTATTTAGATTTTTATTATAACATTCTGTATAATACGGTCGCTATTCGAGCCGCAAATTTGGAAAAGCTTTTCCTAATCCGCTTATACACCACTACAATTCGAAAGCGTTTATTCGCTCAGATTTTCCATATATTTACCCACACACAGGACGATTCAACGCGGCGTAAATTCGAAATTCGCCTATTTAAACAAATACGTATACGTACAACAATTGATATTGAAATTTAACAGAAGATATACAGGGCGTCTCGTAATGTAGTAAACATGAGAATGGATAATGAAAATAACAGCCGTCGATGTTCCCCGTATATCTATAACCGTGAGATTTCTTCCATCGGATGCACAATCAATTACGGATTATATTCGGTTAATTAGTTACGTGGTCCTTCCTCCCAGGTAAATATTAATAGGTTTCGTGTAAAACTTAATAGTTTCGACCATATGGGGCACGACTCTTCGGGGTTTCCCCGTCACCCAGGCGCGCTTCCGTCAATCACTGTTCCAAAATCACCCACCCAAATTTTAATTATACAAAACGTTACAGACACTTCATACATTTTTCCCAATATAAGTCGCAGTTTTGGGCTCAAACACATTTTGAAAATGGGCTTTTAAAATTGGAAAAAATTGGAAAAAATTAGAAAAAAATGTCTTACGGAAGGCGGACAGTCCGGCGGCGGCGACCGCCAGCTGCGAGTCGCTGGCGTGGGGCAGGAGGAACGGCAACGAAGACGTCGCCAAGATGGGAATGGGCGCGATCAGCTCCGTCTCGACGCGCCCGACGCCCGCCGATATCTTCGGCTCCTCGTCGCCGGTGTACTTGGTCTCCAAGTCGCCGTACAACTTTCGGAAAAAATCCCTAGGAGATGAGGGCCGGTGCGCCTTGGAGGCGACGCTCTCGACGCCGCCGCCGCCGCCGCCGCCGCCGCTGCTGCTGCTGCTGGTCATTGCCTGTAACTTGAATATGTTCGAGCTTGTAGAATGTAGTCCATTTGGCACTTTATACGGAGGAAAATCGAATGTAAAGTAGTCTAAATTAGAGTGGAACTGGTATGAAAAGAGTTAAAGAAGGAAGTAGTGAAGGAACAAATGAAAGAACTGATGAAGGTACTGACGAAGAAACTACTGAAGGAATTATTAAAGAAGAATTCATTAAAGGAACTAACTAAATAAGAAACTGCTAAGGGGACTAATGAAAACACTAATGAAGGAACTAATGAAAGAATTAATAAAGGAACTTATGAAAGAACTATAGTTTATTATAATAAAGGATCAAATGGAAAAACTAAGGAAGGAATTAAAGAAAACACTATTGACGGTACTAATTAAAGAACTATTAAGGAACTAATAAAAGATCTAATGAAGAAACTAGCAATGGAATTAAAGAAGACACTATTGAAGGAACTAATAAAGGAAATAATGAACGAACTTATGAAGGAAATAACGAAAGAACTATATTCTGAAGGAATTCAACAACAAAAAACTATTAAAAAGGAACTATTGAAAGGAAGGAAGGACTAATGAAGGAACTACTGAAAGAATTAATGATTGAACTAATCAAAGAACTAATAAATGGACCAACGGAGGATCTAATTTCATTAGAAACTTCTTTCACCATGTTTACTAAATACATTTTCGAAAAATACTAACAATAAGTAACCAAAGAATAAAGAAAATTAAACTTCGAAACAAATCACATCTGACCAATACATTCACCAGCAATACACTTATAGCAATAAAAAGAAGTTTGGAAGTGAACTCACCAAAAATTCGAATGGGTGTCGAAGATTCGGAACGCGACGCGACTAGATAACCAGAGAGTGCGGAGGAGATAGCGAAGAGGCGACTTGGAGAAGTGTAAATCGTAAATTGCCGTCCCTTTGGGATGAAAGCGGAGTTGAAAGGGCGCGTGCCGAAGGGCGTGTTTCGCACCGGAGGGAGTGGTTAAGTTCGACCAACCGTTCGTCGACCGATAACGTTAATTAACTGGTGTTTAGTGCACGTAATTGCAAGAAAAATACCGCTTATGTGGTTTGAATGGTTTGTATGAAATTTAATCAAGTTATCAAGTACCGGCATAAGGTCGTTTTGTGAGGACTAAGACGAGTTTATTAATTATTGTTTCGTTTTGTGTGAGCGAATTCAATCGGATTTGTTTGCAATTGCTTGTTGTAAGGGCGGGTTAAGAAGCGAGGAATGTATAATGTCGATATAGTGATTAGGAAACGGAGCCGTTCGCGCGGTTCGAAATCGAGAAAAAGTAACCGGGGAATTTCTCCTTGATTGCTATTTTCAATTTTCGATCGACGGTGTATTATCGGCGGGTTATTCTTCGAAGCGAAAACGCGTGGGTGTTTTATTGTTGGACTGTTGTGGATGAGAGAAACAAAAAATAATATTGAAATTAGAAAGGTCAGAGGGATCGGCTAGGTTTACAAGGAAACTCGACGAGATTTAGAGCTGTACAGTTGGTTGCATTGATATTTGTTTTGCACCAACTGTACTTATTGCTGTGTAAACGTCGACCGACGATCTAACATAAAATTATGCTATCGAAGAATCGGCGACATATAACAATTAAATATCCTTAAAATGCGCTTAAACACGAACCTTCGGCTACGATAAATAACAACGCGAAATCGGTATTAGCTTTGTATTGTAAACGTGGAGCCTGCGGTCTTTAAATCCACCCTTAAAGTTGAGTTGGGAATCATCCACCTGGATTTAATATTTCCTTTTGTTAAATGCTACTCGCGTTTCTCTTCTCTTACTGAATTTGATTGTTGTTGAACACGATATTTATATAGTTACTTCCCATATAAAATGGGGATTATCATCCTCCGAGGTTGGACTATTAGCGCACAAATCGACACGAATTTACTGTGTTTTATTACAATAATATGTTAGAAAATCTATTTATTTATTTAACAAGTAAAAATTCTAATTTATTTGTGAGAATGAATTAGAAGTTAAATGAATACGTTCGCTGTTTAGAAACGTGAAACAGGTACCCCCAATTTTCAACTTGTTCTTGTCATTTTGCCATTCGACAATTTTAGAAAATTCTTAGATTTTGTAAACTCTATAAAAGTTCGGCAACATTGCCTACTTGTGACGTGCATTAATATTTGTTTTGCACCAACAATAAATAGCTGAATAGCTGATGGTTAGGGTAGGGTAACTAGTATTAGAAAAACTTATTAATTCATAATAACAATTTGCTTTATAAATTAATTTAGAAACCAACTAAATTTCCATTTTAGCCGTACATGTACAAAAAATTATTTTTCTTCGGGTTTTTCTTTACTATCGGAGCATTCCCCTTCACCCGTTTGTTTCCTCTTCGACAGCATTCCCGGTCTGTAAATGGCGATTGTCGGTCGATCCTTATTCCTTATCCTCCTTTGATTCTGAGCATCCGTTTCTTTGGATTTACCCGCTTTATCAACGGATTCATCCGATCTAAATTTATCGGCATCTTCCGCGCTGGTATTCGGGACGTTTTTGTCTCGTTTAGAATCACCGCCGGGCCCGTCTTGCTTCTTCTCCTCCGCTTTGGCCTCTTCGAGCTTCTTCTGTTCGGCCTTTTGCGCCTCCATTTTCCTCTCTTCCCTCTTCTCGCTGTACTTCTTCACCTTCTTGGGGAACGTCTTCGATTCGTACTCCTTCTTGTAGTCGTACTTCTTCTCTTTGGGCGCGTCGCTTTTGTAGCCGGGGTACTCCTTTCGGGGGAACCTCGGTTTGGGTTCCTTCCTTCGTTCCTCGAACTTCCTGTCCTCGAATCGGCGGTCTTTGGTTTTGTAGTAGGACTTCTCGAAGGGCTTCTCTTCCTTCTCCTTGTCGGGTTTATCGTCGACTTCGTCGGATTTGTCGCTTTTGCTGGGGTGGGTTTTTTTAGTCGGAGACTTCTCTTTCTTGTCGTCTCTATCGTAGTCGCGTTTTTTGTCGAATTCCTTCCGTTTCCTCTCTTCCCTTCGCAGCTCCCTGATCCGCATGCGTTGGGCCCGCTTGTTTTTGATGAACTCCAACAGAGGGGTGGTTAAATCGTTTTTGTTTTCGTTGGTGGTGAGTTGCAGAGTGTATTCGGGCTTCTCGTCTACCTCTTGGGGTTTTTTGAGCATCTCGAGGAAGTCCAGGTAATATGGATCGGACTCGATAGTGGCCGCTTTGGGGTCCATCCGGGTTTTACCACGTTTCTTCGGTATCTTCTGGAAGGAGGCGAATTCGACGACGCACGGATACTCTTGGCCCTTTCCGTCCAGGAAAACGTAGTTGTCGAATCGCTCTTTGAAATTGAACACATCCTCGTAGTTCACGAAGTTTACGTACACTCTGGAAAAGGCGTTTTCGCCCAAACTGAAATCGCCGTTTACCGTGTAGATGTAATTGTAATCGGGTATGGGGGACACTTGCTTCAAAAACGTCTCTTGATCGATCGTGGGCGGCAGGCGGCGTATTATCACTTTCGTTAGCGGCTTGTCTTTTTTCTCGTTCTTTTTCTCGCTGTCCGGCAAAGCCATTATTTCTGTTTCCAATATTTTACCATTTATTTACGTTTCGCAAAATATTTTCAATCGACTGTCAACAATGTCAAGTTTCAACAGTGTCAAAAATTTGAATCACAGAACTCATACTACAGAATTAATATTCTGTCCTTTGAGCAAGTAAATCTACTTAGTAGGCAACCAGAATTACATTCGGTGATATTTATTACTTATAAACACAACTTACTCATACCTAATTCAATAAAATTAAAACCGTGTCCTATATTAAACAACATGGAATCAGGTAACACAATTACACAAATGAAACACAAAGAATAAGTTAATTAATTTTTATTAAGCAAAGATCACACTCTCATTCTCGCACTTTCTCTCTAAATATATTTTACTTACTGTATTACCTTACCTTATTTCCTTATGCGTTTCATGGAATATTTTAATTACCTGTAATCGTTGCGTAAAATCGCCAATTTCATTGCATCTATGCCATTTTGGACAGTCTTGTGGCTGGTACAATAAAAAAGAAAAGAAATTATTAGGTACAATTGTATTAAACGGCAACAAGAAAATTTTATAACTTATATGAATGATTTTAGTAATGGAAAAGTTATTTTAAATATACCGGAACGTTGAATTTTGGAAAATTTAAACGTTAATAAACGAACTGCCTAACCCAGGTTTGTCTCATTTTGCTGAACCTAACAAAACTGTTGCCTAAAGGAACCTGAGCTAAGGAGCGTCGAGTGACGTTAAAAAACTTTATATTTAAAATATAGTTTCCTTTTAATACCACTCACAATTTCTAATCCTAACGAAATCTAATAAAAAAAAATACATACCTATAATACTCGAATAATCACTGTCCTATTTCTTTACTACTCTAACTTTTATTTATCATTTGCGGAACTAATATCCTATATACTTCAGACCTAAATAAAATCCACCTCATTAAAAATTTTCTTTGTTCTCAGAAAATTACTGCCAATTTAACAACTGTAAAGCTAAAATAATTTCATTAAATTGACAAGTAGATAATATTATACACTTTGCACCTGTTCTCTTTCCTCGTCAATAACTATTCTAAGCTATACATTTTCTTTTTTATTAAAAAAACTAAATAAATTACTACAATCCTTTAATAAATACTGGAAATACACAAAAATATTTATAACCTATTCCTAACGTCATAAATTAACGACACATTATTATTATTATTATTAAAAAAGAAATCTCATCCACATATACAAAATCTACTAATACAATAATGTTGTTTTTATAGTGTAATTAATTTAATCCGGACGTGTTATGTGTTGTATTGCAAAATTTCTTACTAAAATTATCATCTTTCAAAAGAATTTATCCAAAACTTATAACCAAATAAGAATTTATCGTTAACCAACTGATAAAACTTGATTTCTTTCATACAAAAAAAATATATTGTCATTTGGTTATAAGTGGGAAAACAAAAATGAAAACATTTACCTACATTTACTTGAAATCCGTTAAATCAAAATCTCACTGAATTCAAAAAAAAAAAATGTTGAAAAGAAAAAGATGAACGATATGATTTTTTTTGTACGCCTGCCACTGCCTATCATTTTCATTGTATTAATTGCAATTCTGTTAGCAGTGTATCAGGGCACTTACGTTTTAGAATCTCCTCTGACCGCCACCGGGAGGGCCACCCTGATTGTTGTTATTGTAAGAATTACCGCCGCCGAAACCGCCTCCTCCTCCACCACCTCCTGAATCTAAACAAACACACATCAATTCATTACAAACTATTCATAAAAACACGATTTAACAATTTGCTAAACACTTACTGTAAGGAGCAGGCCTTTGATTTTGATAATTATTTCTCATCGCTCCGCCGCCGTATCCTTGCTGGTAATTATTCCCGAAGGAATCGGGACCACCACCACCACCGCCGCCGCCGCCGCCGCCTCCTTGATTCCAAGGACCCGGTCCGCCTTGATTGTAACCTACGTTAACGAAATAAATAAATAGCGAATTGTTAACAAATTAAATCGAATTAAATACCTCCTCCTTGTCCACCCCAAGGACCACCGCCGCCGCCTCCTTGACCGCCTTGATTATCCCAAGGACCCTGAGACCACGGACCGCCGCTGTAATTGCTCGGGCCGCCGCCTTGATTCCAATCACCTTGGCCGCCTCGGTTCCAGTTACCGCCGCCTCCACCTCCTAAAATTTACCGTTATTCACGCAAGCTCAATTGTAAGAGGGTAGGATAGCGAACGGTTCTCGGCCTGAATCATTTAGAACTGTCTAGAACTATTTACAACGCGCCAGGATCGGTTTTTTTGATTGTCGGGCCGAGAACTTTTCACCCTACCCTTGTAATTGCTTCGTATAGAAGTTACCTTGATTGTAATTTCCTCCGCGACCGCCCATTCCGCCTCGAGGACCTCGATTGTCTCTGGAACTGGCCCGATCCATTTCGGCTTTACTCAGGGCCTTTTTAACATCTACATGTCTACCTGATATAGTGTGGCTTCTTTGTACTGTAAAAACAATACGATATTATCTATAAAACTATTTAAATTTCATGTAATTTGTACTTACACACGATCTTATCGACCGAATCGTAGTCCTCGAATTCGACGAAAGCGAATCCCCTCTTTTTGCCCGTTTCCTTATCGGTGACCACGCTCACGGACAAGATGTTGCCGTACTTGGAGAAGTAATCCTTCAGATCCTCCTCTTCGAGATTCTCCTTGATGCCGCCGACGAAGAGTTTCTTGACGGTGGCGCCGGCCTCGGGCCGGCCGATGTCCTGGCGGGGCACCGCCCGCTTGGGCTCCACCACGCGGCCGTCGACGCGGTGGGGCCGGGCGGCCTGGGCGTCGTCCACCATGTAGGCCTTCGAGTAGGTGATGAAGCCGAAGCCGCGCGACCGCTTGGTGGTGGGGTCCTTCATGACGACGACGTCGACGATTTCGCCCCATTGCTCGAAGTGGGACTTGAGGGATTCGTCGGTGGTGCGGAAGTCCAGGCCGCCGATGAACAGCTTCCTGAATTGCTCCGGCTCGATTTTCTCGGGGCTCTGCAATCGGCGTTGTGATCAATAAGATGACGCGTCATTCGAACGCGCGGTGCTCTTTGCTAGCGCTGGCGAACGATTGGGGAATAGATGCGATAAAAAGGTACTTACCTTCTCTTCTTTCATTATTCGCTACGTACGATTTGCACTCAAATGGAATGAAGTAAATTAATAAAAACTAATTCACAAATTAACTTGTAGTTCGTCAACAATATGGCGAGCAAACAGCGAACTTGACGTTGACAGATGACTTTTTTGACATTTGTAGCACCAAGCACCTAAATGATAAAAGGTTATATCGTAATTCTTAACCAATCAAATTGTGAGAAAAATGACGTCAACTGTTAAAAAAGTCTCTAATTTTTTAATTAATTTTCAAAGTTACCTACAAAATATTAACTCGACGATTTCCAAATGAAATAATTAACGAATCCAATAATGCTGTCAACAATAACATCATATGTTGATAAAACCTTCGAAATTTAATAACCTTGAGTCAACTCGCGGTTCAAATTTTACTGTCAAAACAAAGTGAAAAGTTGTCATTTTTAATAATCCATTTTGCTGTTTATTTATTCGCACTTTAATTTTTGAAGTCGCGAGTTTTGACTGTTGTGAACTGCGGTTCGATTTTATACGAGAACATGGACTCCATGGAGGCGATTTTGGCGAAATTATTGGTATCGGATAGCAAAAAAGTGCAAGAGGTAACCTAAAAATTCTAACCTCACAATCCACGTGCTGGAATTTCTATCCCAAAATACGCCCGCTTAATCGACGCATTAATTGCAGGGAACTAGAGAATTGAAAGAGGCTTTCAAGAAGCCCGAGGCCATATCGGCCTTGTGCGATGTACTGGTCACTTCGACCCACCCCCAAATCAGACAATCCGCAGCCGTTCTGCTTAGAAGGAAATTAGGAAGCAAAAGGCATTGGAGTAGAGTTAATATCGACGTAAGAAATAGGTAATACGAAATGTAATTGCTCACGCAAAACGTTTTTACGAACCGAACTTCCGTAGAATCAAAGAAGGCATGCTGAGGGCGCTAGTAAACGAACAGGAGAAATTAGTAAAGAATTCCATAGCTCAATTTATCGGTATTATAGGAAAACACGAATTCCCCGACAACTCATGGCCGGAAGTTTTACAATTCGTACACACGTTAACCAACAGCGAAACAATCTTCGACAAAGAGGTAGCGAATGAAATGCGATAGAATTATTAATTTTCTACTAATCGAACGTTCCAGCTCGGCATGTACACGCTCTCCATCATGACCGAGATAGCTCAAAGCTCTTATATCATACACGCCGAATCGTTCGCCGTACTATTCACCAATACGATCAATCAACTGACGGACGTTAAATCGAACCTAGCCTACTACACGGTTATTACTATGAAGAATTTAGTATCGGTAATCGGCGGGCATCAACAAGTACGTACGATTCGCAAACAAGCATAACCCCCGAATAACTTTTTGCCTCGTAGATGGTAAACGTTTATCATTCCTTACTACCGAAAATCCTCGAAATCATCAACACTCAGGCGTTCAACGACGAACGAAAGGCCATCGATATGCTGGAAATCGTCGAAGAGCTGATCGAATTCGCCGTAAGCGTGGTGGCGCCCCATTTGAAACTCATCGTAGACATGTGCCTTCAACTAGCCAGCAACCAATCCGTTTCGATAGCCGTTCAAATTAAAGCCGTCGGCGTTATCGGCTGGTTAATAAGGTCCAAAGGAAAGGTACTAAGTAATACTAGTGTAGGGAATCGTGAATTATCGTGTATTTTGTAGGTTGTTCAAAAGAATAAACTCATCGAACCCATCATCGATGTGTTGATCCATCTGATGGGCCAACAAGCCGACGACGAGAACAACGAAGAGTACTTCTTGGGCGATCCCGATCAATTCACATCGATAACGGTAGCTACACAAACGCTCGATTTGATCGCTTTGAACATACCGGCCGAGAAGGTCATACCGTACGTTCTGACGAAAGTCGAACCGGCCATCCAAGGCGGCGACGTCTACGCCCAAAAGGCCGCCTATCTGTCGCTGGCCGTCCTCGCCGAAGGCTGTTCGGAGTGCATTCGCAAGAAGTACCTCGAGGCGTTCCTGAAGTGCGTCTGCGCGGCCATACACAATCCGAACGCCGTCATCAGGAACGCCGCCTTCTTCGCTTTGGGCCAGTTCGCCGAGCACCTGCAGCCCGAGATCAGCCAGTACGCGTCGGCGCTGTTGCCCGTTCTCTTCGAGTGCCTCCAACAGACGTTCGTGCAAATGAAGGCCGAGAAAAAGGACCCGCCCAGCCTCGCGCGCTTGTTCTACGCCTTGGAGACGTTCTGCGAGAACTTGGACGAAGGGTGGGTGATTCGAAAAATCGTCTCGAAACGTCGCAGAGTATGAATTATCGTTGTAGATTGTTGCCGTATTTGCCTACGCTCATGGAGAGGATATTCGAAGCGTTGGATCCGACCGGTTTCTCGTTGCAATTGAACCGAGTGGCGTTGAGTACGTTGGGTTCGATCGCCAGCGCCGTAAAGGAGGGTCTGATGCCCTATTTCCCGAAGGTTATAGAGATTTTGAAAGTCTACATCAATTCGGATCCGAACGATAAGATCCATCAGATACAAAGCTGCGCGATAGGCAAGTGTCGTGTAAATCTGTTTTCGAACATACGATTAATTGGACGAGTTTTTTTTTTTTAGAGGCCTTAGCCGTGGTGGCTCAATACATCGGACCGGAGAATTTCAAACCGTTGACGGGGGATTGTTTGCAATTGGGCCTGCGAATTTTGGATTCCACGTCGGATCCCGACATCAATAAGAGCGTGTACGCCCTGTTCGCGGCGCTGGCCATCAACATGAAAGAGGAACTCGCCCCGGTGTTGCCCAAAATCGTGCAGGAGATGATCGAGAGCATCCAAAGCAGCGAAGGAATAGTCGTAAGTCGATCGCCTATTTTATTAAATCTTCGAATGGAGAGGAGTACGATGTGAGATGTGCGGTTTTTAACCGGATATGTGAATGGAAATACGTCTAGAATTCGAAGTAGTTTTCTGTTGCTGGAAATATTCGATATTTTAGGAAATATAGCCATTTTAAATTTAAAAATTTGACAGGTGACGTGTAAAGTCGCTAACCAATCACAAAACGAATTACATTGTGTCATTTATAGACAAAAAAAATCTTTCTTTCTCTATGCTGTCATTAGTGGCATAAGAATTCGAACAAAGTGTTAGGAAGAGTAGAAGAAACGAACAAAGGTTAAATGTCAATTTGACATTTGACAAGATTAAAAAGTCAAAAACACGACCGTGTATTATTAATAATTAAAAAAAAGTACTCCTCTCCATTATTTACACGATGTGTTTCAGACGCAATACGATAACGAAGACAAAGACGAAATCGACGTGTACGCCGAGCTATCGGACGAAGACGACATCGAGGAGGACATCGAAGAGGACATCGACGGATCGTCGGTCAACAGCGAAGACTCGACGCAATGCCGGTATTCCGTGGAAAATTCTTACAACGAGGAAAAGGAGCAGGCCTGTTCGTCGCTCAAAGACATTTGCATGAATACCGGGTGAGTATACGCGATAAACTCGAAATTAAACGCGTGTATATGATGATCGAGTAGCCGCTGACGAAATTTCAAATTAGACATTAACTGTCAATGATAGTTCCGTTATAAATAGTTGAAGATTATACGTGGCATACGAGGGGCGTACGAAAAGAAAATATACATGTATTTTGATGGCCTGTGACTAGGCCTTTCATTAGTCAGCTGCTGCTTTTGCTCTACCAAATCGTTTATCGAAATTTTCAATATGTTTCCAGGGCGGCGTTTTGTCCGTACGTCGAGAAATGCTTCGAGGAGATCTACAAATTGACGCACTACTCGCAGGAGGACATTCGAGTGGCGGCCGTCGAGGCACTATTACACTTTTCCATATCGCTGTACAAGTACGGCGGCGCGGAGTACAAACAGACGTTCTACAGGGCGTTGCAGATGTTCGTGCCGAAGTGCGCGGAATTGATACGGGCCGACGAGGAGCGAACCGTCGTCATAGCCTGCTTGGACGCTTACACCACTCTATTGGAGGAGGTCAAAGAGGAGGTGTTCGCGATCGACGGCCATCGGGAGGCCATTATGAATTGCGTTATCGACGTGTTGAATTTGAAGGTAAACGCGCCATTATTTTGATCGAAATATTTCATATATATAACGCAGGTCGGGAAACTCTGCGAGATGAGCGTGTTGCCTATCGACAGGGGGCGTTAAAATCGTCGTTATTTTAACTTAAAACTGGTTGATTTGATTATGGTAACGAATTTGTAGACTATGTGCCAGGATACGGATTTGGCCGGTCAAACGGAGAACAACGACGACGACGTGGAAGCGGAACGGGACGAATTGCTGTTGGAATCTGCCGGCGACGTCATACCTAAATTCGCGGCGGCCATTCCCACCGAGGATCTGATGTCGTATTTTCCCAATATACTGCAATTGATGTCGACTAGAATGGTACGGTATATACCGAACGTCCTGTATGTATATTTAATTGCGTTCGATTGTAGAAGAAGCAACACAGCCTGTCGCAGAGATCGTTCGCCTACGGGACGTTGGCGGAGTGCATGAAATGCATCGGGATCTACGTGGAGAAATTCATACCGACGTTGTTGAACATGTGGTTTACGGGAGCTAAAGATTCGGGCGACGAGGTCAGACAGAATTCCATCTTCGGTTTGGGCGAGATGGTTTTGCACGGTAAAGAGAAGTTGTTTGGGTGAGTGTGGAGCGGATTCGAGTAGACGAGAAGTGTTTAATCGAACGGGTTTTTTTAGTCATTACGCGGATATACTACAAGCGCTGTCCGCTGCGGTGGCGAAGGAGACGCATTCCGGCACGTTGGATAACATTTGCGGGGCTTTGGCTAAAATGATTACGGTCAATTCCGGTGGAATACCTTTGGAACAAGTACGTATTTTTTTGTATTCGAAAGGTGAATGATGAATTCTTTTTTGTAGGTGTTTCCGGCGTTCATTCAGAAATTGCCGTTGAGAGACGATTTTCAGGAGAACGAGGCGGTCGTTAATTGTCTTTGCTCGTTGTATCAACAGGGAAATCAAGTGCTGAAAGAACATTTGGTCGACGTTATAAAAGTTTTGGTTCACATTTATTACAAAGATCAAGCTCCGAATAACGGTAAGCTTTTATATTTATATTTACATACGTACAGATAAGTTCAAATAAGTTCGCAATATGGTCTACGAGTGCAACGAAGAAGACTTCCATTAGTCTCATATGAAGGAAAAAGAGGGAGTTATATTGTAGAATGAGAACTTTTTCAATCGAAACAAAGTCCCTAGTTACTCCATAACAACAATGAAAATCTGTCAATTGGAAGAATAGAGTAGAAATTGGAACTTTCTCACTCTAGCCACTGTTATTGTCATATTTGTCATATTCTTTCTTTGTTCAACTCATAGAATTGGCCGTATTGCAAAGAAATATACACTTACACTCGTTTATTAGAAATTTAATCGTCCGTTTTGTTCTTTTGTAGATGTTAAAACAACTTTGGGCGAGTTTATAAAAACGATAAATCGAGATTTTCCTCAGGAATTGGGCAACGCCGTGTCTTCGCTGGAGCCGAACGCTGCCGAATGTATACAAAAACTGTTGTCTTCTTAAAAAACCAATAACGCAAATTTAAATTTAATATAAAGCTTTTTCATCTAGTTTACAATTTCACTATATCTTACTATATCTTGTTGTTTTTTTTATAAACATTTAATTTTGTTATTTGCCAAATTACAAATATCTGCGTGCAAGCTATAGGGCGAGACGACGTAATCAATTCTTAAGACTGATATTTATTAGTTGTTACGGTAATTCCACTAAAAATGCGAATAAGAGTACCGAGTACTTGAGCGTATTTTCGAAGTCTTTTTTTTTTTTTAATATGAATCAAACACGGCAATTGCGTTTTGAAGATATTTGAATTTTGGTGATTGAAATATTTAATTGCGACAGGCGTCCTTGTTACTTTTATATTGATTGTGTATTTAATAAATTTACGTATTATATCAATTCCTCTTGGCTTAAATGCTACACACACATAATATAATTCGAGGAATAGGACAATTTACACATCAGTAGATAAACAAAAAAAAATGTAAATTTCCTTTATTTAAATGAAATTGAAAAAAAATACAACATATACACCAATGAAATTTACAACTTATTAAACTCATTCGTATCAATTTTCGGAGACATGTATTTTTTAATAATTTACAATAGTTGTTACTCAATATATTTACATGAAAATCTACAAGGGGTTTTTCGTACCAAAATAACTACAAAACAAATTCGTCAGTCTCATAACTTTTTGTACACACGACTTTAAAAAAATACTCCACATCCGAACCAACGCGATAAAACATAATCTAAATCTGTAGTAATTGAATCAATTCCGCGTTATAATCGATTAGTACAATTCATGGCGAATCACAGATTGTAATATTACAAACAACAACAAAACTACCCCCACGTACTGAATCCATAAATAAAATATTTGCAATATTACATTAAATTCCACTCAATAAATTAATAACGTGTTTCAAAGAAAAACACCTTGTACAATAGCCAATAAAAGCGCATTTTCTAAAGTGGCAAATATCACGATTCGCCACAATTAAAAAAAAAACAATAATACAATTTAAATAAATTAATTACAAATCAGTACATTCATGCTCTAACTCGAAAGTCGAAACACTATTAATAACACGAAAAGCTTATCGAGGAATCCAATTAAAACATACCTATAATAGTGTAATTACTAGAGTATGGTGAAAAATTCTCGGCCTGAACCATTTAGAACTGACTAGAACAATCTACAACGCTCCAGAATCAATTAGAACCGTCTAGAACTATTTAGAACGCTCTAGATTCACTTAGAACTGTCCAGAACCATTTAGAACGCTTCAGAATCGTTTAGAACTAAATATTTCGACTTAATATACGAAGAATAATGTAAATTTTCGACTGAAAATCGCGGTTTTTCATTGTCGGGCCGAGAACTTTCCACCTTACCCTTGTAAATGCCTTCAATAGACTTTTCTTCAAACAAAATTAATCAACAATAAAATGGCAGTGACTCGATATTATCATTCTGGCAGTACATCGTACGTAGATTATAAAAAAATGTACAAAAATTGTGTCCGTTACAAAAATTTAGCTTTTTAGTTTCAGAAGCCACGTATTTTTTTTGTTTATTTGGTATCTTTCCGAAGTTTCACGGCGCTATCGAAACGATAAAAGAACCCTTCCTTGCATTATACTTTCAACGTTCAAAGTGCCCAAATTACCAATTATCACAGTTTAAATTTAAGTTAACCGACTAGATTTGTAGGGAATGTCGAATCGAAATAAAAAACAAAAAACCACTAATCGAGAAAATTCGCCAGCACGTGAAACCTCCCAAAGACCTTTAAAAAGAAAAAAACAAAACCTAAGGAACGATATTTACTCGTTATTATTTTTAGGTAACTCGAGAGGGTCGCACCCTCCGGACTTGGTTTTCTTCCCCCGAGCGGCGCGCTCTCTAACCCTTCGATCAAGTCATCCCGGCGCTGGGCCCGTCCCATTCGATCAAATAGTCCATCTTGCCGGCGGGGCCGACGCGCTTCGCCTTCACGAAGAACCGCTCGCCGGCCGCGATGCGATTCGCCGCGCCGAAATAGATGTTCACCGAGCTCTTCAGATCGTCCAGATCGATGTCGGGCTCCTGCTTGACGGGGCTCGGCTTCGGCGCCGGCGCCGACGCCGGTTTCTCCTTCTCCGGCGGCTTCTCCGGCCGCTGCCTCAACCGGCGGCTGCTCGAATTGTAATCGATGCAATTGCCTGAAGAAAAAAAAAAATACCCGGTTAATCGAGTTTCCTCGGTTAGTCTCTGTTCTTGAATTCGGGGATGCTCTTTCTTAGTCGTTTGAACACAGTCTGAGATGCAGTAGATTAGAATTAGAGGGCTGTTAGAGGTGGATCCTGCCTCTGAGATACAGTAGATTAGAGAATTAAAGCTGTTAAAAGCGAATACTGTATGGATTAGAGAATTAGAGTTCTTTCAGAGACAAAAACTGCTTAGTTTAAGGAATTAGAGCTTTGTCAGAGACAAATACTGCTTTGTTTAGGGAATTACAGAATTAGAGCTCTGCCAGAGACAAAAAATGCGTAATTTGGACAATTAGAGCTCTGTCAGAGGCAAATACTGCTTAGTTTAGGGAATTAGAGCTCTGTCAGAGACAAAAACTGCTTAGTTTAGGGAATTACAGCTCTGTCAGAGGCGAATACTGCTTAGTTTAAGGAATTAGAGCTTTGTCAGAGACAAATACTGCTTTGTTTAGGGAATTACAGAATTAGAGCTCTGCCAGAGACAAAAAATGCGTAGTTTGGAGAATTAGAGCTCTGTCAGAGGCAAATACTGCTTAGTTTAGGGAATTAGAGCTCTGTCAGAGACAAAAACTGCTTAGTTTAGGGAATTAGAGCTCTGTCAGAGACAAAAACTGCTAATAGAGATAGAGAATTAGTGCTCTTTCAGACGTCGATACTGTAGATTAGATAAATCAGATTGAAGTATCGCTTACCCAAATTGATGGTCGACGTGTTGGCGGTCGAATTGCCCCTGCCGGTCCAGTCTTTGTTGTCCGGCTTGGCCGGCAGGACGGCGGCCGTCTTGCTGGCCGTCTGACCGCCGGCGGCGGCGGCGGCGGCGACGAACGTCTGCAGGTTCCGGCCGCGCCTGAACCGCTTCCGCTTCACCTGCCCGTTGGGGCCGATGACGATGTCCTTCTCGCTGAGCTGCCGCTTCATCGGCCGCATCAGCGGCTTGCCCGGTATGACGGCCGTCAGTGGAAGCGGCAGGGTTATGTCTTTTTTCCTAAAAAACCAAAAAACCAAATAAATTATTTCGGTACACACACACATACACTCGTCGATGGTTTTTTGGTGGAAAACGAACCGTTTGATTTCGTCGGTGGCGCCTCGGAGCAACGTCAGGAACGGATTGTTTTTCCCTTCGAAATCCTTCGGGGGCGGTATGATGGCGTCCAAGGTGCTCTTCGAGCTGGTCTCGTCGCCCGACGTGTCGCAGGGCGTGTTCACCTCCGAATTCAATTCCGACAAATTGCTTCGTTTGACGGATTTCAACAGATTGGAAGTCTCGGAGAAGTCGTTGCTCAGGTCCGATACCACCGAAGTACTGTTAGAAGTCGGCGGCGTCGGCGGCGCGCTGACCAACAACGGCGACGTCGGCGGTTTATTTTTACTTTTCCCCTTCAATTCAGCGCTCAATTTCCTCTTGGATCGCTTCAAAATCCGATCGCGCTCCTTCGTCGACATCGCTAATAGTTTCTTGCGCCTTTGCAGGCTCATTTTCTTGAACGGCGCCGTTTTCTTCGCGCAACCGGCGCCCAAATATTTGTTCTTCTGCAACACCTCGGCGTCCTCGCTGAGCGTCTCCGGACTAGGACAAGGCGAATCGGACTCCGAATTGCCCGAATTGTGCTGGTAGGCGGCGCCCATCATGATGTTCTTCATGTGGCTGTCGGCCACCACTACTCGCTTGCCGCCCGATTCCCGTTCCATCGGTATGAATTGCAAGCGCTTGTTGCCGTGCCACAGCTCGCGCAGCTCCTCTTCGGCGACGACGCCCGCGGCGGGTAGCGTCACGCAGGGCGCCGGCGGCGGCAGCCGCACCCTCAGGCCCCATATCGTCGTCCGCTTCTTGATCTCCCTGCCGCACTTGAAGCGGTTCCGGTTGTTCGTCAGCACCGACATGATGTTCTCTCGGCGCTCCGATTTGCTCACGTTCGCTATCTAAAAACCGAAGGATTAGTTTCAGGTATAAAAACGTTTGGTAATTCACCTTTGGTGGTAGCTGCAAGGCGTGCCAATTGTCGTTTATGTACGGTATCACGACGGCATCGAGATCGTAATACTTTTTGGAATTGTAGGCGGTCAAATTGAACAGCATCAGATGCACCAAGTCGACCCATTTCATTTCTAATCGCCTGACGAAGTCCTGGCCGTGGTTGCATATCGAACAAACGAACACGTAGAATCTGGAAATGTTCTCGATTTATATATATCGAGCGATACGAATGGATGGTTTACCTGTCGCCGCAGTATAGAGGGTATTGGAGACAGCCGAGGCACTTTTCGTGGAACCACTGCCTGCATTTGCCGCACTGCAACATTTGCTTGTACCATTCGCCGTTCCCTCCGCAATAACAGTATATTTGTTCGCTGTTTACCCTGTGATATGTATCCCACGTTAATGAACTCAACTAGAAATAAAACGAATCGATTAATAATCGGAACGGTTGGAGTAACGGGCGTTATTACTTCGTAAGGTAGTACTCTATTCGTCGGATTAGCAACGGTCGTTAAATTACTAAATCGAAGATTGGAAGCCGGGACGCCTTTGAGCGAATCCCTCCGTTTGTTACTATCGCTTTTTTTCAGTCTATGTGGATCGCTTTCGATGCATCGTTTACACATCCAAGCCGAACCTGAAACGCTACGATTAATATCTAACTACAAAACTATTCGAGTACGAGTAAGTACCATCTTTTTGGCTGGTCGCAGGTATCTCGGGAGCGTGGCATTGTTTGTGGTAGCCCCTTCCGCATCGATCGCACACCGTGATCTCCTGGTCGTTCTTCGGCGCGGACTTTTTGCACACCACGCAGAGCGAGTCCTCCTGCTGGGGCGTGCTGAGCTTGGTGAGATCTTTGAAGCCGGACCAATTGTAGGTGTTGTCGCCGAATTTCACCAGGCACTGCTCGCGGGCGCCGTTCACTTGGACCACCGTGCCGAAATAGTACCTGTCGTCTTTCTGTTTGACCAGGACGTCGTGGCCCACCGAGAAGTCGGGCATTTCTGTCGATGTCGTGCTGTCGGGTACGGCGGTTTGTCGATCGACGGCTATTTTCTTGGCGTTTGTCTGCGTTTCGTTGACCGCTGACGACATTTTTCACTGTCGCAACCTGGATTTAAATCGTATGTTAATAACAATGCGCCGAAATCCATCGTAAACATAATCTGGATCACACCCTACTCTCTATATTATCTGTTAAAAGTGATTTTCGAACGATGTCTAACACTCTGTCGTTTTAGTTTGATTTGTTACGTTTCGAGTTCGCTAATGCATTTCATTTACCTTCTGTAGCGTCTAAATTCTATGCGATACCCCATCCGAAACCTTCACATTTGCGGCCATTAAACTAAACTATTGTTTGTATAAAACCCGCCAAAGTAATTACCGACGATTCGGTTATTTTTTAATGGAATAGATGAAATGAATCATACTTGAATGAAATGTAATGATTTAGTAATTATTTGCGAAAAAGTGAAAAGCAACTGCATCCATTAAAGTTGTTAAATTTAATTGTAAATTAACTATTTTGAAAATTAACGACATTTAATAGGCATCCAGTAGTTAATGACAGCTGTCAGAGATGGCGCAGGTCGATGACAACTCGATGTTGCCAAGCCTAAATAGAAACACATCCCTAATATAGCCTCTTATTTGTTGACAATACAGTTAAAATCACTTGAATTTAATACATGTTGTATTTTCGTAAAAACATTCTTTTATAGTTTATTTTTAATTATAATTTAAATTTGTGATGTTTCGTTGAGATTTTTATGAGGCGTTTAATTTTGATTCGGACAACAAATCATATGTCATTTATTTTAATGTTGGCAACAGTCAGGAATCTGTCATGCGCAAATGGATGATGTGCGCGAAATAATTCCATTTTTTCGTAGTAAAAAATAAAATTTCATCATATTGTGTAAAATTACTTTATTTGATTTTGTATGTATGCAGTTTGAATGTAGTTTTTTCTGGCAGATTTTTTGTAATTTTACGAAAATTTGTGAAATAGTCAATTGGACGGAAAAACAAAACAATAATTAAAAATGTAAATAAATAACTCAATTTGGTTTTTATTTCACATAACATAAATAGAATCTCTTTGGATTTTCAATGTTCCCAGAAAAATCATGGTAAAGTACTGAAATTAGTTGTATAATTTGCTTTAGATTAAGAAAAAATGAAATATAAAATTTCATGCGAGGAGCCATTTGTATGACCTCAAAAATAAATCCATAAAATCATTTGACATCGACATCGAGCATATTAATTTACTGCATATTTTTACGAATTTCATAGTAAAATCTCAATTATGACCCGCATTTTACAGTATTTTTGATATATTTAACGTCTTTTACATAATTTTGATGAAAACGTTAAGTATTTGTTCCTCGCAAGACTACCGCAGGTCGGCCATCACGACAGTTTGTGGCAAGCTTGGCTAGCGGGTATGTGTTAGGTGAGTGAAAGTGTGTTGCTCCGTATTTTTCACGTTACAAATGTGGATTATCACTCGAAAAACGCAGGTAATGTGTTTGAAAATGTTCATTAATGCATTAGTTATCGTTATTTAACAAGAGTTTCCGGCGAAAACGCATTTTATTACCGAAAACTCGAAAATCCAAGGAGCTTCACTCGAAAGGCTAGTATGTAGAACCCGCCATGTTGTGAAATTGGTAAAGATTGCGATTTCGCGATTGTAGAGACGTTTTTCTCCCGAAAAATACGAGTTTTTCGTGTAATTTTTCACGTAGTTTACGTGTAATTGCGGACACGACGGATTTTTCCCGCCTTTAACCGCCAAAGCCACATTCGATTTCATGCAAGTGCGAAGCGTCCGTTGTCTATTACACGAATTACAAACCTACTTTTTAATACGAAAACGTTCAATCGCTTCGGGTTCCTTTTCCTCGCTATTTATTCTCAACGTACAATAGATCGTTTTTAAACAATAATCGGCCGTGCATACGCGTATATTTGTAAACAGGACGGCATACAAAAAAAAATTGTTTTCATTCTCCAATCTTGCCTCATCAGTCTACACTATGTGCGTGTGTCTGAAGGTTACACACGCAGAATTCCACATAAAATCCAATTCGGATAAGAAATTTGGGACGTTTTTTAATCGAATTTAGCGTAAAAGACGGGGGGCGTGGCGATTTGCATTAATTTTAATATTATTTTCTTACCTAATTTATATTATATCGAAATATCTCGGCATTGTTATAGATTAGAGGACGATTTCATAAATCCTAGTACTTAATTATTTTAAAACGAATTGTATGATAATTATTGCTATATAATAGTATATAATAGTTGTTTTTATTTGTACGCTAGTAACATTGAACTTTTACTGTCTTAATCAAATTCAAGATCGTATATTTACATTTAAGTAGTGTTCAATGGCATATTGTGTATTTCCAAATATCTCGCCATAATTACCAACAATATCTCGAATAAACATTTTAAATACATCCCCTAAATAGTTATATAACTACTCCGATAAATTCATCGGCCTGTACGTATAACTTCTTCAGCGACCTCCCTTATGTAATTGTATTAAAAAGAACTATTTGTAATTTCAGATCCTAGCTGGCATGGCTATTAACTTGTAGTAATATTCTGTAAAATGGAATACAAATTGAATCAAATAAACAGCTGATCAGTAGGCCCGGGTCACTATTTGAACTCATTTTGTAAGTGCTATTTAACAACGATTTGATATGTTTATTGTAAGTATAATTTACGTTTTGCAGTGAGGTGAAAAATGGAACGTCCACCCCGCAATGAGCCGCCCGTGGAGCCTGTCAACGGTGTGGTGCAACCGCTGGTGCATCCGCCGCCCGACAGTCCCGGTCGCGTAACGAACCAACTGCAATTCCTGCAGAAAACCGTACTGAAGGCCGTATGGAAGGACAAATTCGCTTGGCCTTTTCAACAACCCGTCGACGCCAAGAAACTCAACCTGCCCGTACGTATTCCTAATCATCGATCGATCGATCGATTAATCAATCGCCTCTCGCTCGTTTCAGGACTACCATAGAATAATCAAACAACCGATGGACCTGGGAACGATAAAGAAGCGTTTAGAGAACAACTACTATTGGTCGGGTAAAGAGTGCATACAAGATTTCAACACGATGTTCACGAATTGCTACGTCTACAACCAGCCCGGCGAAGACGTGGTCGTCATGGCCCAAACATTAGAAAAAGTATTTTTAACCAAAGTGGCCGACATGCCCAAACAAGAATTTGTCGTTGATATGCCGATGAAAGGTACAGAGATTTTTCGATACGGTGCGCTTAACAGCGCCCACGACTCGCACTGTTTTTTTTTTTTTTTGGGTTCCCAACGAGCATTCGATCAGTACACAAATCAACGCTTTTAGAAATATATATCGTTTACGTTTTAATTGAAAGTATAAAGGTATTAAAGTACCGATCGTTTAATTTGTGAACTGGTCCGAACGTTCGTCGGGAACGAAACCGTTATTGTTCTTCAACGTTTAGGCGCCAAAGGCAAGAAAGGGCGAGTTAGCGTCGGCGGTGGAAGCACCCCATCGTCGAGCGGACCGGTACCGGGGGCGGCGGCTATACCAGGAGCTGTCAGAGGCAGACCGCCCGCGACCGTTTCTTCTACCAGTACCACGCCAATTGCCACCACTACTGGTACGTTATAACGCGATTTATAACGCTCAGTAATGTACAACAAACCGACAAATTTTTCACATTAAAAAAACATGATGATATCAACCATAAAACCCACTGAAGACTCTGATGCTTATCACAAAACGAGCTTTTTAATTCTGATCGATCGCTCGATACGCAACCGTCCCGCTATTCACGGAACTATATTAACGAATCGTTTTTCCGTTTGTTCAAGGTTCGTCGGGCCTGCCGTTGGGTACCCAAGCGCCGGCCACGCTGCCGGGCAGTACCGCCACGACGACGATAGCGCCGGCCAACAACAACAACAGCTCTCTGACGCCGCAACAGCTCGTCGGCACGCCCGTCGGTTCGATGCACGGCACGCCCGGAGGAGCGCCACTGTCCAATTCCCTCGATCCCGGCGGCGTGATGCCCGGCAACGTCATGCCGCCGGCGCAACCGGCCAAGGTTCGTTTCCCACCCCCACCAAAATCCTTTCCTGTCATGCAGGGTGTTACCAAAAAAGGTTGTGGTGAACAATTGCAAAGATACAATCGGTCTAAAACGAACCGTTTTAGCTCTAAGAGTCATTAAAGAGTGTGGTAAAACCTTTTTTGGAACGCCATATATAGGAAGCGAGTTTCTAGGTGGTTAATCGAACGATCGGTTGAATGTTTTTTAGGTAAAAAAAGGCGTGAAGAGAAAGGCCGACACGACGACGCCGGCGACGGCCTACGACTATCCGACGGTGTTGGAATCGAAATCGGCGAAGATTTCGACGCGCCGAGAATCGGGCAGGCAGATCAAGAAACCGGCGCGGCGGGAAATCGACCTTCATGTACCTCAACCGGCGATCCACAAACCCAACGAGAAGTTGTCGGAATCGCTGAAGGCTTGCAATGAAATCCTCATGGAATTGTTCTCCAAGAAACATTCGGTGAGATGTACCCTATGTCGTTATTTTGGTTGTCTAGTCCGTATTTATAAAAATGAAGCGTTTAAAAGTAAAAAGGTAGAAGCGAAAGATAAGAGAAAAAATGTTTTAAAACCGTTAAAACCTTTTGCTTGAAAGCAACTGCAGGATCCTAGAAGCGAAGCCTCTCTTTCTTCACTTCTTTTTATAAATACGGCCTACTGAAGAATACAATAACAGTTATTTTGTATAAACATGATGAATTATTAAAAAACTGATTAAATTATGATTATTCAAACATAATACGAGCTTTTTAACACTGATTTATACATGATAATTAACTAAACATTTCTATTTTCTTATACATATACCTAAAACCTCGGTTATACTTTACAGAATTACGCATGGCCGTTTTATCAACCGGTCGATGCGGAATTATTGGGCCTGCACGACTACCACGACATCATCAAGAGACCCATGGACTTTGGTACTGTAAAAGAGAAAATGGACAACAGGGAGTACCGCACGCCGCAGGATTTCGCCGCCGACGTTAGACTGATTTTTAGTAATTGTTACAAGTACAATCCCTCTGACCACGATGTGGTCGCCATGGCGCGGAAGCTGCAGGACGTGTTCGAAGTCAAGTAAGTACCATCGTACGGAGGTTTTCTAAAAGGGACGGATGTTGTTCATTTGCGGCGAATTGAAATTGTAGATTCGCAAAGATCCCCGACGAACCCGTCAACCGGATAGGAGGCGGTGTAAATAATTTACCCATTAAATCGGAATCGAGCAGTTCCGGTTCGAGTTCCGATTCGTCCAGCGAATCCGAGGATTCGGAGGAGGAGCGACGTAATAAACAATTAAAAGTACTGGAAAAAGAGGTACGATTTATTTATTTAATTTTGTATTATTCTATACGAAACGATTTTGTAGTTGACGGCGTTGCAAGAGAAGATGCGCAAGCTGGTCGAGGAGAGTTCGCGCCGGAAAAAGGAGAAAAAGAAAAACAAAATGAAAAAGAAACCGAGCGGCGGCGGCGGCGGTGGGTCGTCTGCCGTCGCGGCGGGCGCTCTGCCGAACAGCAGCAGCGGCGGCGGCGGTCTCGGTAAGCCATCGGGGCACGGGGCCCTAAAGTCAAACAACAATTCGATCGCGGACAGCGTTGACGACAGCATCGCCAGTGTTGTGTCCGGCGCCGATATGAAGATGTCCGGCGTCGGGGCGGCGACCGTCGCCGGGGACGCGCACCATCACGCGGGCGGCGGCGGCGGGGGCGGCGCGACGGCGCACGCCTCGGGCGTCCTACAACACGCCGGCAAGTCGCTCAGCATGCATCACAACATGGCGGCAGCTGGCGCCAACGCTTCCGCCCAGCCTAAAACACCTAAGACCAAAGGTGAGATTCTATTTATTCTCTTTTTTTTCTATTTTTCTATTTTTCTATTGTTCTATTCTTATCGTATCTCTGCATATTCTACAACGCATGTCCGCATCTGTCGTTGCTCTCTACGTATCCACGATAGTTTGTTTTTTTGCTGTATTCGATTCAATAAGTTTTTTTTTTCTTTATAATACATAATATGTATGTTATTAGTATTTAGATTCGATGTATATTAGTTAGATTTGTTGGTGTATTTCAAGATTATTGAATTCTTAAAGGCGCGGGGACACGCCTCTAGTAGCTAAAAAAAGTTACTATATCAAGTAACTAAATTTCAGTAAATTTTAGTTACTTGATTTAGTAACTTGCTTTAGCCTACTTGATTCCCGCGCCTTAAAGCTAGCTGTATATTATAAGCAAGTAGGCGTAATATGATTGTAAATAAGGTTATCCTCTTACTATTATTGTATCAGGTTACTTTTAAGTCGAGTAGAAAAAACATAATTGAAGAGAGTACAAGTAAAAATGTACAAACGCTTTTCCTGCATCAGTAGTTTGATTTTCGATTTATTTATACACACCCCGTATATTTTGCACCTAAGCTTCTTGAGGTAGTTTGGCACTAAAAAAATATATAAATCAGTATGCGTAGTTATTTATTTGAACGCTTGCAGATCGACCTGTTGTTTGACTTTCTACAATTAGTTCGTTTAATGTAATTGTTTCGTTTAAACACACTTTTGTAAGTAAATCGAGGAATGGTAAATACATCGCTAATAAATGCACGTGCACTTGTATAAAACGAAAATCTTAGTTCGTAGCGGATGAGAATCCGAGTACCTAAATTACCGTTTAGGTCTCCACTAAACATGGCGAATAAATTTCCGTAGTACATTTTGTAGTAAAATTAGTCGTAATTCGACGACGTTTTTGTCCGCAGGTTTGCGCGCCAACAAACCGGCCGCCGCTTCGAACGCCGCCGCCAAGCGGGTGAAGGCCAACAACAAAACCGGCGCCGGCAGGAAGAAGAACGCCGCCCAACCGCCCCCCATGCCGTTCGATTCCGAGGACGAAGACAACGCCAAGCCGATGTCCTACGACGAGAAGCGGCAACTTTCGTTAGATATTAACAAATTACCCGGTAAATGCGCGTTGTTGTTGGAAACGATTTTTTATGTAGAGCGAACCGGCGAGCCCGTTGCGTACAGGCCAATATTTAATTGCATTAATCGAGTGCCGGTAATTCGGGATGTAAATGTTTGGTTGATTTTAAGAAGGAAAGAGTTCCATGTTACTGTATAAAGTTTTCATTGTTAGTTGTGTACGGGCTCTCGGGTTCTGAGTGTTACATTTTAAACGATGATATTTTGATGGAATTGATGTGTTTGCAGGCGACAAATTGGGTCGAGTTGTACATATAATCCAATCGAGGGAGCCGTCGTTGAGGGATTCGAATCCCGATGAGATCGAGATCGATTTCGAGACGTTGAAACCGTCGACGTTGAGAGAATTGGAGAGTTACGTCGCGTCGTGTCTGCGTAAAAAGCCACGTAAGCCTTACTGTAAGTTCCGTTACTTCACGTCTACCAACAACCGACAACAAAAACGACACGAAAATTTATTAGAAATTATCGATTTGAAAAAAAAAAAACAAAAATTGCGCCGTTTACACGAGTGCACCAGGCCCGCTGATGTCGCAATGGTTTCGATGGAACCCGATTCGTGTTGTTTGATTTATTAAGAGTTATTGAAACGAATGGGTTTCATTGTCTATTGCGATGTTGTGGTGTAAATGATAACAGATCGACAGGCGTATGTAATTGGAACTACACATTTTTAAGCATGGTAGAACTTTGCTGGTGGGGTTTTTTAAGGTTTTTTTATATATATACGTTACGGATAAAGCTAGATAAACGACTAAACCTAGGTTTACCCGGGTTTAGCCTAGGGTAGGGTAGGGAAGGTTTTTTTGGGTTCCCTTTACCCCACGCTAGATTTAGTCGTTTATCTAACTTCACCCGTAACATATACGTAATTTGATAATCCAAGTAGTACATTTTTTTACGATTATTATATTTTTTATGAAAGTATGTACTGTTGGAAATCTAAATTATTGGTAGTAAAAGCTTTCGCGCTCAATTTGATTGGTGCAGGTTACTTTTTTTTCTCGTTCTTTAATCGATGTACAAAATTGAGCACGAAATTTATTGCAGATCGCTTTGATGAAGTGATTTTTTTTCGGCTACTTAATACATATTGTTTTATATTCAAAATGTCTCATCTATTTTTTTGCATATAGCGCATGCTCTACCATTTGGGGTGTATTTCTGATTTTTTTTTTGTAAAAATAGGTAATATATCTGGTGACTGGTGAATGCATTTAGTTTAAAAATTGATCGAGTTTTATACAGGGTGTTTTATTATTATGTGTAAATATTGTGCGTAAAAATACGAAGATTTAATATAATATTCCCGTTATTTTCTCCAAACTAGTAAAGTTTATATCTTCATATTTTGAACCTTAAATTTATTTATCGACATATAATAAAGAAACGCTCTGTATAAACATGTTCGTTAAAGTAAATCGGCTTATCATAACGCTTAAATCATCGCCAAATTCTACGTCTTTTGGTACATTTTTTTTTACATCGAAGACATAGAATACGATCGTACTAACATTTTCAACTTTGCAATCGGCCGTCGCGCGATTCGTCCGAAACGCTAATTATCAATTTACGCGGCGCCGAATCGAAGTTGAAAATAATTAATTACTTACATTCGAAACCGATTCATCCTCCGCGTCGCTAATAATTCACCCTCTATATTTTAGATAAAAAAGTCGCCGGCAAATCTAAAGACGAACAAATGGCGGAGAAGAAGCAGGAGCTAGAAAAAAGACTAATCGATGTGAACGATAAAATCGGCAATTCCAAAAAAGCACCTAAAAAAGGTAAGAAACGCCAGATCGATTTCGTGCAAACTAAACAAAATAGCCCAAAGAAAAAAATGGCCCAAGACAAAATAGCCCAAAGATGTAATTTCCCTAGACAAAATAGCCCAAGGCTTCAGAACCATTTCGAATCATTTAAAACTGTCTATAACAATTTAGAATGCTCCAAATATGCTTCAAAGAACCAAATAAAACGCTTCAGATCCATTAAGAACTCTCCAGAACCATTTAGAACTGTCTAGAACCAATTAGACCTCTTCAGATCCATTTAGAACGCCCCAGAACCAATCAGAACTGTCTAGAACCGTTTAGAACGCTCCGGAATAATTTTTTATTCGTTTTTTTTTTGTTGTAGATGAAGCGAACAAGGTGGACCCGACGGGCGCGGGCGGTCCCTCCGGTCGCCTGTCGTCGAGCTCGAGCAGCTCGGATTCGGACAGCAGCAGCAGCAGCCTGTCGTCGAGTTCGAGCGATTCCAGCGACAGCGAAGCAGGTTAGCCCCAAATTTAAAAAATAGACGGGAAAAACAAACAAACTAAACGAAAAGAACAGAGATATAATTTTAAAACGGATGAATAAATATTACGCGGACGCGGATCGGTCCGGCGGTCTCTCGCTCGGCGTCCCGAGTAATCTATTTTGAAATTGCGAAATAACGATAAATTCAGACCAAGTTTTTTTGGTTTTTTTGTGTACATTATACGAACGAATCGTCTCGCGTTCGCTCTCCAATCTCCCGGATTTTTTACACTTTGTACAGGTGGATTGTGTGTCGTATTAACTTCTATTTTTTTCCTCTCTCGAAGAAAATTAACCAGTCGATAATACGGGATCCCTTGCGACGATTGTAATTGGGGTAGAATCTTTATTTTAATGGGATATAAAAAAGTTTATTAGTTTCGTGTAGCGTATTATTTGAATTAAATTCACAATACAATTTGCACTTGTATCGTAAAAGTAGAAATGATTTATAAAGGAGCTGATTTCGTTTCAATACCACCGCAAAACGACACGCCTGGTATACAAGGTGTCCCAATGAAAACTAGTCCCTTTAATGAGCTTTTAATTTTTGAAACGCCTATTATTCATTTAGTGGGACTTTAAGTTGCCTACGATGGTACTTTTAAATAAAAACACACGAACTGTCAAAAATGACACTAATGACATTTGGATAATAGAGTTGGGTATCGTAGAGGTACGTTACGAAATAAGCGTTATTTTTCAAATTCAACAGCGTTTTGGGGTAAAAGCGAACTATTCAAAAACTATTTATTATTCTACAATAATTTATTGATATCTTGTCTCGCTTATTTGAGGTTTTAAAAATTATTAGCTCACTAAATGGGCTATTGTTCATTGGGACACCCTGTATTATAGCGGGGATCCCTTGCGAAATTTTGATACGTTAAGGATGATTAAGATTTTTGTTAACGCAAACGAATTTTTTTTTACATAAATTGCCTATTTATTGCGATTTTTGGATTTGGGTTGAATTTTTGTTTGATTTTTGCGACCTCAAAGGTGCCATTTTATTTTAATATCGCGTATTCGATTATCCTTTTGGGAGTGTCCGGATTAAATGAGAGATTTACACACATACACACTTACGCAAAATGATAGGAAAATTTTATGTAAATATTGTAGCTTTTCGAATAAGTAAAAAAAAGTGGATTTGCATGTTTTTTTTTATTATGCGAGAAATTTTTTATCCGGGTGGCTTTTCCGAAGCGAGTCGAGTGCTTATTTTCGCTGGTTTTTTTGTCGTGAATGTGATATATGTATTAATAATAGCAAAAAAATTAATCGACCGTTTTTTTTGGAGTATTTTTTTTTTTTCGAAAAGAAGAAAAAAACGAGCGAACTTTTGTTCCGGTGCTAAAAATTAGCCACCCGAAACGAAAAGTTTCATATCAATTCGTTTTTTTTTTTTCAAACATTTATCGAAAACCCACAGTTTCATTGATATGAAATTTATTCCGCTATTACTATTATTATTTTTAATTTGATGATCTGATCACAGTTTTGTTTCGTTATCATTTTTTTTTGGTTTTTTTGTAAGACGTAAAAAGTATTATTAAACGGCAACTTTTCGATTAAGTAATCGATTAATATCGAAACGTTGGCGGTTAAGCGATTGATTTTTGTTTCTTTTTTTATTATTTTTTTAATACTACCTTGAGTGCATAAACCGTGTGGGTACGGCGCGTTTGACCGGACCACAACCATACAGGCCATTGGGTCTTTATTTAATTTTATTACCACAAAAACGGCAATATATAAGAATAATTCCGAAACGGGAATAGTTTCTCTACCTCATTTTTTCTCATCCTCGACGGACCAGGTGAATTTTTTTTATGTGTTTATTATTACTTTTTTTTTTATTTTTTTTTTTGTTGTATTTTCGACATAACCGCGCTACGTTTTTTTTAATGCAGACAATGTGTTTGGGGCGGCCGATTTATCCTATGATTTTTTTTTTTGTTTACAAAATGCAATCTGATCGAATTTACTTCGATGTTTGTTTGAGAGTAAATTTGAAAAATTACCGAACTTGGTGTTCACTTCGCTCGGTTTTTGGATTTTTAGTTTTGCTCGGTTTTTTTCGATAGAAACGAACGAAGGTAAGAAGACGCACCGTGAACACCAAACTCGTTTTTGCATATAAATTTTTTTTTATTTAAATCCGTGGTACTGTATGGTTTCAAATTGAATTTTTTTTTGCTTTTTTTCGTTTTAAAATTGGTCAAGCGCTGATTTGTTGGTTGGCCACCATCCACATTGTTTGCACTCTAGGCTACAATTTTTTTTTTTTGGTTTTTTCAATACTCGTTCTCGAATGTTTGCGTACATTCCAATAGACTCCCGAGAATAAAAAAAGACTTAATTCATCTCAAACAGTTGCGAGAAAACTATTTCATTAGTTTGCACCAATGTGGGTACCAAAAAATAGTTCAACGTTTCAAAATTCTTCCAATCGTCTTTTTATTTCAATGTTATGCACAAAGAGACTATTCTTTTGTATTTGAAATAATTTTTGAGGGTATTGAAGGAATTAAAAAAAAAACGGAACTCGAATTTATTTTGTGAGGCAAGTTTCTCGTGTAAGTTGAAAAACTCTTTCTGAATTTAAAGTGTGTTGTTATCCAAAATGATTCCCGCCGAATTGGTAATATTTTATTTTTGGTTCGTTCATTATTCGAGTTGGATTATTTTGGAATGGACACTGAAAAAAAATGTCTCGTCTCATATCAGCAGATTTACTTACAGTTTTTGTGATTTGTATTGATTTGTACATATTTGATTATAATTTACGATTTACTGTAAAACTACCGAATATTTTTTAATGCATACGTTTAATGTATTCTTATTCCTTCACGTAACGAAAACGTATTTAGTATGGTTATACATACTTTTAAACATGTATCTCATTTAAATAAATCGATTTTTTGCACTGTATTTTTTAATTAATGAATATTCGACAATTATAAATAATTTTGGTTCATTTTTTTTTGTTTTGTCTGCGTATGTAAATGGAATATTTTTAATTTAAATATAGTCTATTTGATCATTTTTTTTAATCTTTTTTTTTTTATTTATTGGGTCAGTCGAGGAATATTTACTGTGTAAATACTATTAATGTTTTTGTACATAATTTAATGTTTCTTGCAAAATAATAATTATCTTGCCTCTAGAGAAGTAGGTAGTTTAGTAATTTCCAAGCTAAATAATTTAGTAATTACTGTTTGTATATTTATTATTTAAAATGCGAAATGAGTAAAGCGAAGAAAAAAAAAATAATACAGAAAACTTGTAAGCATTGATAATGATATTGAATGAAATTTATTAAATTTAATATATAATGTATTATCGTTTTGTTTTTGTGGTAAACGAACAATATGATCCTTTTAATTATCTGAAATATAGAGCGGTTTATGGCACTCAAGGTATCCGAAAGTTTATCGAATCGAAAAATCGTATACTCAGCACAGAGTTTTGTAGGTGGTACGACCAACAGATCGACTAAAAAGAAAGTGAACAAAAAGAGCCCCAACCCTTCGGTCGATAATACTGCAATAACGGTAAGTTATTATTTATGTTAACTCATTGAAGTTTATTTTAATTTTATAACAACAAACGAACCACACGACAATTTTTTTCCAACACACAAAACTTGATCTACCCCAAGATGTAATAGTGCAAATGAATTTAGTAGTTTTATCAATAAAGGCGCGGATACAGGTATCAATTAGCTATAGCAAGTAACTAAATTTAGTTAAGGTAGACTGGGGCAAATGTAAAAATGGGCTAAATGTAATATTTTTACCTATTATGTTAATGTTTTTTATTATTTTTATAGTTCTTTTGTGCGTTAGACAGGGTTTGTTTCTTATTTTTTCTTTATTATTTTGTAGCTCTGTTATTTTTTGAAATAAATAAATAAACACCATATCAAATTTTAGAGGAACCAAATATGTATTTACAATTACCCCATATGTTTTTCTATATAATTGTATTGTCTCTTTAGAACGGGGGTAAATATAACTTATTGTCAACATTTTAAAAAATGTGTAAAATCGTTTTCTTCCTTTTTCAAAAAAAACTTTTTAATACCTCGATTCTTTAATTTAGGAAGTTGTGAATTTAATGTGGTATCAGCATTTCTAATAAGAGAAAAAATAAAGCCACATTTTAGGATTTAATTTGAACTATTCAAATTTTACAACCGATTCGTCCCGTCTACCTTACTTGCTTTAGTAACTTACTGTAACTACTTGATAGCGTATACTTGCCTTATTGTATGTATGTACGGCGAGAATCGATTAGTTTGCATGTTATTTTTGTGTTATCAGAAACCACAGCAACCAACAACAGCACCACCAATGTCACAAACACCCGCCAACGTTAACGCTAACGTAAACGTAACCGTATCGGCTAATGCGAACGCACCGCCACAATCAGTACCTGCGACGACGTTAACGACGACCGCCGCCGTTAACAGCAATTTCCCGGCGCCGCCGCCGCCGCCGCAGCAGCAACAGCAGGCGATGGCTCACAACAAGCAGCAACACAACGTCAACGTAAACGTTAACGTACCGCCGTCGGTACAACAACAACAACAACAACTGGTACCGCCGCTCAACATCAAACCGATCGGCATCGATAAACTATCGGCCGTGAATCCGGTGACGCCGGCCAGCGTACCGCAGGCGCCCAAATCCGTCGCCCTGCCCACGCCATCGCCCGACAAACCCAAACCCAACGTGATCTCCCACATGGAGACCTACACCGATCCGATCGAACAGAGCCTCGCCAATTTAGAGCAGGACACGATCGCCGTACAGCAATTGACCAACAATCCCGTCGCCACCCATCCGCACATGAACCTCAATCCTAACGTCGTCAACCATCCCGTTTTGCAGCCCGGCTCCTTGAACATGGACCTGAAGGCGCCGGTCACGATGGCCGCCGCCGCCGCCGCGGCCGCCCAAATGCTCCATCACCACCACCACCACCACGGCATGCCGATGTCGATGGACGCCGGCGATTTGCCGGCCCTGATGCAGACGCAGGCGAGCATGATGCACGCGCAGAACAACGGCTTCGGCATCAAGCACGAATTCGATTTGACCGCCACCAACAACAACGGCATCACGTCGATCGGCCTGCCGATGGAGATGTCGATATCGTCGATGTTCGACCAGCTGCCGCAGCACCTGATCAAGCCCGAGCCCGGCCAGGACCGGCTCGACGGCCTCGGCGCGCTGGTCAACGACAAGAAACCGCCGCACGGCGGCCATGGCGGCGGCGTCGCCGTCGGCGCGCCGATCGCGTCGAAGCCGTCGGCGCAGACGTTCGGCTTCAAGCAGGAGAAGGCGGAGCCGCACAACGTGAAGAACGCCAGCTCGTGGTCGAGCCTGGCGAAGGGGAAGAGTCCGCAGAACAACACGCCCGGCGGCAGTAGCAAGCAACAGGTGATGGACAGCTTCAAGGCGTTCCAGAACAAGGCGAAGGAGAAGGCCGACAGGGAGAAGCAGCGGCTGGAGAATTTGGAGATGAAGCGGCAGCAACGCGAACAGGCCGAACGCGAGCGATTGCGCGCCGAGCACGAGAGGCGGCGCGAAAAGGAGGAGGAGGACGCGTTGGAGAAGGCCAGGTAAATCGGAAAAAAATTTGCTTTTTTTTTTGTTATCCACTGTCGGTCCTATTTCGGTTATTAACAGTAGGTTAACAATACTTTGTTATTCACCACAATATTTGAACTAACTGATAGTAAACTGACAGTTTTCTTAAAAATAACCAAGATTAAGTTGGCGTTGCGATTTTGTTCCTAACTTCATGCGAAAATCATAGCCACAATTTACTAAATAATGTCAATTTTGTATATTTGAAGAATTAAATAACCGTATTCCAGCGGTGATTCTATCCAACCGAATCTTTCTTTAATCTGAACAAATTTGACAACACTACTTGATACTAGCGCCCTCTGTCGAGAGTTTCATCATTCGCAAGCCTCTGTAGGAGTTTCCGGACCTGTTATAAACGACCGTGGTTCCAGAACAATCTTGTGACAGTTTGACGTTTTTGACATGCATCGTCAATCTGTCATTTTTTTTTGATAACTCGATTTGTTCGTATTTCTAATAATTCAATTTTGAGCTAGTATGACTGATAAATTAGTAAATGTATTTATTTTTTAATTTTTATAGGAAAGCTGTAGCCGAACAACAGCCCATAACGAATCAGAGGGTGGAAGAGTTGCGATCGTCGCCAGGCGAGGGTAGCACGTCGCCCGGTTCGTTGAGTTCGGGCTCCGAAAGGATATCGGAGAGGGAAAGGCAACGATTGCAGGAGCAGGAAAGACGAAGACGAGAAGTGGTAAGGATACATTTAGACTTTTCTCTTTCCAATGAAAGTTGTCTTTGTTGCATCCATAGGCACCATATTCCGTATAAATTTGCGTTTATCTGTGTATAATGACGTTGATGTATGTGTAATGATGGTTGCCTAATTTGAAGGGAAACCGTGCAATGAAATATAAAATTACGTAAACGTTTTTAACAAAATTAATAATTTGTTTTTTTTTCAGATGGAGAACAAGATAGATATGAATATGCAAAGTGATTTAATGGCCGCTTTCGAAGGTTCGTTATGAACGGTGGTTTGGTGCGCCGCTTGACTGAAAATTTTTAATATTTATAGAGAAAAAAAATGGACTCTCGACGAGCCGATTTTTGTGTAATTATTGTATTTATATATGACAATTTTAATAGGTGTTAAACGAATGTTATACGCTCAAAAAAAGAAGAAACCTATTTTTTTTTTATTTTTAAAAATATGCTTCCATTAAGTTCCAGCTGCATCTTCTACATCTTTATTATTTCTCTTATCCTCGGGTACAGTTCATATTATGTTAAATGTGATTCTTGTTTTTAGTGGCCGGATCTTGTTTTTAAATTCTTTTTTTCTAATATTTAAGTTAGAACTTTTCCAAATGGTTTGTAAATAGAGTAATATAAAAAAATATTATAAAATTGTACAGAAATGTTGGGTTGATTATTGTATTAATTTTTATTTGCTAGTATTTTCGGATCGTCGAAATTCGCCGGAATTTTCTCGATTCGAATTCGGTTCTTAGAATTATATGTTTTATTTGTTTCAACATCGAGTTGTACCATTCCAGGTGTTGAATTTTAAATCCTCTTTATCAAAGGGAAAACGATACTCATAGTATTTAGTAACTTACCCTATTCGAGTTGTGTAATCTTTTTTTTTTCTTAAAAAACGAAAACGTTACAAAAAAAACTAATGAGTGTACCATTTAAGTCAAATTTCACGATGAAATTATTTCTTTGTAATTGAATGACGTGTGCGCTAGTTGTTTACAAGTGTTTAATTACTATCGATTCGACAATAATTTGGTTTTTTTTTTGTTCTGGGTTTATGGGTATTTCGAAGTGCTTGTAAGTGACATGATCTGGCGTTGTACCATCTTGAGCGGTTTTTTTTGAGGTGCTGTTGCATGTAAATTGCTCGAGATTGTACAGTTTTTAGGTGTTTTATTAAAACTACAAAAATGAGCGTTTCCTTGTCACGTTTGTTTGCAAATTATCGAAGAGTATTTTTTTATTGCTATTAGAAAAAATGTTGGAAACAATCATTTTGTATTTTTAAACTCTTCCACTCGAATGGCGCATAACCGGCGAAAATGGAGTGCTAAGGGTTGAAATAAGACGCTAATTTCACATAATTTCGAAAACACTTAGTTAATTTTGTGTACACTTAAGTAATTGTGCAAATGTAAAAATTTGATTAGGTAGAAGACGAGAATTGTTTATCCAATGCGGGGTGATCTTTCTAAAGGCGCTCCGGGAGTTTGCGAGGTTTAAATTTTCATTAAAATAAATACAAAAAAAATTAGCAATAAGTTATCCCCTTTATTAGGTTCTTAAGTTTACGATTCATCTTTTTTGTTATGTTTATTTTTATTAATTTTATTTCGCTTTTTTTGAAGAAACACGCTGTAAAAATGTTTGTAAAATATAAATCCAGATTAGTGTTTAGAAGTGGTTCACATTACCAATAAATAATGAATTGAAGAAATGAAAACGTGTCTCCGTTTAACTAACTGTTTTGTGTACAGGGTGGTCCTAAAAAATTGGAAATTTTTAAGCGAAATTCGTAATTACGTTATCTAACGAGTCATTTGTTGACGTAATTGGTAGATGTAGGGTTGATTATAATTTTATTCCAATTTTCTCACGCGTTTTTTTAAACGGACGGCCGATCAAATTCTTATCGATTTTGTCTAGTTTTCCTTTGAACGATTTCGTTTACCACAAGTTAATTTAATTTATATTGTAAATGTAATTGTAACATGTATGGCTGTTATCTATTTTTTCATTATTTTGAATTAAAGTCATAAATAGTGATGTTAGAATAAATATCTAAGAACTAGACGATCGTTTGTTTTTACCAAGCTTCTTCTTCTTCTTAGTTGCGACGAGCCACCTGCAACCTGACGTTTTTCCTGCGATATTTCGCGTCCACAACCAACTGGGCCTGTCGCTTTAGGTACCCTCTCGAAGGTACTTCCTCTTCATCGTCGGAACCTAAAACAGATACAGCTACAATTATGAAGTAATTTAGAGAAGAGATTGGAGAATTTGTACAAGAAATTTCTGTTTTCAATTCATTTTCTTGCTTATTCAGAACAGTATTACCAATCTGCGAATCGGTCTCAAATTAAGCAAACTACCACCCCTAGAATTTAGTGCGCCATAAGTTCGAAAACACCCTGTATCTCCGTACTTACCGGGGGGCGGTGGTGGAGCAGGAGAACCGGTTTGCGGCAGCGGCGTCCTCCTCACCAAACCCGCATAGGGCGCCGGCAACCACTTTTCATCGCTAGGATCGACTACATCTTCCTAAAACCCAAAACAAATCCACCATCCAACTAGTTCTTTTAACCTAAACCGAGTGTCCATGTTCGAGCGCTGCAATCAGTAGAAAGAGAGAATCAGTTGAACTGTGTGGACGAATGTAGCGTTCGACCTTTGACACATGATATAGGTACCTAACATTTGGGGCCGATTTCATAATAAAAGAACCCTTATTGATCATGCAATAAATTACATCTATTTTATGAAATCGTTTTTTACCTTATCGACGTTGGTATCGCCGCGTTTCAGCTCCGCTTCCGATCCGATTTTTCGGAAAATCTCGACGACGTCGAATTTGATTTTCTCCACGACGTCGAGAGCCTCCGAATCGGGCACCGCCAGCGGGTTGATGCAGAGATACAAGTTCCGCAAATTGGCTGAAAGGCTCTCGACGGCCTCGTCGGTTTTCGTCCTTCTATCGACGCTCTTCCGCGATTCCTCCGCGTGCCGGTCGATTTCGATCTGAAGCTGATCCATTTCGCCCGTCTTCCTGCAATTCCCCGCGTTGCTTACGTTAAATATAACCGTCTGAAAGTGCTACCGAAATATCGATAAAAGCGATCAGAGAGCGGTACCAAAAATGGTCTATAAAAATACTTCAACGATTGGAAAAGCGTGTGTATCGCTTCAAAAGGAGCATATTTTGAAGTAAATTCAAGAAAAGTTAAAAATGTATTACAAATTTTGTGTTCTACTCCAATTTTTTCGTCACCGCGTTTACCTTTCCGCATCTTTGGCTTCAGCGTATCTGAACGAATCCAATTTCTTGTGCAAATTCTCCAATCTCTTCTCCAACAGTTTCTTCTCGCCTTCGGCCTTGGTGCGCAGGTGCATCAGCTTCTCTTCGGCCTCCTTTTGCGTCGTAAACCGCTCGAAAACCTCTTCGGTGCTCGTGCCGCCTGCCAAATCAATCTCTCAATTTAATCCGGCAAAATCGATCGTTGGTCATTCTCACCGGTGGCCTTCTTGAGCACCTCGAAGGCCTGCGAAATGACCTCGAACGGGTGCGGAGGAGTGGGACATTTCTCCTCTTCGGGCGCCTCTTCCGCCCCTTCCGGTTCCGGTCTGATCGGCAACTTGCCGCCTTAGAACAACGATTTTTAATTGAGCCGAAATGTACAACTCATTAACATTCATTCATTGTTAATTAGAGACAGTAAGGAAGTAGGAATGATTATAAGTCATACAGAGGGACATAGAGCGATTAATAGAGCTTCAGGTGGGACAATGCAAATGGCGAATACATAGCTCAAACCTTGAAATATCTTCTTCTCCAACATCTCCAACTCCGCTTTGCGTTCGTTAACCAGCCTGCGACCCTCTATGAGCTCTTGTTCTCTCGTTTGAGCCGCCTCGTTGGCCGATCGCTCCTCTTTGAGCAGCACGCTCCTCGCGGCGTTCTTCATTTGGCTGGCCTCGTTCATTACCTGCAAACAGCCAGATATTAGATATGTCGTAGAGGCGAAAGAGCTGTTACCGTTTGGAGTTTTTCGATGTCGACGCGTTGCTTGTCTAAAGTCTCCTCCATTTTGGCGATGTTGCCTTCGAAATTGTCGGCGTCGCTTTTGAGCGTCTTGCGGATGTCCGTGTATTTTTGTTTGACGTGCAAGGCCTCCCTGATTTGCACGTTGACGGCGTGTATGTGGTTTTGTAAGCGCGTAGTCGACTGGAAAAGTATTTTATATGGTTTGTTTAGTAGGCTTTGATTGTCAGCTGTCACTGTCACTTGGAGTTTACCTAAAATATCATTACCTTCTTCACCGGCTCGTCGATCTTTTCCTGTGCCTCGTTTTTATCGTGCTTTAACAACAGTTTTTGGTACTTAACAGCGAGTTCTGCTAAATATTTCCTTCTCTGTAATTGAATAAAATCAAGCGTTGAAATATAGAGTTTAGTTTGCTATGGGTGCAACAAAGACAACTTCATTAGACACTTACAAAGGAAAAAGAGTTATCTAATAATCTTTATTGAGGGTGTATGATAGATATACAATAATGATTTTACCTGTTTGGTTCTGTACCTAAGCAAATCGATTTGTTTGGATTTATCGATGATTTGCAAATCGATCATTTTCAGGACCTCCTCGGGCCGTTTGTCCATCAAGTTGGCCCATGCGCCGGCTTCGATCGGTTTGTTTTTGACGATGTACTTGGTCTCGGTGCCGGTCACCTCGTGCAACGTGACCGCCAATTCGGACGTTTCCTTCTTCAATTTCAGTATTTCGTCGGCGTTCGATTTCCTTTCGGCCTCGCACTCCTCGAACAGCGCCTTCCTTTGGCCCTCTGCAAACGATTTTGACAGATTTTGACAGTTTTGACAGAAGCCGACTCGATGTTTATAATATATGGAGATCGAAAGGGCATCGAAGGATGAATCTGAGCGCGTCCGGTGATTTACTAAATCGTTCGTATTGGCCTCTTCCGGCCTTCCACAACGGTTAAACGAAGACAAATCAAAATTCGTGTTGGACGCACTCACATCAATTAAGCGCGTCTTTGCCTCCAACGCCTACTGTGATATCTTAATTGACGCTGTCAAATTAAAAAAATGGACAACTTCCCTTGTCACTAGAGAAAATCCTTTCGTTAATTATCCCTTGTTTTATTACGTACTGATTTTTTTTAAATTAATTGAGGAGAATTTAGTATTTTCTGAGGTAATAATATCTAAGTTTTAACAAATAACATTCAACAAAGTTTGAATTCGAGTTAACTATAGGTTGTGACGTCAGTATTGCGGGAAAAAAATTGCGACGTTGCCGCTTTGTAAATTTTTATTATACATTGGAGATTTTCGAGTAATGTATAACGTCACAACCAGTTTCAACTCGAACATCGCGATTTATACAATACCTGACAATTGGATTTTTTTCTTAACCTCCAGTATCTTTTTATTCAGCTCGGCCAATTTCTCGGAGTGGTTTTCCGTCCGTCCCGATTTGGGCCTCATTACGAAACGGGGCTCACTATATCGCGATCTCCTTCTTTCTCTCGCTTTCTCGTATACGTAAAACGCACGTCCAATTAATACGCGCAGCTATCTAGATTCCAATTAGCCGCAATTTCTTTTTATTATTCGGACGTTCGGGCATTTCTGTCGAGCGACCGCTCGATTCGGTTTGATCGTTTTCGGAATTCTGAAAGGCACTGCCGAGGGAATAGCGCTGGCGAAACGCACAGGTGGGTAGTCAATGGGGCATCGATCAAACGCTCGGAATTCCGCCGTTTCGTCCTTTTGCGGCGCACGTTCAACGACTCATTACAAATTACAATATCTACGACGATTAAATGCTGTAACTACTATCCGGTATGTGCAGGGACAATGTTTTTTTTTAACGAAATCTAAGGAATTTCGGATCTGGAAACAGTGGCAACGTTGGTTTTGTTAAATTTGATAACAAATATGTCAAATATGACAGGTGACATGTAGCGGAAATGAGATCAAAATGGCATATACCTACTTGATTATTGCTATCGATGCATCGGGTAATATTGGTTTCCAATGGATTGATGACCAGTCGTGGACATTAAGGAAGGTTAATTTTATATTTTATAGGTACCTACCAAAAATTTAAATTTTTATCACCAATAATTTCCAGTAACGACGCCATTGCGCGTAAGGGTTGCTTTCTCCAACCACCGTTGATATTTCCGAATTTTTCCCCTATTAATAAACAATCCGCCTCATCATGCAGCGCTTCTTTAATTAAATCTGAAACTAATTAAAAATCATAAAGTCCCTATCGTTACAACAAACAAAAACATAACAACAATGTTTACTTATTAAATATATCCGTAAGAGCGGAAATCGCTCACAAAATTAGACGTTTCTTCGCGTACGTTCCTCAAATGCGCAACAAAAACTAGATCCGAAGAACTTTTAACATCGACTTTAATCGAACGAAAGTTATGGGCGCGTTCGATAAATTACATTTTCGATCTAATCGCACGAGGACGATTTAATTTCTGCGAAATTCTAATCGCCGAATCGTCGATTATTCGCTCGGAATGTTCGGCGTGTAGGAATATCACCGAGAACGGCCATCTTGGCGCGTCCGTGTCAAAGCTCTTTTCCACGGCAGAATCGAGTTAACCGTTGAACGACGCGTATCCGTAAGTTGAGCGTGTGATGCGAGCTACTGCAATTCACTGGATCTAAAAAGGCGAAAAAACCGTTGAAAACGCGCTTTAAATAATGTGTGATAACAGATAAATTAGTGATCGGTGTGCTGAAAGTGGTTTTTCGTGCCCCTATGAGGGAAGTTACTCAAAAATGCGGATTAACTGTACTAAGGATTACCGAAGCCTTTGGATTATCGTTGGTATCATTGTTTTGGCCCTAATACAAGGAACAACAGGTGGGTGTTTCAAAAATTTCTGTATTTTATTGCTAGCTAATATGTTTTTTTGGTTTGAATATTTGATTGTTTTCGAAAATTGACATTTAAATTAAAAATTGACAGCTCGTTTTTATTGACAGTTTGGTCACTGTAATAACGAAAATGGCGTCGAAATGTCACATTGACAAATTAAAATAGTTCGTAAAATAAATAAATAATCCGACCGTGTACACCGTTTATAAGATCAAAAGTTCATCATCACAAACTGATCAGCTTTCTTTTTAGGATAACTAATTATGCATAATTAGGCAAGTTAATTTCGTTGTTATTAATTACGCGTTTATGCTAATTAAAACGAATTTAAACACTCGAATAATAAATCAATGAAAACAATCGACAATAACCGAAATAAGTAATAACACAGTAACAAGTAGTTAGGTATCCGACGTGCAAGTAGGTAGGCCTATAAATAATGGCTCTCGATCGAGTAGATTGGAAAAATAGAGCTTCTCTAATTTTTCGTTTAACGAGTTGGAAATAGACCGGAGCAACAGGTTGTCTTGTTGAGTTTCCGCGCTACCGTGTGTGAAAATCGCTACAAATCGCCTACCAGCGATGTTAATGATCGACTAGAACGCATACTTTGATACTAATTAATCTCGTCAAAAAGTCAAGTTTCTATCTAAATCTAAACGATACGGCGTTGAATTAATGATGGTTAGCTAGGTATAGGTATGTAGTTTGATTATTTTATGAATATAATAACGGTAAAAAGTACCTATGTATATGTATATCGGAAATTGCCTTTGGAATAAATTCAAATTGGTTCTCGAAAAATTTGTAGTCTTAATTTTCGTTTAATAGATCGAAATATTTAGTGGAGTATAAGATAATTTGATATCTACAATGCATTTTTAAAGGTTTGTTTTACATTTTTTTTTTCGAATCCAGATAAGTGTAGGTGTTGTATATGAAAAACGGCGGTTGGTAAAGTAAATTGTTTTTACGAAGGTATTGCAATATCAATATCGGCTTTATCAAATTTCCTCTGTTATTGCGGTTTCGGAATCGACGTGAGACAATCGTGTTCGATTTTTTTTCCACCGTAATACAGGGTGTCCTAAAAATCCTACACATATGGAATCTTGACATTTCAACACCCTGTAGATTGGTAACGAGGCGTTTGCGGACCTAATGTTGATGAACTTTTAGTCATGAAACAAGCTAAAGAAATACTCTGTATATCGCAAATTAAAAGGTATAACCGCATTATTATATACAAGGATATTAATCTCTTTGGTTTTCGGCTTATCTACTTCGGAAGATAAACGGCCCGTTGTGGCCTGTTACGATAATTCTAAATTCTAACGTCCGACCGACGAATTAAAACCAGAAATTATTATTAATTACACACTGTCCGCTCTTATCCAAATATTTCCCGACTGACATTCGTTCGCTTTTACAAAACAAACAGTTCACCGTTCCGGGCCCCGCTCTAACCCCATCGTAAATCAAACGAATTAATTCGAATTTTTAAATAATGTAATTTCTTATTCCGGGCGTTCGCAGTCGTTAACTTTTTTTTTTTCCTTCGCGAACGAGGAAATTCGAGTCAGAAGCGGCAACAACGCATTAATATTTTCGCTGTAAATATTGTTAATGGACAGCAACACTCTTGATTATTTTGTTTTGTTTTATCGAACTTGTGCCTTTTTCGTGTTGTATAATTTGCGACGTTGCCGCATTGTAAATTATTCAGATTAAATACGAGCATATTGCGATATTCTAAAACAAAATTTCTAACGATTTAACAAAGTCATATAGCATAGGCAAAGTCTTTTATCGCTTATTTACATTCTAATGGATATTTGCTCGTCGGGTAAACAAATACGCTCGGTATATAAAGTGTACATATACTCGGGTTTTTGGTTTATCTTCGAGGCTCGAAAAGAAGAGAGCTAAAAAAAAAAACGAGAGCCCCAACACCACCTGTCTGAACCGTTACCGCGCGCCTCGACGGGCTTTTAAAAGCCCCGGGTGTATAACATAGGGGTGGTTTCGGGGAAAACGCGACCGAAAGGGCGGCTTCGTTAGAGCGGGTTTTCGCTCGACGAAGGAAAAGGTACGACCGGCGCGCCCTCTACACCTCTTCGAGTCGTATGATGGGGGAGCGGGACGATAAATGGTTCGCTCGGTGGTTTTTGGGGGGGTCGAACGGACGGAAAACGGTCTGCACCGTTTACAGGGGTGGAACTCGAGGGGGTTTTTTGTAGCCTAAAAAGTAGCCTAATGTTATGGCACGCCGGGAATATACAGATATAGCTTAAGCTCGTCGTGACGTACCCTGTATAATACTTGCAATTTTGGAAATCTAAGAAAGTAGTGGTGAAATGAAAATACAGGGTGCTGCACGTCAATTTAAACAAGCACACCACTTTTTATGCAGCAATTATTATGATACTTAAATTAACGTGCTAAATTTAAGAGGACGCGAAAAAAAGGGATCTACTAGCGACACGTGAATTTAATAAAATTTTAAATAACGTAACTTTTGTAGTCCAAGAATAGCTCTTTTCAACTAGCCCAAGTTTGATTAAATCGGCTCGTCCGTTTCGAAGATACAGCGTGTTTTTTAGGGAAACTTTTGAATAACAGAAGAGAAACTCGAAAATATTTTCCATGGTTTTTCCCTTGGCTGTTTTAGTAATAACTTTTTTACCGCAACCCTCTATGATGCATAGTTTCTCAGATACAGTACTTTACATTCTTATCCGACCACCCTGTACATCCAAAATCTTTCAAATTGTTGTGAAAAATCTTTTTTTTTATTTCAACTTTGACACTGTATCTTTTTTATTTTCAATATTTTACTAAAGCAAGTTGGGGGTCAGATCATAATATTTTGAGGCCCAGAATCTTCTCCTTTCAAATTTGAACCATTACTTACGGATCACCCTGTATATACACTCTCAAAAATGCTTTGCATAAAAGAATACACATTCAATACAACGAATCATTCGTAAAATTACTCATCAAAATTAGTTTCCAAAAGGCACAAACATTTAAAATTAACAATAAAAACAATTCAACAAAAGACATTTTAAATAATAAATGAGCAATGGCATTTTAACTATATAATATGCAAAACATTTTTGAGTATGTGTATATTCGAGACGATACAAAGGACTCGAACGAAATAGCTTATGGGTACGCCAATGGGCCAGTACGTGCACTACTATAAGCGTGACGTCAGAGGCCAGCTGCAAACCATTTTTCTAAAAAGGAATACACGCGGCCGTGTAGCGTGTAGCGTGGCTGCATAATGTACACCAAACAAACACATGTGTGATCGTACGAAACCGTTTTCGTAACATTTTAAAACGTATATACAAGTAGGATTGAAAGAGTCGAAATTTATTATGATGGGGTTTTGTTTTTATTGTTTTTTTTTTATACAACGAAATTTGGGCTTTAAATTTTATTGGGTTGGTTTTATTTAGGTATACAATCGTTGAACGAGTCATTGACTCTTCGGGGATTATAGTTTATTGTATACGAAAGAGGAATGGGTAATTGGGTAATTGAAAATTGGAATCATCTCTGCTGAAATATCAGATTTAATATTGCAAATTTGAATATATTATGTCAATAGGAATGATTAGAAGGAACGTTGCATCAGAAACAACTCTTTTACTAAAATCTAATCAAACTAATTTTAATACCTATAATTAATTTAGAAAGTTGTGTGTGTGTAACACATTTTTTTTTAATTTCGCATATCTCGCGAACGTTCGTTTTATTCTCACGTGGGAATTTTTATGTCTCTCATCAGCCCGATTTTCATTGTTTTCTGGTGTATTCGTTTATGCAATAGTTCCGAGTACGAATATAATCCTTCGATTAGCCAAGTGGATTTTTTTTTTAGTCTAATTTACGAATTTCGCGTTCGTTTAATGAAACACATCCGGGATATGACCGTTCTGAAATAGACAAAATAATACGCGAATTATCGCCATTTTTGTTAGTACAGGTATACTAAAAATTTTTATCTAAAAATTGAGCGAATTGAGTGGTAAAACAATTTTTAAGGAACTGTTGTTGCAAAATCCAACGTTTGACAACACCGCATTTCTTTCGAAAAAATTTTTGTTACATTGCATTTGTTGATTTAGCAAGAATTTCCACGCGGATTTTACCCAATTCGCACATTCATCTGTAATTATGTTTCAAAATGCTTATTACACAGGGTGTTTTTTTCTGTTGTGTTTCAGGTGTTATTCTATCGTGCTCGCCTAGTCCATGCAAAAATGGTGGCACGTGCGTATCACCTGCGAAAGAAGATAGTTTTTGCAAGTAAGTACCTAATTTTTATGAAATTAATACATCCAGTTATAGCGGAATCGGTTTTTCCGATTAATCTCGATCGGGAATAATCGAAAAAAAAAACGCTCTCGAGTTGCGAGGAAAAAAGCCGAATTGGTAATAACAATTTATTTTTTAATTAGTAATCTATTTGCATTCCTGGAATTTGGAATGGCGCGAATCGATTCGAATCGATTCGGATTCTTTTCCCGATTAAAAAGCACGCCTAACTTACGTGAAAAATCGATTAAATCCGTTAATTGTCTGTTGGTTTAGTTGTAATTTCATTCCAATTTGAATAATTCGTATTCGATCGAAATTAAAATTCTACTCGTTATTTTTTCGTCTTTCCCACGTCATTTCGATCATACAAAACGGTTCATTTCGAACATTTTTTTTTTAAGCGGAATTCCGAGATAATTTAATAGGCTCTTTACAATTATTTTTAATGGCGACGCGACGTCCATCTGTTTTTTTATTATTTTGTTTGCGCTAAATATAAACGGCCAACGAGACGAATTTCTCCGAATTACGAATCAATATAAAATTAATAAATTTAATTGGGTAACTGAATCGGTTATAATAAATAACCAATAGGTTATTTTTTTGTCGTTTTTTTAACATGCGCAATCCAGTAGGCTTTGATGACATTTTTTGACAAGTTATAGAAAATCGCAGATTACTTGATTCTATTCGAAACTACTATTAAATACATATAAGTATGTAATTTAATGGTAATGGAACACGTGCAATGTGCCTACTCTGATTCAACCAATCTAACCAATTCGGGTTAAACGCGACCTCAATTGGGTGACTGTTGCATGTAAAATGCACCGCCATCTGCGATACATCTCTACCATATTTATATAAAGAGTCATCGTTTAAAATTGAAAAGCGGCCGTGACAATTGGTTAACGGAAAATATTCTACCGGGAATATGAGAGGAAATCCATACGCGGCTCGATTATTGCGAAAATAACCTCGCTGTGACGTCATCGAAGGGTTAAGTTGAACGCACCATATGCATAAGTATTGTTAGAAGAAAAAAAAAATGAGTAGATTTTGTGGGTTTAGAATACGTTTTTGAGGGAAGAGTTGATTAACAGTCAGATCTTAGATAATGTTTTGTACACAGAAGTGAAAAGACGACGACGCTTGAGGAATAACAATAGAGACATTCCGGTCTATCTTAATGCGTTATCTAAGTAGTTTCGACTAGATTTAAGGATTTAGTAGAAAGGCCGGAGTTGTTTATTTATTTTTTTCCTCCTCGATCTCTTCTTCGAGATTGTTGACTCGCCGGTATAAAAATACTGGTCAAACGACTAACTAGGTATACTTAAATGCCTGTGTAGAGTAAAGTCCGCTATCTATACCACTTCTGCGCATCGCGATCATCGAGAATCCACCGAAAAAAAATCGATCGTTTCGTACGTTCTAAAATAAACGAATAAATAAATAACTCGTGGGGATAAAAATCCGTCCGGCGTATTCCCAGAAAAGATGAACCAGAGAAACAAAAAAGGGTTGATGGAGTCCCACGAGAGTAAATGTGTCATCAATAAAGGATGGAGACCGAAATCCATGCGCTATATAAATCCCATGTGCTCGAGTGGTTTCCCGCGACAAGTGCATGGGAAACTCTATTAAAATAAGCCCCTTCCATTAATTTCCTCACACATTTAATATCCAATAACTCGATGTTGGTAATTGAATAAAAGTGGTTTCTATAAACAAAACGGAACAAGTGGCAACAATGCACGATCTGGGTAATCTTCTGTTTATTTCTTCTTCCAAAGTTTATTAAAATAATGGTGTTTAGAGTGAGTATAAGTTGAAATTTCACAATAATACTCTTTACTTTTTATTTATATGAGACTAAAGGAAGTTGTCTTTGTGGTGCATTAATATTTGTTTTGCACCAATAAGTGTCGTGGCTCAGAAAAATTGTGTATATAATGCGGAACGCCCTGTATATAAATATCGGAGGGAATTTATACGATGGGTAATAAGTATAAAATCAGCGTTGGTCTTTGTTTCGTGCGTTGCCTGAAAGGAGGCGGAAATGCGCGGTGAGAGACGGAACGTTTTGGTTTTGGAGTACCTGTTCCCACGTCGATTGGAGCCGAGTCTCTTCACTTTTATGTCTGTGTAACCGAACGCACGCAACGTACAAGTCTTTTTGTAACGTCTCGAATTTTGTCGAGAAATCGGGGAAATTGTGGAGAACGAGTCGACTTGGCAACGTTGCGAGATTCGAGAAACGGAAAGCTATAGAAAGTATTAAAGCGCTTTGAATGATTTATCGAATTCGAATTTTTCGTTAATTAAATAAATCGGAATTTTAATATAGAAAGCGCTCTAGATAACAAAAAATAAATCTCCGATATAGGTATATGTATATTAAGAGGGTATTACTTCTGGGAATCGAGTACTTTAAGCGCACATGTTTCGAGCATCTTTTTTTTTATTGTAACAAAAATCTCCGAACTAAAAAAAACACACACAAACAAAAATCCCCGAAAAGAATGGCGGTCTGATGAGAGATACACATGTTAATAAAAATCTGATGCAAGTGGCGAGCCCTCCGAAGAATTAAACGCGCCATGTGTAAACGGAAATATAATAGAAATAGATGGGGTAGTATGTATAAAAAAGCGCGAACAAAAGGTCAGTTAGACCTTTATTCAAAGTTCGGTTCGGAAATTTATACGACACGTCGGAGAGTTCAGGAGGCCCTTTCGATACATATGTTAGGGTTTACGTGAATTATGCGATTAGTAGGATACGATAAACGCAGGCCCGTAACGATGGAAATTATTATTACAGGGTAATATAGTGATATTTTAATACTCTCGAATGTACTATAAGGTAGATTGGGGTAAATCGGTTGTAAAATTTGAATAGTTCAAATTAAATCGTAAAATGTGGCTTTATTTTTTGCTTTTATTAGAAATGCTGATACTACATTAAATTCACAACTTCCTAAACTAAAGAATCGAGGTATTACAAAGTTTTTTTGAAAAAGGAAGAAAAAGATTTTACATATTTTTTAAAATGTTGACAATATGTTACATTTACGCCATGGTACGGGGTAAATATAAAACGGTTCTAAAGTGCAATAGAATTGTATAGAAAAACATATGGGGCAATTGCAAAAAAATATTTGGTTCTTCTAAAATTTGATATGCTGTTTATTTATTTATTTCAAAAAATAACAGAGCTACAAAATAATAAAGAAAAAATAAGAAACAAACCTTGTCTAATACACGAAAGAACTATAAAAATCATAAAAACATTAACATAATAGATAAAAATATTTCATTTACCCCATTTTTACATTTGCCCCAGTCTACCTTACAGGTTTTTATTTAAGATATATTACATGCACAAATAACATAGAAGTTTTTCTACTTTTTCTTGTGCTTTTTCTGTCTTTGTTAAACTAGTTCTTAGTTAAATTAATGATAGGTAAAAATAATGAACAAATAGCCTATTGGATTTAATGTTCTTACGCCACTGTGTTGATTTATATTCAAAATACGGACATTTGTTTAAAATAATGACAACATTGCACTTTGGGTTCATTTCTGAAGACTGTATAAGAGATACTAAAAAAAACTGATGCATTTATACAAAGAACGATTTTGATCTCTAATTTTTGCATCCATTTTCAATCGAGATATCTGCTCAACCAGTTGATTATACCTACTAAAATATAAACTGCTCCACAAAAGTTAAGGAAGTTCGCTAATTTTGCGATTATTTTAAAAGTTACACACTTTTTGGTCAGCAAATTTGCAAATATGCGAAATTAAATGTTTTTTCTCATATCTGAGTGGATTTTTCGCCCCTAGCTCTACAATTCATACTAAATTTGGTGATCAAAAAACCTGCAATTTTTAAATCAATCTCAATATTTGTGAACTTCCTTAACTTTTGTGGAGCAGTATACACCGTGCTTCATTTGCGATTGCAAGATGGGCATTTCTACGAGTTGAACAAAGTAAGATTATTAAAATAACAGTTGTCAGAGTGAAAAGCTTCAATGACACAAATGTTACTCTTTCTTTTTCCTTTACAAGTGTCTAATTGAAGTTGTCTTTGTTGCACCCATAGCCTATGTCGCAACTTGAAATGAAAAATAGAACAACCTGTAGATAGTACACCAAAACACGAAATAAAATGCGAGAAAAAAATTAGTATTTATTAATCAGACATTTCATCACAATCGCATATCCCACATTCACAAATAATATTTACCGAAAACGACGCCGACGAAACCGGTGATAACCGACAGGAAGAAATAGAACCAATGCACGTTGATCGGCGCCCGATCGACGTGCTCGAATCTACCCATTTTCCCCTTCAACAAGTCCTCCTCGTCCAACACCTCCATCATATCAGCCTGCACCCCGTGCTCGCGCTCCTTCTCCCCATCGCATCGCTCGGGCGTCGAACTCGCCGCCGGCTCGAACTCCCTCTGGGCCTGATCGACGTCGAAGCTGCACCGCAGCTTGGTGTCCATCAGATGCTCGGGTATGATGTCGCTCCAAATGCGATCGGCGTCGACGGCGCCCGGCGGCGCGTACGCGCTCTGCACGAGGAACTTGTGCTTGGTCCTGTCGCCGGCGTCGAACGTGTACGGTTGCAGGCACACCGACACGCAGACGCGCTCCATGGCGTCGAGGACGCCGGCGTTGGGTCTCACGCAGTACTTCTTGGGGGCGGTGGTTTTGATCTTGAACATCACCCGCTTGTCCGACGGATTGGTGAGGTTGATCAGCGACGAGATGGGCTCGTTGTAGCGGCCTTTGAACTTGAGCTCGGCGTCGGGTTCGATTTGGAGGATTTGCTCGAGTTTCGACGGCATTTGGATGTGTGTTGCTATCTGTCGATGTGATTCGGTTTGTTTTTTTTTATAACATGGTATGGAAAATCGAATACGATTTTTTTTGTGGGTTGTCTGTTTTCGTAAAGTGTCGTTGACGCGTTTGTCATCGTTTATTGACGTTTGATTGGTCGCGTTATACGCATCTAAACAGCTCATTGAATATACAGAATCGTGATAATATAAACGCTATGTATATTTCGCTAATATAGAAAAAAGTATTCTTAATCCGCGAGTGTGTGTGTGTGTATATTATAGCTATAATAGATTTTAAAATTAATTTGAATCTCTATATACGAGGTGGTTGGGGTCCATTTGTTTTGAATCACATTGCCTAATTAAAGCCGGCGAGTAATAAAAAAGCTCGTTTACATTTCTGTATATAAACACAAGCGATTAGCTGCCAAACAAAATAATAATTGACCCTTTCACGACGGGGATAAAAAAACGAAAGTGAACAACGACACAACACTCTTTTGATTACGACGATGAGTCGAAGGAAGGGTTCGAAAACAATGAGAGAGCGACTCGAAAAGGGTCCTGCGATACACAATCTTGGTGGGAACTGGCCTTTTACGCGGCAGCACTTTTATTCGTGCACGTGAGGGGGCGACAATCGGCCCGCAGAAATGCAAGATTTTCTACCAGTAGTTTCTGAAACCAAAGTGCTTCTAGGTATTCTTCAACAGGAACAATCTAGTGATGGCTTTCTAGAACCGTCCTGTAAAGACCTGACTTTAGAAAGATTGTTAGAAACCGCAGAAATACAAGATTTTTACCAGTAGTTTCTAAAACCAAAGTGCTTCTAGATATTCTTCAACAGGAACAATCTAGTGATAGCTTTCTAGAACCGTCCTGTAAAAACCTAACTTTAGAAAGATTCTTAGAAACCGCAGAAATACAAGATTTTTACCAGTAGTTTCTAAAACCAAAGTGCTTCTAGATATTCTTCAACAGGAACAATCTAGTGATAGCTTTCTAGAACCGTCCTGTAAAGACCTAACTTTAGAAAGGTTCTTAGAAACCGCAGAAATACAAGATTTTTACCAGTAGTTTCTAAAACCAAAGTGCTTCTAGATATTCTTCAACAGGAACAATCTAGTGAGCTTTCTAGAACCGTCCTGTAAAGACCTAACTTTAGAAAGATTGTTAGAAACCGCAGAAATACAAGATTTTCTATTAGTAGTTTCTAAAACCAAAGTGCTTCTAGATATTCTTGGAACAGGAACAAATCTAGTGATAGCTTTCTATAGAACCTTCCTGTAAAGACCTAACTTTACAAAGATTGTTAGAAACCCGTTGTTTGTGATATGCATTTCGAAATGCACTTAGCAGATAAGAAATTTTCCACTCTCTTAAAACGCCGAGACGTATAATTAATCCATATAGTACCATTAAAGTTGGGAGCGAAACAACGAAGAAAAAAAAAACTGGGTACATTAGCGATGAGACGGTGCCTTCTCTGATCCATCTTTCGCTCTTTCGACTAGCGGGCGGTTATTATTCGTAATGACTCATAACTTTTTGTGCGCTTTATTTCTCAATTCCGATCGCGGTTCGTTTTCGTTGCGCCACGAGAAAATACGGTTCACTTTCGAATCTTGAACTTTGCGATTCGATTATTTATTATGCGAAAAATATTTCGCATGTTATTACGAGAAGTTTGCGGAGCGGGAATTTGTTGTGGCCGATCGGCCGAAAGGAAACAGACCAGATATGTCAATTGTACAATATTTAAGAACGAATAGCATTGTTGAAAGAGGCCTTGAATTGATACTAAAGAGATACGTTTGCTTATTAGATAAAGGGCCATGTTATAAATGTAATTGTTAACAAACAGTTACTAGATTTTTCCATTATTCCCAATTTTACAATCCATTTCTACAATCTCCACATGATTTCTCTAAGATTTGGTAAAGTTTTTAAAGCCTTTAAAATTAATAAAAATATTTTCAACATCATTTTTTTTTTTTTGGTAAAGTGAGTCGAGTTATAGAGGATGTTCTCATGCGGACAGCCATCATATTTTTTTTATGCATTTTTGTTTGTAACTTAAGAAATTCCTTGTATACGATTACCGAACGAAATTCAATACCGACGTGCAAGCTAAACCTCGCGTTATTTTTGTTTTTGTTATGCTGATGTCGATCGATAAAATGCAAAATCGCGACGATTACGTCGCCTTATCTCGGATAAAAATTCTCCGAAGAGAAAAAATTTACACCCCCCCTACTCGGGAATCGGCGATTCAATGACATAGCTAAGTGTTTATAAAATGCACGAGGAATCGAGCAAAATGGCGCCTGTGCGAAGCGCCCATTAACTCGCATACGAACTTTGAACTCGCTTTTAACTCGGACAGACGAAGCTTTATTATTAAAACATCAATCTGGTGCACGCTAAGCCGAAGAAGGAATTTCGAATCTCTTAATATCGGAATTCTCTCGGTTGAGTTAAGAACACTCGAACGTGTACCAGTAATGGTACAGTTTTTACTAAAGTTAATTAAATAAGACGGCGCCGTTAAAATTCTTTTTTCTACCGTAATTTTAATCATTGATAATTTCTAACACCTCGTAACTCCGTATTAATTTGAAAATTGTGGTTTATTTGCGACCAAAAAATCCCGACAATTCCGCATCGTTATTGCGCTTAAAAAAATGTTATTGTTACACAACAGTAATTATTTCGGATGAATTAGTCGATCCAATAACAAAGCATATTCACGGTCGAGATTTTTTGATCGATAAAAATATACAGATACGGTAATATTCATCGCCCTATTTTCAATGCTGTATAGCCCGTTTGCCTACAATAGAGTTCATTATACATCACAAGGGTTAATTGGGGCATTTTATAAAATTTTAGTATGCATTCAAGTAGGGGTTTCGTGCATTTTCACATTATATAAATCAAAAATTAGCGACGTCTGTCGAAAAGTAATGACTGGAATACACAACATTAAAATGCAAAGTGTGTAAAATATACTGAAAGGGCCTCGTAGTATTGTAATATTTACGAGGATCGTCCAAGTGACTTCGACGAAGAATTGCGATGTTGCCACGGTGTAGTAATTAGGAAACGAAACACGTGTTTACGAAATTCCACGGCTAGCTGGACGGTTTTTATTTTATTCGGCTCGAAGATTTTTGCGTTCTACGAATTCTATGAACGTGTAATTTGATAGAAGAGAAGGTTAGGATTCGCAGGTAGATTTTCTGGCCAGGTATTGGCAGACTAACGATTTTCAAATTTACGATTCCCTATATTCGCCTATACAATAACTCATACATGCATAATATATTCAACTCTTTTTTTTTTTTGGGAATTTTTTGAGCCCGAATTTTCGAAGGCGAATGCCTTTTTTATGCAAAATAACTTGATTTAATGCGATGCAAATTTCAATGGAATTTCGCTACCACGTTAGTTAGGAATGTTTTAATTCGTGACCGCTTCCTCAAAAATGCACGAAGTTAATTTCCCAAAATATACCTAAGACCTGTTGATTGTATATAACAGACTTCTTCTACATATATCGCCGATTTTTAATAACGAACGCGCTCACAGTTCTCGGATTATCTTGAAGCAAAGCGAACCAACTCGGGCACCTGTTTGGAAGGGAAAAAATCCATTTCAACAGGTAGGTAGGATGCACGAAAATAAAAGCAAAACGTCGCCCGAGCGAGTCTCGAGAGAGTGTGGGTCGAAAAGAAGAGGAGTACAAGAGTAAAAAAAAAAGGATTATCTATTATCTCGCGTCGCTCGAGGCGCACCCTGTCTCTTACGCCGAGCTACAGGGCGGACCAATAAAATCCACCAGTTACTAGAAATAACATAGTAGTTCGAGATAAGTTATTGGCACAAATATATCGACTGGACCTCGTAGTAGTAAACGAGGACCTTGCAATAATTACTGGTACATTATTCGCTCTGTATAAAAGATAAGGAGGTATTTTTAATGTTGTAAGGTCCGTTATGGGCATCCGGCGAGGTACGCTCGAAAGAAAAAGAAAAGAAAAAGATCTCGAAGGAAAAAAATAAAATAAAATAAAACGAGAAGACGAACGACGACATTATAAATAAGACCCACACGTCTCGAAAACAATGGAACTAATGAGGCCTGCTCTCTCTCTATATATACACCGAGATTTCGATAAAAAGAGGTGGCTAGAAAAGGAATCGGCTAAAAAGCAAAACAATTTCGCATTATACCTTACATACAGGTCGTTCCGATAACGATCGTACGATTTGTTAACCGTCAAATGTAACGAATAATCATAGCGCGGTATCTTTTTCAACGACTCATTTCTAATACTATCGCTTTAAAAAAAGTATCGAGTACTTTTCGAACGCCACCTGTAAGATGCCAAATTTTCTATACATATAGCCTAGTTCAATCTAACTCGACGATGACGTCAACGACGCGCTTAAATGTCTTGCTATAAGTTAGTAATTTACCGGATTGTATGTATTCGAGAGAAAGAGAGTAATTTCGTTGATAACGCGTCCGGTTAATTGATTGCGCGCTACCGGGGTATTATCGACTGCATTTATCTGAAAGTCGAGACGCCGTTTTGGCGATTGCCAACCCGTCGGATGGGTTTATCTCGGCGTTTCGATCGTGATCGGTCCCGTCTGATTTTTTCGATAGATACCGGTACGGTTTAAGAGACAATTACCGCTGGTGGGCCCTCCGATAGTCTCTCTCTACGAGTGTAGTTGGCACGTTTAGAGGCTAATCGGAGAGCCAATTAGATAAAAGGCCACCCATCGATTGAGCTCCATTTCGATGCGAATCGATAAATAATAAATCTTTTTTATAATGCAGAGGTATTCGCGATTATATAGGGTATCTATTAGTTCGTATCTATCGGGAATCGTGTTTGCGTATCGGCTGGAAAAAATAAAAATTCGTGTATGCAGTAATGAATGAAGCCATTCATAAACTCAAGGTGAAATTTAATTTAACAAACTAACTAGAGCTGGTAATTCGCTAGTTATACCAGTGGTGTGGATTACTAAATTTGATTCTATCGAACAGATATTTCGATTTATAGAACGATGTAATATCGATGAATAGTTTCAATACAATTCACAATGTAATAAAGCGAATAAATACTGTATATTAGTATGATTAGATATGCAATTCGTAATTTACAAATCGCATTAAAGAAAAATATAATTTCTAATACGTTGTAAGTACAAATTAAACAGCTCTAAATCTATTTTAAATTGTTAATTAACAATCTAACTTCTATATAGTATATAATAGAGTGTTTATAGAGCATTTGTTGCACATCTGCTCCTCGAATATGGAATGTGTGTGAGCAACACATGGTTGGAAATTTCCTTCCCGGTTTTCAATGAGGGCAAGACCAAAAAAAAAACGTATGAGAACTTCCAGATTCCGACCGCTAAAAAATTTGAAATTCTTTACGCTTAGTTTATTGTCAATTTTGTAAATACCATATGCGTGTTAAAATTTATTAATACATTTTAGCACTATAAAAAATTTTACGGTTATTTTCTGGTCGATTAAATATATTTTCCTACAGGTTTAAAATCATTTAAATATTGCTCAAAATGAGTTTTGTATATAAAAAAAATTCATGAGGTAAAGGTCACAAGAGATCGAAGGATCGGTCATTAAATTAACATGAAGCTGTAGGTGTATCAAACATAATCATAAAAAAGCGATTATTTAATCCGAAAAATTTAAGAGGTTGCGACATTCGTTTAACGGATTCTAATATATTAAAAAATGCATGGCAACAATGCCGAACCTTAACCTCAAAAAACGGTCCTTCTAATTTTCAGCAAAATCGAAAGATATTAGATCGAAAATAACGAGTTTAACTTCGGATTATTTACTTCGCAAACGTGGGAAAGTGCATTAAATCGTACGTTTTTTTATCCCATTTGTGTACATGCGACACGAAGAAACAGAAACAGACGGACGAAACGCGAAACGCCTGAAAAACTGGTTGGGATGGGTAAAAGAAGAAAACAGGATGCAGATGGAACTTCGTTGTAATATTAAATGATCTTTTTTCCGTCATTAATTTAAGCATTAAGTGGCACGAACTCATGAATTTTAATATACACAACTCCGGGGCATTTTTAATTGTTTATATCATTTTATTCTAATTTATGCCCGGTGCGATTTCGATAAGGGATTCGAGACCAACTTTCACTCCCATTGTCAATTCTCATAACATTTACTATCTAATAAATTCCGTAATTACTCGAATTACTCCACCGATGAACGGAATTCATTTCCATTCACAACGAAAAAAAAATACTACTCGATCAAATCGTCGTGTTTTCATTATACCGTCCTCGCTTCTATTCTCTATCGAACGTTTAATTACTATCCTACGATTCGCTCCTAAAAAAAAGATTTATCAATCAAAATTCGAACGCGCCGAAGGGAAAAGAACAATGGCGCGTAAAAGTCAGGGACGGATCGAGAAAAAGAATTCCTCGCGCGTTAGAAACCGAATGGACAGCGGATGACGTGCCGAACCGGCGATTAAAGTCGGAAGAACCGTGCAATTAAAACGCACCTGAACTTTTCCTTTGTTGTGTGCATTTCGATCGTTTCGAATCCGAAAACGAATGCGTTTTTTTCGCATCAAAAATGATCGTACGCCAAGGTGACTAAACTAAGAGGTTGGATCGTCCCTTTAAAACGTCACTAAGAAGATTTGTGACGTAATTAGCATAACGGAATGATCCAACCAATGTTATTAAACTAAGAGGTTGGATCATATCCATTTAAAATGTCACTATAAAGGAGATTTGTGACGTAATTAGCATAGCAGCATGATCCAACCAAGGCTACTAAACTAAGAGGTTGGATCATATCCCTTTAAAACGTCACTAAGAAGATTTGTGACGTAATTAACATAACAGAATGATCCAACCAATGTTATTAAACTAAGAGGTTGGATCATATCCATTTAAAACGTCACTATAAAGAAGATTAGTGACGTAACTATCATAACAGGATGATCCAACCAAGGCTACTAAACTAAGAGGTTGGATCATATCCCTTTAAAACGTCACTACACTGTAAACTTAATATAATTTTCTTTTTTTTTTCAGTTGTACATCGAAATACGTAGGCGAGTACTGTCAATATCCGAATCCCTGTCATCCGTCGCAGCGGCCGCGCTGTCAAAATGGCGGCTCCTGTCAGGTGCGCGTGTCGGCGGGCGAGGCGCCGTCGTTCACGTGTTCGTGTCCGCTCGGCTTCAGCGCCTCCTTGTGCGAAATCAAAATAGCCAATTCGTGCGATCAGAAACCGTGCCTGAACGGCGGCACCTGCTCCTTGCGATCCTTGGAGTCCTATCAGTGTTCCTGCGCTCCCGGATATACTGGTGAGTGGTCTTTTTTTGTTACTGCTGTAAACGTTGTAGGTACTTATTATACTGTGTAAACGTTGGCTGATTTTGTTTTTTATTTCGGGGGTTTCAATTAAAGTTTCGGTGTAAACGTTGGCTGATTTTTTTTTATTTTCGGGGATTTGAATTGAAGTTTCGGTGTAAACGTTGTACTTATTACTGTGTAAACTTTGGCTGATTTTTTGTTTGAATTTCGTGGATTTTAATTGAAGTTTCGGTGTAAACGTTGGCTAATTTTTTTTAATTTCGTGGATTTTAATTGAAGTTTAGGTCTAAACGTTGTACTTATTACTGTGTAAACTTTGGCTGATTTTTTGTTTGAATTTCGTGGATTTGAATTGAAATTTCGGTGTAAACGTTGGCTGATTTTTTTATTTTTTTTATTTTCGGGAATTTCGAATCGAAATTTCGGTGTAAACGTTGGCTGATTTTTTTATTTTCGGGAATTTCGAATCGAAATTTCGGTGTAAACGTTGTACTTATTGTACTGTGTAAACGTTGGCTGATTTTTTTTTAATTTCGTGGATTTTAATTGAAGTTTCGGTGTAAACGTTGGCTGATTTTTTTTTGAATTTCGTGGATTTGAATTGAAGTTTTGGTGTAAACGTTGGCCGATTTTTGTTGTTAGGACACGGATAGCGGGGATACCTATATCGTGTAAACGTAGCCGCGGTTTTATCGTTTCGGATAAATCTCTACGACCCGCGTTTCTAAACAATAATTTTCGGTTAATACCGCATATTGGTTAAGATAAACGATCTGAAAAGTGAAGCAGCACAACCTAAACTGCTATTGTCATCTGAAGATGTTTATCTTTCGGTTGTACGATAAATTATCGAAGAATTTCATGTTCACGAACTAATAGGAATACCGCAGTTGGTGCCGGAAGGTAAATATTTTCAATCGATGCATTGTTGGTACTAATAAAATTTTGTCGATCGTCCTGTATATAAATCAAAATTTTTCATTTACGACGTATTCAATGTACACTTCTTTATTTAAGAATATCGTTCGCAAGTACCGTTATTATGTCGCATTTATTGGATAATTGGGTTGATTATTCGGAATGTCAACGATTCGACCTCGAGGTTCATCAGCCAACTTTTATATATTCGAATATCCATTCCCCGCTTGTCGTTCTCGATAATTCGCGAGAATCGATTTCAGATTGACAATAATCGATTCAATCAGGAGTGCTAGTTGGGGTTAAATATGAGCCAATTTCTTCTATAAATTACTAAATATCCAAACTAACTACAGTTGAAACGAAGTAATTTAAATGAGCGATTTTCTTATACAGGGGAGCATTGCGAGAAACAGGATCATTGCGCTTCGCAGCCCTGCCGCAACGGCGCCACCTGCGTCTCCGTCGGGGATTCCTACAAGTGCACGTGCGCCCCTGGTTTTACAGGGGCGTCGTGCAACGTCGATAAGGACGAGTGCAAGCACAAACCGTGCAGGCACGGCGTCTGTCACAACACCCACGGAAGTTACACGTAAGTTTAAGAATTTTCGGATTTTTTTTACATATATTTTATTTTTGGTTCGATTTTGTATGGAAAAATAATGATGTTTTGCTATAGAGGGTGAGTCGTGAGGAATCGTACATAGTTTAACAGTGTATAGAGGCACTTAAGGTGAATATCATACGACCATTAAAAGTTCCATTCGCCTCTTCTTTTAAGGAGATACAGGGTGATTTATGAATTTTGACGAAATTTTGTTTTGTTTATATCTTTATGGTGGTTGTTTCGATTTGGTTGATTTTTTGGTAAAAGTATACATTTTGAACCGGCACTGGCATATTCAAAATTAAAAAATTTCAGGACCGTCTTCAAAAAAAAAAGAGGTAAATATTTCCAAACTTAATATTTCACCTTGTATACACTTTTTCTAAATTTTCATTTGGTTAATGTAGAAGGTATAAGTAACTCATAAAGCCTGAGCATCGGAAATTTTTGTCACACTTTGTTTAATTTGTCAATTATCAATTAACTTTTAGGAAAAGTTACACATTTAGGATAACCGAATAATTTACATTAAAATAACATTTTCTATCGTACAAATTTTAATGAAAATTAATAAAAACGATTAATTACATATTCCTTTCTATGAAAAAGTCCTAAAATTACAAAAAAAAATCTTAAAATTACCTCATTACAAAAATATTCAACGCGCATGATAATAACTGTTCAAAAACTACATTTTAAATATGTACGATTCCTCACGACTCACCCTGTATAAACATATGTTCGCAAATGCTTCGTTTTCGAGATACGGGGTGTTTATTAACCCCCTGAATTTTGTCGAACACTTATTAATTAACACCCTGTATAGGTACCAGTAATATCCCACTTTAAACTTATCAAACGACCCTCGTACAATAAAATAACTTCTAATAGTCCATTCGCTTCGAACATTTCATTTCTTATAGTCCGGTAATTGTTAAATAATTACGCAGTGTTGGTTTAAGAAAAAATCCTTTTTTATACTTACGTCGGTACATTATTCAGGATTCCCTTGTATATAATAAATCGTACGATTTGAATGTTACCTATGCGAGTAGAACACGGTGAAATGAGAAGATATAAAAACTAACGGCACGGTTACATACCTTTTGTACATTCGACTACATAGAACTTGTCATATTCCTAATGAGTGTTATTTTTCTCGAAAGTATGGCACGGTATTGTAGAAATGGTAAGAGAAAAACCGAGACGCAACAAAACGATTCTCGGTTTAAATAGTCCGTGGGCGATGCGAAATCTGTATCTTGTATATCTTTAAATATCATCAAACATAGGATGCACAAGATGCGAGGAGACCTCTATTAAAATCAAATATAAATTTAACGATATTCCCGCTAAAAGATTTACCGTCGTTACATTGAAGATTCGCGATTTTGTAATAAAGTCCACGTACTATATAATATAAAACGTTGGGTCGGTTTTGAAACGCTATAGAGACACGAAGAGACCATTATAAATTATCCGTTTGGTGCTTTGGTAAGACGGTGAAGCGCTCTGGGGCATTCCACGAGGTTCGACTTAGATTGTTAGTTTGTGAGTCAGTGGGCGTTTTATATCTTTTTACGATTCCGACTGGCCTGTAGCTGTATAATCGCTCGGTATAAATAACTATAAATACACGTTTCGCGCAAGGGGGAATTTTCTCGGCGTCGCCTCGTTTCGGTTTTCGCCTTCCGGTCTATAAGAAGTTTTACGAAAGAGAGGGGGAGAAAAAAAAGGGAAAGTTTGGTGATAAATTGGAGCAGATTTGGTGTAAACGTTTTTTTTTTGTGCGTTTTACGGGTTTGAATGTACCGTGTAAACGTTGTCTTTTGTGGTTAAAAAAAAATCGTACAATTTTCGCGTTTACCGTCTTTTTCTTACGTTCGTATAAAGTCGTACGTAAAGCGACTTTACGTTAACGAAAGGTCATCTCTCTTCTCGTTCGTATTTTGTGCAAACAGACACACCTCGTTTCGAAAATACCATTTCTTTTATCGCTTCAATTGTATAATTTCTGTGTACATATACGAGGCTGTTCAAAATTACCTTCTGCATTTTCTAGGATTTATTTTTTTGGTTACAGAGTGTCTCAATTTCAATAAGTTAAAGCTTATTTTGAGTACCTACTATTGCTAAAAAAACAACTGTTCGTTTAACGAATTAATTATTGGACGATCCTCGTATCTAAAAATTGCTTATAGTCAGTTCACATCGGTAATAATTAGCAATTTTAAGTAAAAAAAGAAAGCCTTCTAGTTAACCTTTATGTTATAATAAATATGAATTTCCGTCTCCACTTTTAATATTTTCATTAAACTACTACTCTCTTGATATCTTGTAAACAACTAAATAATACACACTTTGTATAGTATAAACCATATAATAAATAATTATCAGAAAACCTTAACGTGTGATCGAGTAAAAATGATTAACGGTGATTAAACGAACAAATGAACGCGTTAATTGGACGTCGAGTAAGAGATTTACGTTATTAAATCCTGTTTCTCTGAATAACCGCGCGGATTATTTTACAAATAATTAGCGACTGTAACAAGTTGTAACACTTCGTCTTCTTCGTTTTTTTTTTATCTGTTCTTGCGTTTCATCTCGTTTTCGAAATGAATTTACGTCCCGAGTTGGAACTGGTTCTATCACGTTCGCGGAAACCTATCGGATCGCCTATTTAACGCGCGTATTTGGTTCGAATTATCATTCGATTTAGGTTTAATCGTAACGATTAAATCTTCTTGTTCTATTCTTAATCTGGCTTTCCATTCCGGGGTGAATTCTCGACCGCCGGGTATAAGTACTTTGTTATTTTTTTTTTCTTCTTCGATTAACTAGATATCCCATTTGCTAATCTCTAATTAGTTCCCTCTGTACGAACAATAGAACGAGTTATTCTTTAATTACGTCGGTAATTATCGCCGTCATAATTAATTAATAAAAGGCGACTTTTTTCCCATGGATTTCTTTTATTTAATTAGAAATCGTGTTTTTCGAGCTGTTTTTAGTTTTGAGAATTTTCTTGAAGCGCTGCGTACAGAAAAATTTCGTTTATTACAACACTAAACGAAACTCGTTTTGTAGAAAACGGGAATTGTTATAAAGCGTATAATATGGCGGTATAAATTTAAAAAAAAAGGTCACAAAGAGGTTAATTTTACAGTTATTTTCTAGTAAAACAAGTGTAACTCCTTCCGAGAATTTTTTTTTATAAATATCTACCACTTTTCAACTTATCAAACGACCCTCGTACAATAAAACGACTTATTAGAAATGTCTAGCACAATTTAGAACCGCCCAGAATCATTTAGATTGCCTCAGGACGAATCAGAATTGTCGAGAACCATTTAGAACTCTCCGGAACGAGTTAAAACCGTCCAGAATCATTTAGAACGCTCTAGAATCATTTAAAAAACTAAAATTCGAAAGATTAAAAAAAATACGCTGTGCAATTTGTACGTTTAAGTGTTCGTTTAAAAGAAAATCTTCATATGTGGCCGATCGATTGATAGATTTTTATAGAACAAAAGTAATTCGCGTTGCGACACATTACCGCCTTTATAAGGTTTTTCCAATGGAATTCCTTCTGTTATGGACAAATCGAATGGGCCTGCATATACATAAAACCCGTACCGATGAATATTCACTTTTAAGGCAAATCCGAATCGCGTTTTCTCTTCTCGAAACGATTCGAATCGAATCCGATAGAGAAAAAAAAATCACCCGAGCAGATATAGGTGTACAAGGATCGTTTAATTGATGTTAATAGATTAATTACAAGTATAAATTAGTACTGAATAATGCCGAATAAAAGTTAATAGTATAGAGGCGGGAGTTGGATTAGTAACAGTTACATCAAACGGGGGATTTTAATGGGAAAATCGTACGCCATTGATGACAATATTATAGCCGGGGAGTTTTTTTTTTGCGTATTCCATTTCCTCTGCTCACGTCTCGCGTGCAGCTAATAGCCGATGGTCCGGCGTATACAATGTTGTATCTCACCGGCCATTATTCTTTATTTCTTATAGGAAGGTTTATTACGAAATTACCTTCAGCTATGCGCGGTAATAACTTCGTAAATAACGAAACCGCAACGATGAGTTCGAATTAGAATCGTTCATTATTTAATGTTAAACTTCGCTCAAACACCGGTCGATTACTGCACTTTTTCTACGAACGCTGTGATTCCCAGTTCTGCAAATATTCTAAGCAAATATTCTAAATATTTTCCCGGGTAAACAGTTATTTTACTATTATTAATTGACCGGATACTACCCAAATTGTTAAATAACAAGCAAAACTACATAGTATCAAATAGGTAGTATCCGATCAATTAGTAGTAGTAAAATTACTGTTAACTCAAAAAAAAAACTAAAATTGTGTAGAATATTTGTTGTGGTCCAATTCATATGCGACTGGGCTCGTATATCGCGAACTAATGCTAAATAAATTTAATTTGTGATAATAAACTAAACAGTTAATTTTCTAATGAACGGCCAATCGGAGATAATAAACAAGTAAACATACTTTCTAACTACTTAAAACAATTCGAGATCGGCGTAAGTAAATAAAGCTCGTAGAGCGGAGTCGTCGGAGTAATTGCCCATAAATAATCAATTTTATTACTTCTACGGCGAAGATAACTTTATGAAAGTCGCATTGATTCGTTTACGTGCGACCAAACTAATAATTCAAAAACGGATGTTCCTAAAAACATCCTAATCGATTCAAATAAATTATTATCTCCAGTCAAAAATGCAATTCTATTCGTTAATTTAGTGGATCAACGTGGCATCTTGGTTGAATTAAAATCTAATATACAAAAAGAGCCAAATAAATTACTTATAAGTTTGTTTTACCAATCCTAAAACGCTTAAAAATTGCATGTATACAGGGAGAGCCAAAAAAATGCACTCGACGATATTCGCAAATATGTTGTTATACTAATTAATTCGTCCGTTCTATCGGTATTAATTACGTTAACAACGTTAAATAACGTATCGGTCGTGTCTTCCTCGTAAACCGCGACAAGTAGGTAGTACCCGCGGCGGCAGTACTTTTTATTTTATATTCGCCGGTAACATTTCGTTCCTCTTTTACTTACTGCCTATTGAATTGATCCCATCTCGACCGAGTCTCGGGTATTCAAATACCCGCGTGTTCTCCAATCGCTATCGGGGCCCCGTTTTCATCCGGCGATTTCCTGATTTTTCGTTTTTTTTTTTTTTCTTCGAGTCGAATCTCCAATAAATTTTCGTTTGTGCGAATTATATCGAAATTTCGCAAAATCGTCGTGGAGTTTTCGGATCGACCATATGGCAGCGAAGAAGGCCTTGGATATCATTCTTCTGCTTCTCTTTGATGCGATTTTTTTCCCTTCGATCGAACGTCGATTCGAAATGGACGTTTTTATCGCCCGCCGTCATTGGAATAGGTTTTTTTCCTGATCCTTTTTAGGTAAATTCTCAGACAATAGACGCATAAATACCGCTATATAGAGCTCGGAATCGAGATTCCTCTTCTTTATTTTTTTTTTCTATACCGACTGACCGGAGTAAATAACGCTGCTGGGTGTCATCGTTTAATTATTTTTTTTCTTTCTTATCGCTTCATACCAACAGCAATTTGTCGAGCAATTGAATTAATTTTACTCTAATTTTACGACGTTGAGGCGTTTAAGGTGCGCGCGATGGTACTTAGTACTTGCACTTTTGGTACAGTCGTTTCTTTAATTGTTACACATTTTAATTAACTTACACGTTACACAATTCAACGGTAAGTAATTGCAATTGTGGTAAAACAACAAGAGCCTTAGGCAAGGACGTTTCTGTATAGCAAATATTAAATGCACCGGTTGCAAATTGAAATAGAAAAATTCGTTTCATCAACGCTACTCGTTTGAATAAACTTTTATCGATTCTTTCCGTGCAACAATAGGTATTCTTTCGTTTATTTTCGAGGTAAATTCGTGAGATTTAAGGTAATAAGTCGAGAGTAAAACGAAGCCGGATCTCCTTAAGACGGATCTACATATCACAGTTTCATTATCAAACAAAACGAGGCATAAATAACGCTTAATGAATATACAAGACATTTGAATATTAAACGGGATATTTTTCTGCACATTCGAATCGGGTTTACGCTCAATTACGATATAGCCAATTTGTTTGCGAAGAATGGAAATTGTTATTTATCATTACGTAAAGGTAACTGGAAGGTCTCTCTTTTATACAAATAAAAAAATGGCTAATTATACAAGTCTCCTAGATTATTTACAGTGAATGGATTATAAGTAATTTTTTGTTACATACGAGGATCGCGCAATAAGTCGTTATACATTATTATAGTCGAGGCGATTGCGTGGAAATTTCCGATAAACTACAAGCATTATAGTCCGGAGGATCGTGTTGAACTTTTGGTTTTTCTTCCAGATGCACCTGCTCGGAGGGATTCACCGGCAGGAATTGCGAGAACGAATACATCCCCTGCGAGCCCAGTCCTTGCCAGAACGGCGGGGTGTGCAGGCGAAGGGACAAGCACACTTACACCTGCGACTGTCCATCGGGTAAGTAATTTATTTTTTATTAATTAATTTCGATAATCCTCCTGATGTAGCGTTTTGGGAAACCGGTCGAATTTACATCGTCCTACAGCGTAGGCGGATTTTAATGCCACTAAATTCGTCGTAAAAGATGATTTTTTTTTACACGAGCTCTCGCGTAGAGAAATTAATTTACTCGCCGAGGTTAAGGGTCCGCGGGCTCCGACCTTTCTTCTCCGTGGATTTTAAGGTGGAGTCGATTGTATTGTATGCAAATGCGCCGGTACTGCCCTAAAACGAATCGGCTCGAGTACCCCGCTCGGAAAAATTCGAAAAATAATACCCCGTTCGCGATGCTTTAGAATATAAACGAATCAATTCGACGCGTTTGTATATACAGAGTGGACCAAAGACGAGAGCCGGTAATTCCGCTCGATTTGCCTCTATGAATAATTTATACATATAAACGTTCGTTCGAAATGACAATGACAATTACAATTACATTTACGATTTTCTCCGTAACGACGTGTTCACATGCTCGAAAAGGAGAAAAAAAAATGCCTTTGGGACAAAAACTAGTCGAGAAGGTGTGTCTGTTACAAAATAAAAGTGTCGACGAGTATTGGTTTATGATAATCGATTAAAAGAGGCTACTCGACGACGATTAAAAACATTTCTAATTAACATAAATAAATATATCGAGATGAGCGTGAAACGGGATACTATTCCGACCTTTCTATCTACTATCTTTTCTGGTTAAAAAAAATCGTATTGTTTGCTTTGATGTGTAGAGAATGTTATTTGTTTGAATGAACTATAAAGTGTTATAGTCGGGGTGTTTATGTGAATATTTTGATGGTTTTAAGAAGAACTCTACCCTACTTAACAATTAAAAGTGTTTAATTAGTTTTGAGTGGGCTACTCGGAGTAATCCCGGCGAAATTTTCGAGTTTAAATTCGGCAATTTTTGTAGCTTGGGTGGTCGAAGACAAAAAAATCTTCTTCGCTGGTTCTTCGGAACCGGCGGGTGGTTAAAAATGCGTCGAGACGTCTCCGATTCACCTCCGCGCTGTATCGAATTAAAAATTCATGTATGCGTCGATTTAATTCCCTTTGTACCGTTACATATAAATCGCGGTGAAATTCTTATCGTCCGATCTCGATCCGTTGTTAATGAGACGAAAAATTAAAATTTTAAAATAAAACAAACAGATTTTCACCGGTGGGACGTCGGTGCGTATATTTTACGAAAAAAAACAAAACGGGTTTTTTTGATGGTATTTATTATATTTTTCGAGATGTCCCGTCGTCTAATATATTGAGGATTACCATATTCATGGAGACTGTGAATATCTTCTTGTCAGCCGTTCGAATATCGTACGATTAAATTAATTTATACGTACCTACCCAGTACTCGAGAAGGATTTAAATCGAACCGAATGAATATTCATCGTTAAGTTTAACCGTTAATCCAACGAGTCAATCTCGCACTAAAACAAGCGCCCTTACTAATAGGTGAGCTCCATTTTTTTCATATAGTCCGGGAACTTGCATCACAACGAAGAAACGCATTGCGTTGCATTTGTAATAAATAAAATCGGATAAATCCCACGTGAATTGTTTGTTGGTAACGAAACAAAATAAAAATAGGTCAATTCGGGTTTTATACAAACATCCAATTAAACCGTCAAAACCACCGTGCGCTTCCTGTTAGAGTTAGAGGCTTCGCATAATAAAAAAAAAATAAACCGAATCGATGCATGTCCGTTTATTAGGACTTCAGAAACGCTCCGGCGCTCTCTCTCTCTATCTCGTTCTCTTTCTCTATCTCTTGCTCGGTAGTACTTCGGCGTACTCGCGGTTCTAGTTCCACCTCAAGTCGGTTTCCTCGAGCACACGTTCCCACGGTGCGCTATCTCCTTAGCCCACGCGTCCTTGTTTTTCTTTATCGCTTTTCTGCTCCGCATATTATACGTGAAATCTGCGGTCGATCCGCTTCCGGTACCGCCGGATATGCATCGAATATATTCGAATATTCGCCGATTTCGGCACCTTATCGCCCCGACTAATTTTCGCCGAATGTTCACAATTTCGTTCTATTGTCAATTGTCTTATTGTCATCCATCTTTATCTTATCTGTCTTTCATCTGACTTAATGTCAACTGTCTCTTTTACTGTCTTTCTTTCTCTCGTCTGTCTTATTGTGATCTGTCTTTCTCTCATTTGTCTTATTGTCATCTATCTTTAACTTATCTTCCTTAATGCTATCTGTCTTTTTATCATCTGTTTTATTGCCATCTATCTTTCTTTCATCAGTCTCCATGCCATCTGTCTTTCTTACTGTCATTCTTATTGTCATCTCTCTTTCTCTCGTCTGTCTTATTGTCATCTATCTTTATCTTATCTGTCTTTCATCTGTCTTAGTGTCATCTATCTTTCTTTCATCTGTCTCCATGCCAACTGTCTCTTTTACTGTCTTTCTTTCTGTCACCTTTCTTTCTCTCGTCTGTCTTCTTGTCATCTGTCTTTCTCTCATTTGTCTTATTGTCATCTATCTTTATCTTATCTGCCTTAATGCTATCTGTCTTTTTCTCATCTGTCTTATTGCCATCTATCTTTCTTTCATCTGCCTCCATGCCATATGTCTTTCTTACTGTCATTCTTATAGTGATCTTTCTTTCTCTCGTCTGCCTTATTGTCATCTGTCTTTCTTACTGTCATTCTTATTATCATCTCTCCTTCTCTCGTCTGTCTTATTGTCATCAGTCTTACTCTTACGACTGTCAAATATCAAATGGTTTCCTATACTTCTATGAATTCAATCGGTAGTGTTTTTTTTTATCGAGTGCGTGACTGATTATTATCCAATAAAAAAAAAGGTAGAAATTCAATTGATGTCGGTGGAATATTGTGTGAAAATGGAGTGATGATGGGACCGGTTATCTATAGGTATCTAATAGCGGCAGCCGAGCATTGTAATTTCGTAACGTCGGATTTTTGGCTGAACAGTCCGGTGCGTTAGAGGCCGGCGCTTTGGAATGATAGTAATTATCGAAATCGATGGAATCGGTTGGAAAAAAAGCATGCTTGTTATTATCGCGCCGGGCGCAAACGAAGCGTGTAAACGTTGTAAATAAATAATTGTGATACGAGCGCCCTGACTAATGGCGATTTATGATTTATTTAAAAAAAAAATCGCGCAAGTTCCCGCACTAACGCGTTAGTTGGGGCGCTTAGATCGACATTTTTTTCCGTCTCTTACCGAAGGTGGGTAATGGCGATTTATGATTCTCGTAAAAATTATTAATGTGAATCGCATTCGAAATTTATACGGGGGACGTGACGAGTACCGACTTTTTATAGGACTTTTAGTCGAGCGCAGAAGGAATGTCGCATCGATAAAAATGCGTTTGTTAGGCCATATAGCGATAGAATTATTTATCGTCGTGATAAATTCTATCGCATATTTCGATATGAAGAAAGGGACGTTTTCTTTTTCGAATTTGCATAATAATTATCGAAGAACACGCGATGGGATTCTCTTTTTTTAAATTAGCCGAAATTACGTTATCGACAATGCAATATTAGAAAATTGTTGGGGTTTCGGGCCGGTTAGAACAGTTTCCCACATTCTATTGTTTGTTCTGCATTACTCGGAACATAATTAATCATCATCATTATTATCATAACAGGGTTTATGTTTATAGTAAGTTTATAATATACCGTGGGATGCAATAATTTTTATTACACCAGCGCTTGCGTAAAAAAGATTTCTAAACGAGTCTAATTCCCCCTTTAGCATAAAGCTATCCACACACGCGTTAATACTAAAGTAACCTTTATAAGTTTAAAATGTCGGCGTCAAATAACAGTACAATAACGCACAAGTAAGGCCGTTTTCGGACATTTTCTCACAGTACCACGGAACGTAGTGAAGGCGATACTTTACCATTTTAACTTCCATTGAAAGCTGTTTTTTTAGGGTATCTTTCGGTACCCGTTAGTCTCGTACCGCCGGTACTAAACGGATGGGCGGTTTGGCGAAATAAAAAAACCGTGCATGCGATCCGCCGACGACATTTCTGTCCTAAGGCCGTCCCGACTTCGAGATCGAAAAAAAGGGTTATCTCGAACTCGCCCTACAGCCAGGCGATCTTGTGAGAACTCGATTTCGGGCGATAATGATTGTTGAAAGAAAAAAAAACGCAAATTAATTAGCCGAAGCTGCCGGACTAATGCGACAAATTTTCGACGCGTTAGTGCGGGCGATTCGATTGAAAGTTCAAATCGAAAAATCCTCTCCGTGCACGTAATAATAACCCGGTATTTCGTGAATAACCTAAACGGTTAAGTACCGACGTATTTGGATTACGTAACGTAATCGATATCTTTGTGCGCTTACACGAATTGATTTTTTTCCCCCCCGCACACAATTCCGATCTCGTTGCATCGCACAATAATCGTATTTATGTACAAGTAATAACGGAAGAATCGTTTTCTTGTAGAAACGTTATTGAGATGTATGTTCAAGGAGCGCCTGTTATCGTGTCGTCCGTATGTAAAACCCGCCGAGTACCGGTCATATTGTAAACGTCATATAGGACAAACGGCGGAGCGCAAGCGGAAATCTCTGCTTTACGATGCGCTCGGGACGATTTAGCGTCGCACCGGCGGAGATTTGTTGAGGAAATTGTACTCTGCCCGTTTCGTGATATCGATTCTTTTCGATTCTCCGCGTCCGTTACGGAATTTTATTAGATATTCGTCCGAATCGCCCCTACTATAATTTGCCGCGTTAGTCAGGGGGATTGTCGCAAAAGATACAATCGCGGGATTTCCAAGGAAGAATTTCAACTAATTGTAGATATATACGTCCGATTCGCCCCTACTATAATTTGCCGCGTTAGTCAGGGGGATTGTCGCGAAAAAAATCCAGTTGCAGGATTTCCAAGGAAGAATTTCAATTAATTGTGGATACATACGACCGAATCGTCCCTACTATAATTTGCCGCGTTAGTCAGGGGGATTGTCGCAAAAAATCCAGTTGCAGGATTTTTAAGGAAGAATTTCGACTAATTGTAGATACGTCCGAATCGCCCATACTATAATTTGCCGCGTTAGTCAGGGGGATTTTCGCGAAAAAATACAATTGCAGGATTTTCAAGGAAGAATTTCAACTAATTGTAGATACATACGTCCGATTCGCCCTACTATAATTTGCCGCGTTAGTCAGGGGGATTGTCTTGAAAAAAAATACAAATGCATGATTTCCAAGGAAAAATTTCAACTAATTGTAGATGCGTCCGAATCGCCCCTACTATAATTTACCGCGTTAGTCGGGAGGATTGTCGCGAAAAAAATACAATTGCAGGATTTCCAAGAAAGAATTTCAATTAATTGTAGATACGTCCGAATCGCCCCTACTATAATTTACCGCGTTAGTCAGGGGGATTGTCGCCAAAAAAAAAATCGAATTGCTCAAATTTTCATCGGGGAAGAATTTACAAAAAAAAATAATACCGAATTCGTTCGCAGGCTTCCAAGGGACGAACTGCGAGGACAACATCGACGATTGCCCGGGCCACAAGTGCCAGAACGGCGGCGTTTGCGTCGACGGCGTCAATTCGTACGCGTGCAAATGTCCGGCGACGTACGCGGGGGCGCATTGCGAACGCGACGTCGACGAGTGCTCGACGCGACCGTCGGTGTGCCAAAACGGCGCCACTTGCACCAACAGCATCGGCGGGTTTTCCTGCATCTGCGTCAACGGTTGGACGGGACCCGATTGTTCCGTCAACATCGACGATTGCGCCGGCGCCGCTTGCTTCAACGGCGCCACCTGCATCGATAGGGTCGGCAGTTTTTATTGTCAATGTACGCCAGGAAAAACCGGTGAGTATTTTTTTTTTTTTTTAGCCGAATCTCCCCGACTAAATTACGCTCGTTAGTCTGGGGGATTGTTTACTAATTTTTTGTGTAAAGAGCGTTTTTTTAGCCGAATCTCCCCGACTAAATTACGCTCATTAGTTGTGGTGGATTGTTTATTTACTAATTTTTTGTATAAAGAGCGTTTTTTTAACCGAATCACCCCGACTAAATTACGCCTATTAGTCTGGTGGATTGTTTACTAATTTTTTGTATAAAGAGCGTTTTTTTTAGCCGAATCTACCCGACTAACTAACGCCTATTAGTCTGGGGGATTGTTTTCAAATTTTTTATATAGTATTTTAACCGAATCTCCCCGACTAAATTTCGCTTGTTAGTCTGGTGGATTGTTTACTATTTTTTTGTATAAAGAGCTTTTTTAGCCGAATCTCCCCGACTAAATAACCCCTATTAGTCTGGGCGATTGTTTACTATTTTTTTTGTATAAAGAGCGTTTTTTTAACCGAATCTACCCAACTAAATTACGCCTATTAGTCTGGTGGATTGTTTACTAATTTTTTGTATAAAGAGCGCTTTTTTTACCGAATCACCCTGACTAAATTACGCCTATTAGTGTGGTGGATTGTTTACTCATTTTTATTGTATAAAGCGCGTTTTTATTTGTATGTACGAAATATTTCCTATTAATCGCGGATTGAATAGGTTCCATGGACGTTAGCCGGTGACTAATGACTTTTCCTCGTATCGAAGCGCATTGGATTAATTGTAATGGAATGACTGGTCGAAAACCTTGTTACTCAATAGCGTCTCGTTTGTCGGATCAAAGAGCTCATTGGTTAATTTTGGTTTTTTATTTCGGTCTACCTCCTCCCCCACCACGCGCCCAGCTGCCGGTAAATCGAGCTTTTGTACCGGGCTCCGTTGTTTGTTTGATTTTTTTTCCATTCGACGCGAATTCATTCCGCCGACCGGCCGAGTTCGGTAAACTCTCATTACGCTCTTGTATTTTACCATATGACACCGCGCACCGGCCGCGCCTTCGCCCGGATACCAATCGCGTTAGAAGGTGATGAATGATGATGAATTTTTCGAAAAATTGTAAAATAAATTTCGAACACGATCTACCAAGAAGTCTACGCCTCTATTGTATGCCAATGTGTCTGTCATGAGGTACAAATGGTTCTAAAATAAAGTTGGTACCAATGCCTCTATATGAACTACTAAAGCATCCATTACAGAGTACCAAAGACTCTTTTAGTAGTATCAATTACAGAACTTTTTACCAATGATTCTATTTGATATAAGGTACAAATGATTCTATTACAAACAACCAATGCCTCTATTACAAAGGACCAAAGCCTCTTTCATAAATTACCAACTACAAAACTTCTACTTTTGCTTCTACCAACTACAAAAATTCTGCCGATGCTTCTACCAACTACAAAACTTCTACCGTTGCTTCTATCAACTACAAAACTTCTACTTTTGCTTCTACCAACTACAAAACTTCTACCGATGCTTCTACCAACTACAAAACTTCTACCGTTGCTTCTATCAACTACAAAACTTCTACTTTTGCTTCTACCAACTACAAAACTTCTACCGATGCTTCTACCAACTACAAAACTTCTACCGTTGCTTCTATCAACTACAAAACTTCTACTTTTGCTTCTACCAACTACAAAACTTCTACCGATGCTTCTACCAACTACAAAACTTCTACCGTTGCTTCTACCAATGCTTCTACCAACTACCAATGCCTCTATTACAAAGGACCAAAGTTTTTTTTATAAACCACCAACTACAAAAGAGATTTTAGTAGATCAAATTTTTTTCGATGAATAATTTGCAGGACTTTTGTGCCATTTGGACGACGCTTGTACGAGCAATCCCTGTCACGCGGACGCCATTTGTGATACCAGTCCCATAAACGGTTCGTACACATGTAGCTGCGCTTCGGGATACAAAGGAATCGATTGTTCCGAGGACATCGACGAATGCGAACAGGGTGAGTTAAAAAATTAATCTCTAATTTAAAATCGTACTATTCATGTATCGCTCTGTATATATAAGTGGACGCGAAACGTCACGATCTGTTCTCGTGATTGTTCGTTTCTCTCGTTCCGATTCTGACGTTTGTGTATCTGCATTCCGCCTACTCATCGTACACGTCTGTGGATTGTTCTATACACGAAAACAGCGGGAAGCCAACCCTAAAATATTCCATAAAATTATTATAGTCATGCCAAAAAAAATTCATTCGAATCGCCCGGACTATTGCCGAAAATGTATTAGTACGGGGGATTGTTCTAAAAAAATTTCAGGATACATCAAATTTGCGAATTTTATTGAACGATGTCGAGTTCAAATTGATTATAATTAAAGAGTCTCGATTAGCGACCTTTGACAGTTGAAAATCGATCGATAATTGCATCGCTGCCAACTGCTCGCTGCAGCTAATTAACGACCTCCGGTGACCTTTGTTTGATCTTAATTTGTCTAGAGATCGCAGTTACCTGAGAACGTACGCGATGACGCGATTTATATTGCCGCGGCCTGCTCGGATGATGAATAGTCTAATTATTTTCAATTTTGCAGTGCCGGTGGTTCTATCTTCTTTTTTTTTTCTATTCGTAATTTTCTATGATGGATTACGTACCGGTCCGAGTTGAGCAATCGGAATTTAATTAGGTTATTACAAGTCGTGTGTGTGTTTTTTTTGGACTGTTTAATTTTCTAAATGATTGATTCTCATACGAAAATTTCTTAAGGGAATCACCCTGTATTTTAACTACATCGTTCTGTTAAAGCTAGTTTATAGAGTAATCTAATACATATTAATTTTCCGATTTACAAGTGTACCTATACAAAATAACTAGGTATACTAGTTAATTTGATTTTTTTCCGAACAAGTTCAGTTTGCATAAGTTATAACCGCATCGAATGGACGTTATTCGTTACGCGTGGTTTTTTTCAAGGAGCAAGAACCAACTCCACGATGGAATAATAAGAACCGAAGTCACCGGGTATATGGTATATAATATAATGTGAAGAAAATCAAATTCTAAGATCACCGACCTTTGCTCATTCGACACGGCATTGTGCCGGCCGAGCTTTATTCAGATTATATTATTATCCATTATTATTTTCGTCTTCTTGCGATGCAACCGCCGATCGAGCTGAACTCCTATACAAGGTGGCCCAGAATGATATACCGTCATTTCTAGACTACTATGAGTATATACTCGAGTTAAATAAAAAAAGGGTTAATAATAATTCTGAACCACCCCGTATACCGAGCGTTGTTAGTACGTTATTCAAGAGGTTATAAAGGAATTAATTCGTTCCAGGAGTTGTAGGTAATTGTTGTCCGAATCGCCCGCACTATTAGCCAATAATTTAAACTCATTAGTCGGGCGGATTGCGTCGCGATTTTTCTCAACTTGCCAAATAAATGTATAAGCGGTCGATTAAATATTTTATTCAAATCGTCCTTAATCGATCGACGTTCCATTCCGGTACTACTGCTCGCGATATCGTTGGAGAATCCGCCCGTTTTCGTTCGGGAACGCGGTCGGCATTTCGCAATTAGTCGCTCTCTCTCTCTCGAACCAGTTTCGCCTAATGGCGGACGCGAAAACGGTCCGAGAGACGGACACATGATTTATCCGGATCATTTGCCGGGCACGGCTAAATTTATATCGCCCCGGCGCATCGAGAAGGCGAGCCCCGGGATGATTTAAACCGGCCATTCCGGTGATGGATTCGAACGAATTTATTCGATCGTTAACGGAAATGCGTCGGTCCGAAAAATTGTTGCCAACTGCACTGTCCCGCGCGTTACCAACGTAATATTTAGCCGAAGTTATTTTGCTGGTTCTTGCACCGATGGGATTTAAACGTGGTTTAATGTTAAACTCGAGATATGTTTAATTTTTATGTTGCACCACTTATACAAGTTGCTCCATTTTTGATCGCAACATAGGTTATATAGGTGCGATAAAGACAACTTCCATTAGACACTTACAAAGGAAAAGGAAAGAGTGACATTTGTGTCATTGCAACTTTTCACTTTGACAACTGTCATTTTAATAATCTTTCTTTGTTCCACTCATTGAAATGACCATGTTACAATCGGAAATGGAGCAAGGTGTATGAACTAAAGTTAAGTTTTTAATCTTAGCTTAAGATTAAAACGGTAAATTTTGATGGTTTATGAAGGGTTTAAACGAAAATAGACTTTACTGTAGTATGCAACCAGTTAATTAGACGGAAAATTAGCAATAAAATAAATAAATTCTGTGTTCTGTGGTTTTTTTTTTTCAAATGACAACTAAGTGTAACCAACATTAAATATTCCAAATAAAAACCTCTAATAGTTATAGATTAACTAAACTCTTCACTTTTATAAATGGTGCAACGTTAATGAACTCAAGCGAAGTTAAAAAAATTCAACGCCTCTATTTCCAAAATAGAAGGCACTAAATTCTCGGAAATATTGTCGCTTTACTAATTTATTACAAAATCCTTGCTGGATCCTTTGGATTTAGACTATAGTTTAATTAACTTTCGTTTAGTTCGAGTTTGGTGCAAGACCCCCGTTAGTATGTATCAGTATTACGGTCCCATTTTGTCCAATTAGTATTTGTCTATATTATTTTGGTGATTTTTTTTTGTTTGACATCAGGTTCGCCGTGCGAACACGACGGCATCTGCGTGAACACGCCGGGCAGCTTCGCCTGCAACTGCACCCAGGGATTCACCGGACCGCGATGCGAAACGAACGTCAACGAATGCGAATCGCATCCCTGCCACAACGACGGCTCCTGCTTGGACGATCCCGGAACGTTCCGATGCGTCTGCATGCCCGGTAAGTACGAGTACTTCGTAATCGGCCTTTTACCGTTCGGGTGTTCAGCCATTTTCTACATCCCATTGATACATATGCATACTATGTAGAGTATAAAAGCGTTAAGAGATCCGCGAAGGTCTACCTGTGTGTACGAAACGACGATGGTAAAATAATAAAAAAAAAAGTAGTTGAATTTCTGGTGAAGTTCGCCCGATTCGGCGTCCATCACGTTTGTACTTGTCCGTCTACCTGACGGGCCCCGGGGCGAATGCCGAGTCGATGGAGAGTGAAAAAATATATCCGACGATATTTGTTATTTATCCCGTTCGTTGCGCGTTATTTCTGCACTAAACTTCAATGGATGTGTCAACGTCAAATGTCAGTTGAATTGACAATATAGCAATATAATATATGGGTCACTTTGTATATGTATATTGTGGTTTTCGAATTCCAAATATGCATGAAACACGACTCGACCGGTTCAATTATGGCCGTACTAATTAATGAATATGGTCGGTTGATTTATACAAAACGAGAATCGATTGGGAAAAACGGCCGATCGACGATCCGAACATGGCGTAAATCGATTTTTTTTGTTGTTGTTGGTGCGGAAAAAATGCGCGTTTTCTCCGGAGAAATCCGATATACTGACATAGGAATGTCGTCGAGAATGGAGTAAAAAATATTTTATTTTTTAATTATAATTATCGATTCGTACGATTTTTCTCGCCTGATGCTTTAATCGATTTAAAGTAATCGAAACGGAGATTATTTTATGAAATTTTGTACACGCTATTTAATTATTAAGCATTTTTGAGGCGAAAGATTTTTTGAAATGTTCACCAGTGACGTCCGTACGGGGTTTGAGCTGGATAGGTTTGAAGAAAAAATGGTACGCCACTGCTTTTTCTAAAAAACCAAAATTATTTTTAAAATCCTCATTTATTTTGGAACAATTTTTCCCAAGTTCATTGAGGTTATGAAACTTTTTTCAAAATTTAAGATTTTTCGTTATTAAACTTACAATCACCCTGTATGATATAGAGGACAATTAATCAAATAACGAAAGCGTATTTATTGGCTTTCTTTCGGAAAAATAAACGACGGAACTGATTAATTCCAGTAACAACTGGAACCGATCCAATAATTTCGTGTAATAATTTTATAATAGTTAATATTTCGAAGGAAATAATTGCGGGTTAACTTCCTCGATTCCGTACGATCGGGGATCCTTTATCACGTCATGAAAGCCGTAAATAACTAAATAATGGGGTCCATTCACGAAACGTCGTTACAAAAAAAAAGGATCTCTTTTTCTCTTTCTCGGTCCAAAGGAGATGTTGTATAATACGTCATGTGTGTGTGTTCGAGTCTTTTTTTTTCTTTATTATTATTTTCATCGGCGCGTTGTTCCGTATTATTTTCATAAAAGGCACTAATTAGTTGCCTTTCTTCGTTGCGTCGTAACACGAAATTCGAATTGAAAAAACGCCGGACAATTAACCCACATAAAAACGGAGCGAAATCGCCATACGAGATGCTAATTTACGGCAAATCAGGCGAAAATTATTGTACTTTATTTAAGTACATACTCGCCAAAAAAAAAAAAAATAAACCCACGACGAAATCTAAATTTCTCGTTAGGTTAGTACCAACGAAAATAAAACGTTAAATTAACCGCGAACGGGCTTTAATTTCGAATTTCGAAACGATCAATTAAGCGTTAATTAGATATAAAAAAAATACTCGGCGAATGATTAGAAATACAAAAGATCTGAGTGAAAATAGGAGAAAAAAAAACAAAGCGGTACCGGCAGTTTTTGCCCGACGACCCGGAGAGATCTCTCAATTTACTTTACGTACATTAAATGAATAATTGCGATGGCAAAAAAGAAATGGAATCTGTCGGTTTTCTATCCCGACGCCGCCGTTAAAATTGAATGTAAAATGTAATTACAATATTACCGCTCTCTCTCGCGCGTACAGGGTGTCCCAATAAAAAGTAGCTCCTTTAGCGAGCTAAATAATTTTTAAACGCCTTATCATAAAAACAGATTATTTTATTTTGTTACATTAAAGAGACTACTTTTCATCGGGACACCCTGTATTGCGGCTCTCTGGCGCATGTTATATTGATTCGGAATGGGATCTCGACGGGGAAAAAAATTAAACTCTCAACTTAAATGATAATAAAACAGTTTTTTTTGTGTTTCATTTGGAAACTTTCAAGTAAATTCAGGCAAGGTTAAAGTTTACAATTTTAATCTCGGATCGGCGAGCGGATAAAATGGAAAAGGCAAAACCGCGCTCGTGTGGGAGTTGGTAAGAGGGCATTTCTTGATCGCTAAACAACGTTTACACCGTATTGTTTTCTACGAGGAATTAATCCAACGAGTAATAAATCAAATTACACTTGTAATGGGTAAAGTGCAAATGTACTTGTAATAGTATAAAACTATTCTATAAGTTGAACAAATACAGATTAACCAAGCAATCCCCTCACAATGTAATGACAAATAGGCGTCAAATGTGTCAAATGTCAATGTCAAAAAATGACTTTTAGTGTTTTTTTTTGGGGGGAGATTGGTCGGCGCGCAAAGGAGAAAGGAGCGTCGTCGAAATAGCGGGTAAATGTTGTGGGACTCGAAACGGGCGTGCCTCTAGCTATTTTACTTTCCACGGTGCACAAATACCGTTAACGAGCGACGTTCAAAGTCTAATAATTCACGTTCGGTAATAGAGATAGATGACCCTATACGTAGAGGCCGGTGCAAAACGCACACACACACACACCTCTCGTTTATTTTATTGATAAAACTCGGAATCTCGTTCGATTAGCTTCGCGCTTTCCCTCGATATACACTCCTCACTCTCTACCCTTTTTATATCTATTAATATTGTATATTTTTCGTGTACAGGTTTCACCGGCACCCAATGCGAAATCGACATAGACGAATGCAAAGACGAACCGTGCCTGAACGGCGGCATCTGCCACGATCTGATCAACTCCTTCAAGTGCTCCTGCACGACGGGATTCAACGGGTCCCGCTGTCAAATCAACATCGACGATTGCGCGTCGAGTCCGTGCCGAAACGGCGGCGTTTGCCACGACGCCATCGCTTCGTACACGTGCGAATGCCCGCCCGGATTCACCGGTAATCACCCACGCGCCCGAGATAACCGTTCCGTTATTTTCGTCAACGCCCACCTCTAGCCCAACGCTAACCTCCCTATCTAACTGACATTCAGCGGTAGGATTAGAGGTGCGCGTTTCGAAAATAACGGTTATTTTATCACAACTTCTAATACTAATTAAATTTATTATCTTTTATTTAGGTATGTCGTGCGAGACGAACATCAACGATTGCCTGTCGTCGCCGTGCCAGCACGGCGAGTGCATCGACGGCGAGAATTCGTTCACGTGCACGTGCCATCCGGGCTACGCCGGTCCGTTGTGCCAACGGCAGATCAACGAGTGCGAATCGAATCCGTGCCAGTACGGCGGCCTCTGCCAGGACCTCATCAACGGGTACCAGTGCCTGTGCAAGCCGGGCACGTCGGGACGCAATTGCGAGATCAACGTCAACGAGTGCTACAGCAACCCGTGCAGGAACGGCGCCCGCTGCTTGGACGGCATCAATAGGTGAGATTTTGTTGAGATGAGCTTACAGGTTGCTCCGTTTTTGATTGCAATATAGGTTATATAGGCCATGGGTGTGGTAAAGACAACTTGCATTAGGCACTTATAAAGGGAAAGGAAAGAGTGACTAGTTGTGCTATTGCAACTATTCACTGTGACATCTGTCATTTTAATAACATTTCTTTGTTCCACTCGTAGAAATGGCCATATTGCAATCGGTAATGGAGTAAGGTATACTTGCGAACTGTGCGAATTGCGAAATGCGAATAATAATCCTATTGGTTGATTTTGAAGATGTCAAATGTCTTAGTTTTGTGTTCAAGATTTTCAAAATTTGAAATCTGGGGGGGCGGGAAAATTGAGTTGATCTTACGATTTTGTGAAATTCTTTGGGATAAAACAATTTCAGTTTGATTGATTTGGTTTTTACTGTTTTTAGTTTAGATTAGCCACATATTAGTTACAAAATATAAAACAATAAGTCCCTAGAAAATTCGCCTTAATAGATTAAGGATATTGCGAAATTCGCAGTTCGCCAGTATATGAACTAAGCTTAATGCGACGCTTGGTTTCTCTGCCTGAGTGATTGTGGCGGAGAAACTGCGGCGAAGAAAGCAAGTTTTATGAATCTATGAGGATTTATGCGACTTGTTTTGTTGGTAGAATAATACACAAACGATTTGTATTTATTTGTTTCACGCTTATCAGAGGATTCCCATATTTCGAAACGTAAGTTCTTTCAACGTTGTGCGATTTTGAAGTGTTTGTTTTTTTTTGCATGAGAAAATGCGCGATCGTAGTTTAAAAAACGTTGCGTGTTGTAGTAAATAGTAAAAGGCCGCGAGGAGATGCGTTCGCCGAGTGCAAGTTCGGAACAATTCGGATCCACGAAAAATGACAAAACAATACGTCATACGTCAACTTGTAGATTTTCCAAAATGGCGGAATATTTTTAATTTTTTAAATCGCGATTGTGGATCGAACGAATTTAGCCGGGGAAAAGACTCGCGTTTGTTTATCGAGTCAAATTCACGCTGTAAAACTTTATTATTATTGTTTACCACCTTTTTTAGGCTATGTTTTAGAAATGAAGGCTACAGGGAAGAAACGACAATAGTCCATTTTTTGCAAAACTAAGCTCACAGTTTATTTTTATAGCATTTTGTAGTTACTATCAGATAATGAAATCGTTAAAATGGTAAAAATTGCTAAAGTTCGCAAAACAACAGCTAAATGATACTTTTAATTTCACTTTCTACCGAGTAAGTAAACTTATATTTCAATTTTTCCTCACAAATCTTTTGAATGGACTATTCTCGTTCTTTCCCCGTACCCTTCAAATGCGAAGTATTTAATATGCCGTATTTAGTTGATTCGTTAACTTGTCTTGTCCCTTTCGTTAACGAAACATCATTCCTTACACATTCCTAACGTAAAACATCCGTTTACAGCTACACCTGCGAATGCGTCCCGGGCTTCGTCGGCCGCCATTGCGAGACCGACATCGACGAGTGCGCCTCCAATCCGTGCGCCAACGGCGGCGTCTGCATCGACCTCGTCAACGGCTTCCGCTGCGAATGCCCGCGCGGCTACTTCGACGCCCGCTGCCTCAGCGACGTCGACGAGTGCAAATCGAACCCGTGCAAGCACGGCGGCTCGTGCGAGGACGGCGTCAACCGCTTCATCTGCCACTGTCTGCCCGGCTACGGCGGCAAGCAATGCGAGACCGACGTCGACGAGTGCGCCTCGAATCCGTGCCAGCACGGCGGCGAATGTCGCGACCGCCTGGCCTCGTACACGTGCGACTGCCCGCCCGGCTATTCGGGCGTCAATTGCGAGAGCAACGTCGACGATTGCGCCGCGCAGCCGTGCGACAACGGCGGCTCGTGCATCGATCTGGTCGACGATTTCAAGTGCGTCTGCGAGCTGCCGTACACCGGCCGAAGGTGTCAGGAGATACTCGATCCGTGCCGGCCGAATTTGTGCCAGCACGGTTCGAAGTGTACGCCCAATAATAATTTCTTGGATTTCGTTTGTACGTGCGGCGCCGGCTACGCCGGTAGATTCTGCGATCAGGACGTCGACGAGTGCGTGTCGTTGAAACCTTGCAGGAACGGCGCCACGTGCAGGAACACCAACGGTAGTTACGCGTGCTCGTGCATGCGCGGATACGAGGGGAAGGATTGCTCGATCAACACCGACGATTGCGCTTCGTGTAAGTAACTCGCTTTATAATAATAAAGGCAATAATTGGCAACATGTAGCATGCCACATTTGTCGCTTGTTACCTGTTGCCGGCGATCCACAACAAATGGAAAAATAGGCGACTATTCGTGCGACATCAAACGTTTCGTTAACTGAATCTTTTCAAGTAAATTTTGGTTGCTTTTTCGGTGCGATTGTAGACTTTCCCAAAACTCTATCGCACGCTACACGTTACCGATTGTTGCCTTGTATCTAACACCGCCTTAAAAACACCTAAATATATCGTTTTCTCTCTGTGTAGCTCCGTGCCAGAACGGCGGCACGTGCTTGGACGAATTGGGCGATTTCCTCTGTCTGTGCATCAACGGTTTCGAAGGCAAACAATGCGAGATCGACGTCGACGAGTGCGCCTCGCAACCGTGCCGGAACGGCGCCACCTGCAACCAGTACGTGGATTCGTACACGTGCACGTGCCCGTTGGGTTTCTCGGGCATCGATTGTCAAACGAACGACGAGGATTGCACCGAGAGCAGTTGCATGAACGGCGGAACGTGCGTCGACGGCGTCAACAGCTACATATGCACTTGCAAACCGGGGTGAGTACCGTTATACATACAGGAATTAGAAGGCAATAGATGACAAATAAGGGTATAAAATTTGTTAATTTGAGTCCCCATTTTTGACCTAAAGGCCTTTAAAGTTGAATGTTTACTACACTACTCTCTTGAAGACAGTGGTGGCTTGTTCCCAGTAAATCTGTACAAGGCAAACATATCTTTAATTGATGAACTAACGAAAATCTGTACTCTTGTTTGAAGTCGATTAAACTAACGGTTTTAGAGAAATTTTAATCTATTTCTATAATCCACAGTTACACCGGTTCCAATTGCCAGAACAGGATAAATTTGTGCGACAGTTCGCCGTGCCTGAACGGCGCCACTTGTCACGATCACACCACCCACTACACGTGCCACTGTCCGTTCGGTTATACGGGTAAAAATTGCGGCGAATACATCGATTGGTGTTCGACGAATCCCTGCGAAAATCACTCGACGTGTCGACAAGTTAAAAACGTCTACTCGTGCTCGTGCGGACCCGGCTGGACGGGTAAAGTTTGTGACGTGGAAATGGTCAGTTGTAAAGACGCCGCCGCCAAGAAAGGTAAATTAGATGGTTCGATGGAATTTGAAAATAGGGCGAAATTTAATGAGTTTTTGGGTTTTATAACTAAATAGGTCGATGAATTTTATTAAAATTTAAGGAGTTTTGGTTTTTATAACTAAATAACTCGATGAAATAGAAAAAATAGAATAGAAAAATAGAAAATATCGCGAATTTCAACGAGTTTCTGTTTTTATAACTAAACAGCTTGAAAAAATAGGAAAAATAGAATAAAACAATTGAAATTAACGCGAAATTTAACGATTTTCTGTTTTTCTAACTAAATAGCTCGATGAAATAGGAAAAATAGAATAGAAAAATAGAAATTAACGCGAAATTTAACGATTTTCTGTTTTTCTAACTAAATAGCTCAATGAAATAGGAAAAATAGAATAGACAAATAGAAAATAACGCGAAATTTAACGATTTTCTGTTTTTCTAACTAAATAGCTCGATGAAATAGGAAAAATATATAACTAGATAACTAGATAGCTCGATGAATATACAAAATAGCTCGAAATTTGTGTTTATAACTAAATGGCCCGATGAAATTTAATAAAATTTAACGAATTTCCGGTTATTTTTTTTAGGCATCCATTGGAAATATTTATGCAACAACGGCACGTGCGAAACGATAGGCAACTCGCACCGTTGCCATTGCAAAGAAGGCTACACGGGCTCCTATTGTCAACAAGAAATCAACGAATGCGAATCGGCTCCGTGCCAAAACGGCGCCACCTGTCGCGATCTGATCGGCTCGTACAGTTGCGCCTGTCCCAAAGGCTTCCAAGGCCAAAACTGCGAACTAAACGTCGACGATTGCCGGCCGAATCCGTGCCAAAACGGCGGCACCTGTCACGACGCCGTCGACGCCTTCCAATGCTCCTGTCCGCCCGGCACCCTAGGCTACATCTGCGAGATCAACATCGACGATTGCCGCCCCGACTCGTGCCACAACGGCGGCACGTGCGTCGACCGCGTCGGCGGCTTCGAATGCAAATGCCCCGCCGGCTTCGTCGGGCCGCGTTGCGAGGGCGACATCAACGAGTGCCTGTCGTCGCCGTGCTCCGACCGCGGTACGCTCGACTGCGTCCAGCTGATCAACGACTACCGGTGCAACTGCAAGCCGGGCCGCGTCGGCCGCCATTGCGAGCGCGAGGTCGACGCGTGCGCGACCTCGCCGTGTCGCAACGGCGCCGCCTGCGCCGCGACGTCGGCCGGATACAATTGCACGTGCACGGCGGGCTATTGCGGCCGCCATTGCGACCTGGCCGGTTGCGATTGCGACGCGGTGCCGTGCAAGAACGGCGGCGTTTGCCGGCGAGCCGACGACGGTTACTATTGCGAATGTCCGCCGGCGACGACGGGCGCGAATTGCGAGATCGATTCGGTCGACGAGTGCGCCAGCGATCCGTGTTTGCATCCCGAGGCCGAATGCGTGAACCAATTCGGCGATTATACGTGCCGTTGTCCGAGCGGGTACGTCGGTAAAAATTGCGAGATATTCGACGCCGGTTCGCCCAAAGTACTACGAACGCTACAGGATTTCTACGCCGTCGATTTGGAGAAACAACGGCAACAGTGCAAGCGGAATAAATGCCAAACGAAGCGCGGCAACATGCGATGCGACCAGGAATGCAACACGTACGCGTGCGATTTCGACGGTAACGAGTGCACGTTGGGCATCAACCCTTGGGCGAATTGCACGGCGCGCATCAAATGCTGGGACGTGTTCATGGACGGCGTTTGCAACGAGGATTGCAACAATCCCGAATGTCTGTTCGACGGCAGAGATTGCGAGAGGAAACTGCAGGCCTGCAATCCGATCTACGACGCCTACTGTCAGAAACACTACGGCAACGGTTACTGCGATTACGGTTGCAACAACGCCGAATGCAACTGGGACGGTTTGGATTGCGAAAAGGAACCGCCCGAATTGGCCGACGGCGCTATCAAAATGACGATACTGATGGACGCCGAGAGTTTCCGCAAGAATCTGGTGGCGTTCCTTCGGGACATCGGCCACGAATTACGGACGACCGTTAAAGTGAAAAAAGATCGATTCGGCGACGACATGATCTACCCGTGGATCGGTTCGGTGCCCAACGAAGATCTGCAAGACGATTACTTCAAGAAGAAACACCACATCGTCGTGACGGAACAAACCCAAACGGGCGTTCGCGTATTTTTGGAAATCGACAATCGCAAATGCAGCACCGCCCAATCGCCGTCGGACTCGAACTCCGACTATTGCTTCCAAACGGCCATCGCCGCCGCCGATTTCCTCGCCGCCAAGGCGTCCAAACAACCGCTCTCGTCGCTCTTTCCCATCTTCCAAGTGAACGGTTCGACCGACAAAGAGGACGTCGACGATCGCGCGCCCAACGCCAAATACTTCATCGTCGGCGTCCTGCTCGTCTTCGGCGTCGGTTTGCTCATCGTCATGGTCGTTCAAACGCAGCGCAAACGCGCCGCCGGCATCACCTGGTTCCCCGAAGGTTTCCTGCGCGCCGATTCGGGCGCTCGCCGGCGGTCGCGCCGCCGCGGCCCCGAAGGCCAGGAGCTGCGCAACCTCGGCAAGATGCCCGGCATGGACGTCGAGCCGGACGGCCACCGAGGCCACCACGCGCCCCACTGGTCGGACGACGAGGCGGACGTGCCGCGGCCGAAGCGGTTCCGCGCCGCCATCGCCGATGACGGCGGCGGCGGCGGCGGCTACGCCGACGATCGCACCGCCATCACCGACTACGAGGAGGCGGAGCCGCGCTGGACGCAGCAACACCTGAACGCCGCCGACATCAGGCCGGCGGCGATGCTGACGCCGCCGCAGGCGAACGACGCCGGTGATATCAACGCCCGGGGGCCGTGCGGCATGACGCCCATCATGGTGGCGGCCGTGCGAGGCGGCGGCGTCGATACGGGCGTCGACGAAGACGACGACGACGGCGCCGGACAGATCATACAGGATTTGGTGGCGCAAGGGGCCGAGCTGAACGCCACCATGGACAAGACCGGCGAGACTTCGTTGCATTTGGCGGCGCGGTACGCGCGAGCCGATGCCGCCAAACGTTTATTGGACGCAGGTATATATATACAAATTGTCATAAATACACCTTTTTCTCGTCGAATTAACCCCCTACTTAAAGGCATTGCTGCGTACAATGGCCCCTATTTAGTGTACTTAAACGCCACTTTAAAGTCGCGTTTCTAACTTGACAGCTTTACATTGGTTGTTATGGAGTAACTAAGAAGATTCATTAACTTTTGACAGTTTCACATTGTTGTTATTGAGTAACTAAGGAGATTTTTTTCAAATAGACAGATTTACATTGTTCTATTGGAGTAACTAAGGAGATTTTTTCAAATTGACAGTTTTACATTGGTTGTTATGGAGTAACTAAGGAGATTCTCTCAAATTGACAGTTTTACATTGTTGTTATGGAATAACCAACGAGATTCTTTCAAATTGACAGTTTCATATTCTTGTTATGGAGTAACTAAGAAGATTCATTCACTTTTGACAGTTTTACATTGGTTGTTATGGAGTAACTAAAGAGGTTCTCTCAAATTGACAGTTTTACATTGTTGTTATGTAGTAACTAGGAACTAAAGTAAACCCTTTAGTAGAATCATGTTCAAGTCGAAATTAGTCTACTAAAAGCGGATCAATAATTCCCTAAAATCTTCCAAACTACAAAAGTATTTAATTAATTACGATTTACGCGTTTTGCAGGAGCGGACGCGAACGCGCAGGACAACACGGGCAGGACGCCGTTGCACGCGGCCGTCGCCGCCGACGCCGTCGGCGTCTTCCAGATATTGCTCCGGAACCGAGCGACGAATTTGAACGCGCGCATGCACGAGGGCACGACGCCCCTGATACTGGCCGCCCGCCTGGCCATCGAAGGAATGGTGCAGGACCTGATCAGCGCCGAGGCGGACATCAACGCCGCCGACAATTCGGGCAAGACGGCCCTGCATTGGGCGGCGGCCGTCAATAACGTCGAAGCCGTTAACATTCTGCTCGCGCACGGCGCCAATCGGGACGCCCAAGACGATAAGGTGAGAATATTTGTTGTTTTTATATAAGTAGTTATGACTGTACGAGTTCGAGAGAACGGTCTAGAATCGGTACCGGAGTATCGAGGTGGTTTTATGACGAATTCGTTTTTGTTTTAGGACGAAACACCGCTGTTCCTGGCGGCGCGCGAAGGCTCCTATCAGGCTTGTAAGGCGCTATTGGAAGCCTACGCTAACAGAGAAATAACCGATCACATGGATAGGCTGCCCAGGGACGTGGCGGGCGAGCGATTACATCACGATATCGTTCGATTGTTGGACGAACACGTGCCGAGGAGTCCCCAAATGGTCAACGTCATACCCAACAATAGCATAATAAGTAAGCGATAGATTTTCTTTGACGTAGAACGTCGTTTTTCGACCGGATCAGTCGGTGAATTGAATGAATGTATTTCTGAGATGTATTTCGAGTTCTCTAACGATTTCGTTTTATTGCTTACAGCTTCGACGAGCGGCCACATGCTGCAACAACCGACCGTCATAATGACGAAGAGGCAAAAATCGAAGAGGCCGAGTAAAAACGCGGCCGGTCCGACGAGTCCCGATAACGAAGGAATGTTCACATCAGGCAGCATCAGACGTAAACCCAGCGTCAAGAAAACCAACAACAAAAAGTCGATGCAACAACAGGAGATCCCTCAAAGCATCGATACCATCACGTCGTCGTTGAGTCCCGTGGAATCCCCCATGACGAACGTACCGAGTCCCTACGACGCCGCTACGCTTTACTCGAATCTGAACCAACAGGGTCTGGAGAATCTGATGGCGAACAACAAACAACCGCCCAGCTACGAGGACGTCGTCAAAAACAACCTCGGCTTCCCGTTGGACAACAACTACGGCGCCTTCAATCTCTTCCCCGAGGCGATGTTGATGCAACAGCAGCGCCAGCTGCAGGCCAACACGCTCAGTCCGCCCTATTCGAACCAATCGCCGCCGCATTCGGTGCAATCGAACCTGTCGCTGTCGCCGCAGGGCTACAACGGTTCGGCGTCGCCGGCCAAGACGCGCCCGTCGCTGCCGACCAGTCCGACGCACCGCGCCGCCATGATAGCGGCGACGCACCAGAAGCAGGGCGGCGGCGTGCCGCAGGCGCAACACCTGCCGATGGGCTTCGATTTCAGCCAGACGGGGCTCGAGCTGCCGCTGACGGCGTACGGCGGAGTGGCGACGGCGGCGGCGGCGCCGGCGCAATACCAACAGCCGAACTACTATCTGACGCCGCCGAGCCAGCACAGCGATCACCTGTTGCCGGAGAATTTTCTGACGCCGAGTCCGGACAGTCCCGGTCATTGGTCGTCGAGCTCGCCGCGATCGTGTAATTCGGATTGGTCGGACGGCGCGCAGAATTACGTGCAGAACACCAAAAGCTCGGACCTTTATATATGACATTCGATGCGCCGGGGTAACGAGAGATAGTTGAGTAGAGAAACGATCAGTTGAGTTGTGATGTTGTTATTATTATTATTATTATACGTAGGTAAGTGTTAAGTGTACGATCGTATATACGGTCGGGCTCGTTTCGACATTGAAAATTAATCGTTTTATTTTAGGGATGTCGATTTTTTTTTTTTTTTCGTTTATATTTTTAATTTTTTGAATCCGTATTCATATTATCTCGCCACTACAAACTCTTTAAAATCGTCCAATATTTAACATTATTCATCATACTATATCGTTTAGTGGGACTTTAAGTTGCCTACGATGATACTTTTAAATAAAATCACCCGAACTGTCAAAAATGACACTAATGACATTTGATTAATAGAGTTGGGTATCGTAGAGGTACGTTACGAAATAAGCGTTATTTTTCAAATTCTACAGCGTTTTGGGATAAAAGCGAACTATTCAAAAACTATTTATGTCTTGTCTCGCTTATTTGAGATGAATCGACGTCCCTATTTTATGATTTAATTTTCATGGAGGATTTTAGTTGTACATAGAGCGCGACCGAATTGAAACGTATGGTCTCAAATATATTACAGATTTTTTTTTTTACTTTACAGTACCTATTTATTTTAATCGTATCGAAGGCCTTATGTATAGTTTGTATGGAATTAAGAAATCGATAGGCGGCATAATTTTAATAGTAAATATTATTTTAAAAAAAGGACTACATTACGTTATCGATAATAGATATTTTCAATTTATACGAATTTGCGGTAGATTTTGTCGAGTTGTTACACAATAAATGGAAATAGCAGTTTATCTGAAATGAACTTTTTAAAGCTGAAATTAATATATTTATTGAGGAGCGTAAAATGTGGGATAAATATCTAATAAACACTCGGAGTATCTACTGGATTTGTATAATTTTTAGGGAAAAAGATATCCCACTTAGTGCCTTTAAAAAAGTTGTTATAATTCGTATACATGTAATATTATAATATAGAACAGAAGAATTCTATTTTGTACATAATTTAGTAGCTATATTATTGTTAGCTGGTATAGTTTTTATAGACCAATGTTTTTTTTATTTTAATGAAATCGTACGTTTAGGTAAATTTTCACGACTATTCAAACTAATTTTTTTATGTATCGAATTTTGAAAAAATTCTTAGTTATGTAAACGTACGATTTCTATTACAATTCGTAAAATTGCATTTTTTAACGATTTCTGCCAAATCAGTCTCTCTATATGCTATTAATACATGTAATTGTTTTTTTAATTAATTTATGCGTGTTTTGAATTCCGTTTTTAAAAAAATGGTATTAACATCTATAATTGTCTGTGATTCAAATGTAATTAACATCAATTTTTTGACAATATTTTGTATAAAAAAATTAGTGATATTTTTGATAAAAATGTTTTTTATAGAAGTAAATTTAATCGAAAACGCACATTCCAAAAGCGGGCATAATAAAACAATAGTCTTTCATGACAAATATACATATTTAAATTTTAGGAAAATTATAATTATTCGTTCATTAATTTTCAATTAGTCCTGGTGAAAAATAGAGAATAAAATTGGCCTTTTCTACAGGTTGTTTCGCAAATTCGCGATCGATTTTTTTTTTCATCAAAATTATATTTGTACAACAACCTGTATATTATTTGTACAGTCGAAAATCAGCTGAGCTGTTCTCAATTTATTCACGCCATCTATTTTATACATATTTTCATTGCAATCGATCGATTTTACTTTTCATTCAGCTGATTTTCGTTTTAATTATTATTTTTGTAAAAAGTACTGATTAGAAATTACCTAATAAGTAATTCTCATGGTTTTTAATTAATTGTTTAGCGATTGTCGATTTGTGTATTTTATCGACACTCGCGGACTTCTTTTTAGTTTTTACGACTCACATGCTTGTACTATACGACTTTAAATTTTTTATAATTAAAGTTTTTCATTCTTTTTCAGTCGCTCGATGTCCTGTGAATCGTCCTTATATCCCGATATCCTAACGAAATATGAGTTACAGGCACCGCATTAAAACAGAAAAATTCTAATATATTTTATTAACTAAGCCCTCGCGTACAATTCCAATTGCTGGATCCTCTTCCGTTCGAACGACTTAACGAACGATTGCGTTCTGTGGTTGCGATTCGGCTGCGGCTTGTTGGCCTTGTACACGTCTTGTAAGCAGCGACTCCGTTGATACTTGAACACAAAGCCGAGCAGATGCCATATGTTAAACTCGGGCCACAGTACGTTCGTAAAGCAAAGTTCCGTGTTGGATATTTGCCACAGAAGAAAATCGCTGATTCGCACTTCTCCGGACGTTCTGATTAGAATGTCGGGATCCGGGCTGAGGTGAGTGTACAGGCAATTCGCGATCAGTTCTTCGGAAACGTCGCCTACTTCGATCGACTTATCTTGCACCGCCTCTACAATGCTTCTGATGCTTTGCGTTATTTCCTCTCTGGACGTGTAAGAGAACGCCACGTTCAATATCGATCTCGTGTTGTCCTTGGTGAGTAACATGGCTTCGGCTATTAGTTTTCTGATATCGTCGGGCAGTAAACACAAATTGCCGATTACTCTAATACACACGCCCTCTTGCATCAATTTATCTTTTTCCTCGAATAACTTCTGGAATTTCTCCCTGGCTAGTTGCATCAAAGCTTCGACCTGAAACGAGCGGTGTTGGAATTTATCGGAATCGCATCGTGATGAATTTATTACTAACCTCGTCGTTGGAACGTTTGAAATTTTCTATACTAAATGCGTATACTGTGACCTCTTTGATGCCCAATTCGCGACACCAATGCAGGCATTCTGCTAGTTTGTCGAAGCCTTTGGAATGGCCTTCGGCTTTCTGTACGTTGGTTTTCCTGGCGTACCTTCGGTTGCCGTCCATAATGAAGGCCACGTGACGAGGCACGGGGCCGCATTTTAACACGTTCACGCACAGTTTTTGAAGCAAATTCAAATCGTTGTTTCTGATCCAAGACATCTTTGACGAGTTGAAGTTGTATTACCTAAAAAAAAGGGCAGTCGGGGAATGTATTAGTTATGGAACGAACGCGAAGAGGAGCACTTTGAAGTATTTTGTAACATTTATGATTTTGTTGGATTTAGTTGTATTAAAATTGAAAAAAATTATCTTAAAAGTTAGCTAATTTTATAGGTTAGATTTTAGGTTAGACGTCAAATTTTTAGTAAGGGATCGAACAGTGTTACCTAAACTGTCTGTTACCAAAGTGGCCGAATAGCCGCAGTAGCTGAGGCCAAAATCCGAAAAGAAGAAGAAGGTATCAAACAGTTTCCTACAATTGGTTTACTATTAGTTCGTCAGTAAATTATTAGATGGCGCCACGTGCGTGTACAAATTTTAATAGATAGACATGTCGGCGGCCGGAGCGCTCAGTACCTCCTTTGCCACGGTAGGGGTATGTTGCTTTGCTTGAAGGAAAAATATGCGCAGGATTTTCAAAGTACTCATCTTCATAAATGAGCGATAAATCATGGATTTTGGTTAAATTTGTTGCTCCACCGTCCTCCCCCACCGGTACCACCCTTTTACTATACTTTCTTAAGTAACCTACGCATACGCTAATGTGCGCGATGTTTTGCAAAAAGTTTTGGCGCCATCTATTACATTTTTTTCGAACTACATATTAATTTATGTACCCTACTCAGTAGAAAATCAAATTTTTAACGGATCCGTTCGCCTCTCGCCTACCACCGCTATATTTTTTTCTACGCAAATTTAAGATTTCGTATTAGGAGAGCATCTGCGTGAAATGTTAAATCTGTGAAGAGTTAACTAAGTGTATAATAAATAAAAATACGTTATTTCCTTGACGAAGCTTTATTAATTCTTTCAACAACTTTCAAAAATAAGACATCTTTTACATCAATTTCAATTCTATACGGTAACAAAATCGCAGTGTTCTTTTTCTGTTCTTTTCTTTTTTACCTTTTACGTTTTTGATAAAACGCATCGGTTACCAAAATTATTTATTTCATTTGAAACTGAACGAATTAGAAACTTAAACTGAACAAAACAAATATAGTCTTACGAACTAAACAAAATCCTTCCCTTTCTTTGACTAATATTTAGATAATAAAATAAATTAATCTAGAAAATATCCACGCGAAACAATAGTACAAATATTAAAAATACTTTGTTAATAGATTGTATAAATTTATCGTTTTACCTCCAAACAATCAATCAAAAATGTACCAAAAAATATTAAATAACTTGGTTACTTGATAATGAATGGAGCTTTAATATTTGTCGGGATAAATTTCAGGGTTCAGGGACAATCTCGGGGGTCCACCAATAATCCAATTTTTTAACGACATTTTAATGAGGGTGTTTCTGCAGGAGGTAACCGATCTCACTATTGTAATGTGGTGGCAAAATTGCAAACCAGGAAAATATTCTTATAAATTAATTTCATTTAGTTTTTGCTTTATTTATTTTTCGCTATGAATTCATTAAAATTTCGGATTATTGGTGTACCCCCGAGATTGCACCTGAACCAATTTCACTATACGAAAGGAGAGTATATCCATATTATTCCCATCACTTAGATAAGGTCCCGGTAACTCTGTATAAAAATAGTTTATCTTATCGTATAAGTTACATTAACAAAATTATGTTATAGATAGTTATCAAGACCTTATCTAGAGCTACATTGAGGCGTTTAAAGCAAACTATTCAACAGATTGTCACCCGATTAACAAAAACGCGAGAAACAGACAAAAAAAATATATAAACCAAACGATAATTTACACTTTCCGCTTGATGGCCTCGTCTATTTCGCCCATGAAGCCCTTCAATTTCTGCCACTGTTCCATGGTCAACATGATGCCCTTCCTGCCTGGCTTCATGTCCCCGTCGGCATTGTAAAATTCTCTAACATCTAGATACCAGGAGTTCTTGAATTCCGTTAATTTGAGAAAGCGGTTCTTGCCCAAACTCCAAGAGGTCGGCACCTCGCTCGAGTCGTCGCCTTTCGAATCTTTCGACTTCTTCGCCGGCGTTCGCTGGAAATTGAAAAAGTCTCATCTAATGCCTCGTTTGGGAAACGGATTTTCGGCAGGCAAAAATACGCGGGTATGTTGATTTTTGGGTAGTTTAAAATGGTACTTACGTCGTCTGGGCCGGAATCTGAATCGGAGGTGCTCGCTTTGCGTTCGGGTTTCTTGTTTTTCGGCATTTTAAACGCTTGGCTTTTTAGTTTTAGTTAATCTCTAGTTCGATAACCTCAAATTTGATCTAACGCAAACAACCGGTTGAGATGAGAATTTGCCACAAAATGAAATCGCGGAACGCCGAAATCGAGTGACGGAATTGACAGGGACGATGGAACAAGTTTTCGAATAAGCGTTGCCAACTTACATTGGCGATTCAATATAAGCGATACGCCCTCTGGTGGCAGAAAATAGAACGCTTCTAACAGGTATTACACCATTGTTTTGGTTTAGCATCCATTACGTTCGTTCTGTTTTTGTTTTGTTTTCTCTCGTGTTTGTCTTTATTGTCGGTTTCGTCGCTTTTATAAATCTGTTTTTTTTCAAGAACGAATAGTATTAGTCATGACAAAATTAAAGAGTGATCTTTCTTATGTAACGTTGTCAGTATTGTTTGCTATTTCCCCCGAATTATGTAAAAAATATATTTTTGAAATGTTGCCTATATTAAGTGCAGTCTTAAAGCCCTGTATAAGGTTCCCCGATTCTTCGGAAATTAAAAGAAACATGCCCCTATGTTTTAATCAATTTGAGGATGTAAGGGTGATTCTGGATGGTACAGAAATAAATGTCCAAACGCCAAAATGCCTTTGCTGTAGAATAAAATTTTATTCACATTATAAGTCGAGTACAACAATTAAGTTTATGACTGGTGTATCTCCTGGGGGAATAATAACGTACGTAAGCGAAGCGTACGGTGGAAGGGCATCTGATAAGGCCATTTTTAAGCAATACTAAACAGAACAAGCGATGTGAAGCGTTTTATGAAAATCCCTTGTCGATACTCGAAGAATAATTTCTGGTAGAAAAAAATGTAACAGCTCTCGATCTAAAAAAAATAATTTATCAAAATTAGTTGTAATATTATATAGAATTAATACTTTACCATTATTGGAGTAATACTAAACAGAACAAGCGATGTGAAGCGTTTTATGAAAATCCCTTGTCGATACCCGAAGAATAATTTCTAGTAGAAAAAAAATGTAACGACAGCTCTCGATCTGAATAAAATATTTTATCAAAATTAGTTGTAATATTATATAGAATTAATACTTTACCATTAAGTAATACTAAATGGAACAAACGATGTGAAGCATTTTTTCTCCGGATATTTGATGAGGTTCTCCATTAAGTGCGCTAGTTTGTAGACAAAGCACAGATTTTAATAAGATCAGAAGTCACCAAATTAAATTTTCCACATAAAATTATGTGTCCTGCATTTAAAACTTCTTCGCCCTCTACCACACATCTTGAAGAAACTGTCCCTTCAATGTACGCCATGTAGTCGATTATACTTAATCGAGCCATTTTTTCTAAAAATGAAAGATTATAAATTAAAAAAAAATAGATTATTAATAAATAGAATAAATAAAAGTATAATTTTTAAGTCATTGAGTAATTTGAATACACCATATTTCATAATTTAATTGAAAGAAACGACAAAAAATATATAACCAAACATAATACAATCTTACATACAAATCAGATTGCTTACCAGATTTTGAATTGACAGTAAATTTAACAACTTAAAAACTACTTAAACTGAAATAAATTGTCTTTTAATATAAAAATTGTTCGGAAGAAATTAAGTTATAACACTAAAAAATCACTTTCAAATTCACAATTCGCACGTTAAAACAAATAACAACAAACGAATGAATGCCTGTTACGAAGGTTCCGTTTTTCGCCACGATGGCGCTGCAATCTTAAATTCAGATGCCAATAGTAATTTTAACGGTAAAATGTATCGATTCAATATCGATTCTTTATCGTCTTCTCTTCTAATTTCAGAACAATATGAAGATTGTTATAAAGAATTACTAATAAATTTGTATTACTATTATTATATTATTATTATAATATATTAATATCACGTTTGTTGCTTCGAAATCGATAATTGAGTAATGCGATTAATCGATTATCGAATCTTCTAGATTTGATATTTTGACAAGTGACAGGTGACAAGTACACAGTGCCGGGGAGTGAATAAAAACATTTTTTGCGCATTTTTAATTTATTTTAGCGGTGCGATCTAACTGTAACAGGTTGTTATTATCTTCAGGGATAATTTTGTTAGAACACATTTAATTTATAATAAGGTAAGCAAATAATTTTGTTATTTAATTTGCCGTTACTTACTTAAAACAAGTATTTTATGTGTAGTATTATTTAGGTGAAAGGAAGTTTCCACGTTGCAATTGTAAAATAATGTTAAAATAAAGTACCAAGAAGTACATTAAAATATTTAATAGACTGATATCGTGATAATTTGTGATTATTTTCGTAAAAAAATTACCACGGTAATCGTTGTAGCCTTGAAGTGGAAAAGGTCGACTTGATTTTTTCCTCGAAATTAAGATTCAATTTCTCTTATTAAACTTATCTTAAAACCGATTACAAATTACAACATTGCATCACATTGTAGAATTAATCGTATACACATTATACTATAAATTATTACCATTCATTAATTTCGTATGGCTATTTCATAAGTTATCATCCCATTAATTAAGTATCTTTAAATATTTAGATTAATATTGTCTAATAGCACATATCTAAATAATGCCAAGTCACGCCACAGCCGAATACTATCTATTATAAACGTGTTTTATGTAATTGAAATTGTGAGTAATGAAGTTTTAATCATAATATCTCCTATTGAATATTTTATAAAACTAACCACACTCTATTCGATGATAAAAACACCGCATACTTGTACCATCGTAACCCATCGTACGACATCAAAACATGATCCGGTATAAATAAAAATCCACAAATACCACAATAACAAACCTTTGTTCACATTCCCAGATTATTCAGCATGTCGGTACCAGCTCTGCAACAACCGGCCCCCGTATTCAAAGGCACGGCCGTCGTGAAGGGGGCCTTCAAGGAGATCTCCCTCGAGGACTACAAGGGCCAGTACGTGGTGTTGTTCTTCTACCCGTTGGACTTCACGTTCGTCTGTCCCACCGAGATCATCGCCTTCTCGGACGCCGCCGAGGAATTCAAGAAGATCAAAACGGCCGTGGTGGCCTGTTCCACCGACAGCCAATTCTCGCACTTGGCTTGGGTGAATACGCCCCGCAAGCAGGGCGGTTTGGGCGAGATGGCCATTCCGTTGTTGTCCGATAAGTCCTGCGCCGTTTCCAGGGCCTACGGGGTACTGGACGAGAAGACAGGCATACCGTTTAGGGGATTGTTCATCATCGATGGGAAAGGTAAACGGGTGGTGTGGTGTGTTTCGAGGTGGTTTAATTGTGGTGGTTTTTTCGTAGGGATTTTGAGGCAGATTACCATTAACGATTTGCCGGTGGGTCGGTCGGTGGAGGAGACCCTTCGGCTCGTGCAAGCTTTCCAGTTTACCGATGAACACGGTGAGGTTTGTCCGGTCGGTTGGAAACCGGGCAGCAAGTCGATGAAACCGGATCCGAAAGGGAGCAAGGAGTACTTCTCAACCGTTAATTGAATGTTTTAATTGTTATTTTTTTATCATGTATTCGTAGCCACTTGAATTACTATGGTTTTTTTTACACCGATTGTTTTAGATTCCGTTCTCTCTTGAGTATTATTTTACCGCTTTTGTAAAAGTATTAAGGATAATAAACGTTTTTCTTTAGTCGCAATTAATTGTGTGTTTTGTTTTATTTGTCGAATGTAAAATTCGATCACAGTTCGTTGTGGACGTGTTGAGATTTCCGTTTGATATAATACGAATCGAGATCGTTGGGTAAAGTGAGATTAGAATTGTATTCTTTAGCTAATGCCCAGTACCGTTTTCTGACGAAGAAGGCGCTGGCTTTCGGCTGTCGTTGCCTCGTAAAAATGCCCTTTTTATTACCGCCGACTCGTGTATAAGCTAAAACAAACAATTCCATTAAATCCTATACTCCACCGAAGGAACATCTTTTATTTACTCTCGGCCGTTTTGAAGTCCGCGAAATTCCAAATGAACTCGCCGATGAAGAAGTTCCGCTCTTTCAACACGTCGAAGGCCTTGAAATGTTCGGACATCAGCTGAATCTGGTACTCCTCGGACCAAATGAACGAAGGCAACTGCAAAGAAAAAAAACACGGCGAATTCAGAGCGAATCTACGCGAACGTTAGAAGTTTATTTACGAAATGCAATCCCTCCAAGGTATCGCCGCCGTATTCTTGCATCATCACCGGCTTCTGGAACCTCTCGTGCCACGCCTGCGCCTCCTTGATCACGTAGTACGATATCACGTCCAAGTCGCCTTCGTATTGGTACCAACCATTGTATCTGTTGAAGCTGATTATGTCCACGTAAAACGACTGAAAGAAATATTGATATTGTTAAAAGGAGGTCTTTTAGAGCCCTCGGGAGGCCAAATAAGTAAATAGCTTCCAATGATCTGAAGATTCAAAAATGCAAGAGGAAATTTGGGATGATTTGGAGACCACAAAGACAAGAAGAAGCTCGAAATAAACTGGAGATTAGGTGACGATTGGAATTACCTGAAGAATGAATAGCCAAGATAGAAGGTTTTAGAATGACCTGGGGATTCAAAAAACAAGAGGAAATTTGCGATGGTCTAGAGACCACAAAGACAAGAAGAAACTCGAAATAAACTGAAGATAAAAGAGATTAGGTGACGATTGAAATTACCTGAAGAATGAAGAGCTAAAAGATTCAAAAAACAAGGAGAAATTTGGAGACCACAAACACATGATGAAGCTGGAGATAGGGGAGATTCAGTAAGAATTGATATAACCTGGAGAAGAACTTACCGATTCCACGATATTGTAACTTTGCGCTTCGACTATCGTAGTCGGCCTGGTGACATCTAAGCTCTTAATGTGATCGATGATTTGCCTGCAATTCGATGAAAAAAAATGGATTTTTATCGATGATTTATTCGACACACCGGCGCTTACTTGAAATAGAGTTTAGCTGCTGGATATTGCGTCCTGGGCTCATTGGCGGCGCTCCACATTATCACGCCCGGTCGGTTCTTGTCCCTTTTTATCAATTCCGTCAAGGATATTTTGTGCTTCGACAGAAGCGAATCGGAGAATATCCTACAAACCATATTCGTAAATAACGAGCGATGAGAGTTTGAGTTAGGGGAGATGAGAATTAGGTCGGATGAGAGTTAGGAGATTGAGAGATGAGAGTTAAGAGGGACGAGAATTAGATGAGTTAGAGTTAGGAGAATTAGAAGATGAGAGTTAGGAGAGATGAGAATGAATGGTGAGTTGAGAATTAAATCAGATGAGAGTAAGAGTTAGAAGAGATGAGAGTTAAGAGTTAAGAGAAAGGAGAATTAGGAGATGAGAGTGAGAATTAAGGAGATATGAGAGTTAGGAGAGATGAGAATGAATGGTGAGTTGAGAATTAGGTCATATGAGAGTTAGATTTAGGAGAGATGAAAGAAGATGACAGATTCATATGAGAGTTATAGAGGTAGATAAAAGATTCCTCGAATTTGCTAGCTTTGAGTAGATTTCCCAAAGCAAATTTAGCCACGAGATAGACCTTATTGCTTACTCCGTATTCACGCTGGGACATTCGTCGATGATCATAATGCCCAATTCGTCGGCTACGTCCATGATTTCCTCGGCGTAGGGATAATGAGAGGTCCTGTAGGCGTTGGCGCCGATCCATTTGATCAGATTATGGTCTCTTATCACCAGCGGTAGATCCAATCCTTTGCCTCTGATATCCGAGTCCTCGTGTCTGCCGAAACCGTGCAAATAGACCGGTTTGTCGTTGATCGTAAACGACGAGTTCGTCCACGATAACGTTCTGATACCGATCGGAGTGGAATAGGCATCGATCGTGGCGTTTTGGTTCAACAATTCTACCTGGAATTTTCGTATTTTTTTATTGTATTATTGGAATAAACGCCTGGAGTTGTAAACGTTTCACCTTGAACGTGTATTGGTATCCGGGCTCGTCGTGCATCAAATATGGCCACCACAATTTCGGGTGTTTCACTTCTAATCTACCGCGGCAATTCGATGCTTCTTCGTAGGTCGATAAGATGGGAAATTCCTTATCGATTAGGGTGATTTTGCATTTTAAGTTGCTCGTATCGTTACCGATAACGGTCACGTTGAAATCTAATATAGCTGGAATACAAAGAAAACAAAATATATTTACAGGTTCATCCATTTTTGATTGCAATGTAGGTTATATAGGCCATGAGTGCGATAAAGACAACTTCCATTAGACACTTACAAAAGAAAACGAAAGAGTGACATTGTGTCATTGCAACTTTTCACTCCGACAACTGTCAATCTGTCAATTTAGTAACCTTTCTTTGTTCCACTCATAGAAATGACCATATTGCAATCGGAAATGGTGTATAATTTATAGTTTGGTGTGATTAATACAAAATTTTACCGGTAGATTCTTTGAGATGTGACGTCACGACGGTGATATCATCGATGTAGGTTTTCGGGGTGGTGTATAAATAAACAGGCCTATCTATTCCGGCGTAATTAAAAAAATCGAAAGTATACGTTAAATCCAACCGCCCGCTGAAACATATAAAAAAAATAAAACTCATAAAAAATACGTTGGTAACACTGATAAATTCTAAGTTGACTTTCTGCTAAATCTAGTAACTTTTTTTAGTAACCAGATGTTATATAAGTACTTACTTGACGAGTTCCTCGACTTTCCCTTGCGGTATAGTATCCGAAAGTAACGTATTATCGCAGGAAACCGTCACCAAATTCTCCTGCCCGAATTTCAGGAGCCCAGTCACTTCACCGACGAACGGCAGGTGGCCTATTTCGTGGCTCATCAACAGTTCCCCATTGATCCACTAAATACACAAAAAAAAACTCTTCTGTAACTCTCATTTCTCATTATCTCTTAGAATGGTACTGATTTCATCTCCCATCTCCCATCTTATTTCATCTCTCAACTTTCTTCTGTCCTAACTCTCATCTCTCCCAACCCTCAACTCTCAATATCTCTTAGAACGGTACTGATTTCATCTCTCATCTCCCATCTTATTTCATCTCTCAACTCTCCTAATTCTCTACCATTTTTCATCTCTCATTTCTCCCAACTCGCATCTCTCATTATCTCTGAGAATATTACTCATTACATCTCTCAACTCTCCTAACTCTCATCTCTCCCACTATCTCCGAGAACGGTACCGAACGGTACCGGACGATAATAATACAGAATCCTTACCACTTGCCCGGCGTAGGAAATGGAACCGAATCTCAGCCACACTCTGCCTTCGTTCTCCCAATATTTCGGCACGAAGAAGTACCGATCGTACCAAACCAAGCCCAAGTGGTCCCTGATTTTCCAATCGGTCGTTATGTCGTTGAAGCTGGCCGGTACCGGCATCAAGTGCACGTCGAAATCCTTAATCTGCAACAGAAATCGTACTACCTTCGTTGGGGTTTTTTCGTCGTAGGCGGAGTACCGACCTTTTTCAGGCTGTCCCGGTACCACAGCTGGTCGAATCCGACGAACGGGTTGGTGATATTGGGCGCTACGAAGTTCCAAAGTCCATCCAACGGTACCACTTGGCGAGTTTCCGTGTTTCGAGGATAGAGAATCCCGCCTCGGTGTATCTCGGATAGGGAGCATCGCAGCAGTACCGACAGCACGGCGATTTGGGGAATCATTGTTACCAACTGAAAACATGGTATATGGGGGATTTTAATGCGTTCTTCTTCTTTTTTTTTGTTTTAATTGTTTCGACGATGCGTAGGCGGAAATGATGGGTTATTTGAGGCGGGAATCGTGAAAAATTTCACGGAGGAGCGTTCGCACGTTTTGCAATAGTCGTTAAAATAAATTGTACTTCTGATACAAACGTACGAGTGCAATCGATTGAGTCGAAAATATTTTAAAGGTCATTTCGACTGTTTATTCGTTTCTAATATACGATATAATTAAATTGATAATTAACATTAAAAAAACTCTATCGTTTTCTAATAAAGTGGAATTCAATCGAGATATTAAGAATTGCGTTAAGAATTGCGCGATACATATAAATCGCGGTTGTTGTGAGATGACAGTTCGAGCTGTCAAAACTTCAAAAATTATTTTTTGACATTTCGAGGAGAAAATGGAGAAATACAATAACCGAATATACGTGAGACATGATGTTTACAACAAAATCATCGCTGATTTAAGTATATTTTTATATTTTGAATCTATTTTTAGTTTGAATAACACCTATCTTAATACTAATTCTACATAATTCGTACGCAAAAAACCGGGATCCTTTACAACATCGCCTCCTAGCGGCCGTTTTAGGAACCCTATTTTATCCTCAAAATTTTTATCCTCCGTGAAAAACACCGATTGTATATTTTTATAATCAATCTAGGCTAAAGTAATATTATGTGCATGTTAATCAAGTAATTATAATATCAAAAGAACACGTCGGGGATATCCTGCCTTAACATGTTGATATTTAATTTAATTTTGTGTATCTAGTAAAAACATTTACGAGCTAAATATACATAAAACGAGTACGCGATAATTTCCATAACAAAAGTTAAGAAAGTGGGACGTGTATGAAACGATGTTGCGGGCATTTTGTAATAGAAATAACGTTTACTATGTCAATTGAATAATACAAATAACGAAGGAAAATTGGGTATTTAACTTTTTCACCTGTTGGATTGTTTTCTTTGGAAATTAGACCGAATAACCTTGTTAGACGAGGCGTGTGTCGGCGTTTTAAAGAAACGAAGAAGTGTTTTCGGTAGAAAATTAATGATATAATTTACGGGTACTAATTTTATCAATGGAAACATTGGTTTGTAAACGATAATTTAAACTTTGACCTATTTGTCAATACCTAATCGTTTGTGGTATGTTTAATATAATATATAAATTTATTTTTATACTAAATATTTTATATTACATAAAATAATGGTGATAATTAAAAAACCGGCCTCAAGCGAAGGACCACAAACGGTTAAATACAAGTGAAAGGACAAGATGCTTCGAATAGAAAAAACACTTTGTATATTAATATCCAACAGCTCGTTTGCAAAATTAATTCATAAATTTAAATTGCTCATTATGTATTACGTATTGTTTCGAACAGAACCTGAAAAACGAATCGATTCTTGTATATTAACTTTTATATTAACGATCGCGAGAAAAGAATTTTAGGCTGGCAGTGGAAAAAGTAGCGTGTGGCACTCGCCTAACGATTTTTTTAGCAAGTAGAAGGATAATTATGCGGTTTTATTAATTAATTGCTCATCGAAACACGGGTCGATGGATTCGAAGACCCTGAATGATTTAATTTAGGAAAAAAAACTGATTTTAATAATTCCCATTTTTTTTTTCGAATTTAATTGTTTCGCAGACGATCACCTAAACTCGACATTTTTTTTCTCGATTAACAAGGTAAGATGTTTGTTTCATCCTAAATAAATAAATAACAACGATCGCAGACGGAAAAAAACAATTTCTAATCGTCTACTTTAAAACCGGATTAGTTCACTAACATTTCGGGTGTATCTCACAATACTTTGGCTACGATTCCTCTGGTTTTCTATTCAATTTTCGATCAATATTATCGTTTCTAATTCCTAATTTCCTCTTTTTTTTTGCAAATCGTGTTTCAAATCGTATCTTTTTGTACTAAACTACAATTTTTAGTGGTAGTGTCTACGCGTCGTTGTAAGAATTAGGGTTAATTTAAACTTACGTTTCGTTTCAATTTCGACTGAAGAATATTAAATTAAAGAGCGCTTTTTATCGATGCCGGCTCTTGCACTTGTCTCGTTCAACGCGCGTTCCTCATTCTACCAGGCTCGATACACGACTGATAAATAAACCGATTGTACTATTTAATATACCTCATACAACAACCACTCGAGTCTAGCGAGCGGCTTAAATATTAACGATTTAAATATGAAATCGACACGAGAAGATAGAGAGTAATGTTGAGGAGGATTACAATTATTTTAAGGAGATTTTAGGACAGGTTTTAGGCGTTTTTAGAACGTTTTTTTGAGGTTTTAGAGCAACTTTAAGGACACTTTGCAGCGATTTTCGAGGAAGGTTTTGAATAGTTTTTTTGGCGGTTTTAGGACGTTTTTTTTGAGGTTTTAGATCGGTTTTAAAGCAATTTTGAGGAGACTTTTGAGCGATTTTCAAGGAGGTTTTTTTTGACGGTTTTAAGACGGTTTTTTTGAGGAGACTTTTGTACGATTTTCAAGAAGGTTTTAGAACAGTTGTTGGGCGGTTTTAGGACGTTTTTTTGAAGTTTTAGAGTGATTTTAGACCAATGTTGAGGAGGATTTGGAGCGATTTTCGAGGTTTTTGGACAGTTTTTAGGCGTTTTTAAAACGTTTTTTTGGAGGTTTTAGAGAAAATTTGAGGAGACTTTGCAGCTATTTTCGAAGAGGTTTTTGGATAGTTTATTGGCGATTTTATGACGTTTTTTTGAAGTTTTAGAGCGGTTTTATAGCAATTTTATGGAGAATTATTTGGAGCGATTTTCAATGAGGTTTTAGGACAGTTTTGGTGCGTTTTTTTGAGGTTTTAGAGTAATTTTGTGGAGACTTTGAAGAGAATTACAAGGAGGTTTTAGAAAAGTTTTTGGACGGTTTTAAGACGTTTTTTTAAGACGGTTTTTTGAGGTTTTTGAGCGGTTTTATAGCAATTTTAAGGAGAATTATTTGGAGCGATTTTCAATGAGGTTTTAGGACAGTTTTGGTGCGTTTTTTTGAGGTTTTAGAGTAATTTTGTGGAGACTTTGAAGAGAATTACAAGGAGGTTTTAGAAAAGTTTTTGGACGGTTTTAAGACGTTTTTTTAAGACGGTTTTTTGAGGTTTTTGAGCGGTTTTATAGCAATTTTAAAGAGAATTATTTGGAGCGATTTTCAATGAGGTTTTAGGACAGTTTTGGTGCGTTTTTTTGAGGTTTTAGAGTAATTTTGTGGAGACTTTGAAGAGAATTACAAGGAGGTTTTAGAAAAGTTTTTGGACGGTTTTAAGACGTTTTTTTAAGACGGTTTTTTGAGGGTTTTGAGCGGTTTTATAGCAATTTTAAGGAGAATTATTTGGAGCGATTTTCAAGGAGTTTTTAGGACGTTTTTTTTTGAAGTTTTTGGAGCAATTTTGAGTAGACTTTTTAGCGATTTTCAAAGAAATTTTACAACAGTTTTTGCACGGTTCCAAAACTCTTTTTTGGAGTTTTTAAATAGACCCAAAAACAATTTCAAAAACGAATACCTAGTAACGTACCAAACTTCACGTTTAATCATCCTCAATTAGAAAAAAAAAACCATCCAATTCGCCGGGGGTATACGCGCGAAACATCGGTATACAACGCACGCCCGGAGACGCGTCGGCGTCGTTGCCGTGGCGACGCCGCTTGTTAGAGGGGATGCTTTTCCACGGGGAAACTCTCCCTATTCCCGATTTCCACCGATCAGTTCGTGCCCGATTCTCCGCTCCGCATTTATCTCGGGAGAGAACAGCGTAATAATTGTCGCGAGTATTTCGCTAGAAATTATTAATTAATAAGTCGATCGTGCTTTAGATTAATAGTAATTAAATTAGACATTTTATATATCAAATCTGGCGTGCTAGTGAATATAGTGTTAGTTTTATTGGAAAAAAAATATACTACGAATAATAAATTATTTAGGAGTAGCCTGTGTGTATTCGATTGAGGTAATGTATATACTCACGTTATTTATTATAATATTTGAACTAGTATTAGCATAAAAAAAATGTTAATTTGTGGCATATGACTGGCACAGTTCGAGCGTTATTTTGTATAAACGTAATGAAAAGATTTTCCGGACGAATTGGATGTAATTTCGTGACCGAATTACGCCGCATAATGAATTTACTTTTCCGTAATAATCCGCCGTGGTATAATTCCGTCGGCAAATAATACTAATAAGTACCCGAGGGTTTCGTTATTAAATTCAACGTTACCCCGCATCTACCGATTTAGATTGGATTAAATTACTCGAAAATTACCGGCGCAATTTTCGTTGTATTTAAACCGTTACGAAACGAGTGCAATTGTCCGCCGCCCACGTGCCTTAAAAAACCCGATTTTTCGGTGCGTAAACGACAATCGCCGACTGCACCGATCGACTCGTTAATAATCCTCGAATTTTCGGAGTAAATCGGAAACGTCTCTTGTGCATATAAAGTTTCTCCCGCAGGAGTCGTTGGGGAAACGCGATCGGGGCCCATAAGTCACCGCCCGAGAGAGTGCAACCGATGCTGAGAGTCGAGAACTCTGCTAATTATACGGGGGCGAATGCGCCTGAGTTAAACCCGGTCGGGGCGGTAATTTTTGTACTAATTATACCAAAAAAAAAACCGCCGTGAAGTTCGTTCGGGTTTCCGGGTTTCCCGGAGTAATATAAGACGCTCGTTTGGGAAGAAAGCTGGGTCCTGTGGGTGGATATTTATGGCCCGTTTTGTGTCAAACGACGGACATATTGTTGTTAATTAACTGAGGTTAAGTAATTAATTATTGGCGAAGTTTTAGAGCGGGCTGGGTGTGGGAAATGCGATGCTTAACGTGCGTTTTAATTAATTCGAGTAGGACGGGGATCGGTTGTGGTTTCGGGAAAATGGGAAAATCGGTTGGAGGTGGGTTTTTTAGGAGGTTTCAGAGTAGTTT